CTCAAATATAGTGAAGTAGAAAGAAATCTACTTAAGTACAGATATTGTACAACATATAAGAACTGCTTATGAAGTAGAATTATACTGGCTAGTCTAGTATAACATGTAGTCCTTTATTGGGAGAGTGCGGGAGACGGACTGTCCGCAGACAGAAGCGCAGCGCATATAAGCGCGTTTGTTGCTCACTGTGGTGCAGGGTAGCAAAGTTGAGACAGTATTTTGAGTAGTTCATCCATTTATTTAGCTGTGTAAAAATATGATAGCCAACTTAACTCCAACAAAACAGGTAGCTTCATGCGACTGGTGAAAACATTGGGAAAGACACAACTCCGACTGAAATCAACAAAACCCTAGAAAAACACAGAGCATGCGCGCCCTCTATAGGAATGGTGGTGTAATTACAACACACTAAAACGTACTCGCACAACAAAAGGCTCAAATACAACTCCGGAGCCGCGCTACAAGATCTTCACCCACGAAATATTGTCCCACATAAAATCGGTCTGTGGCGCAGAAAAGCTTGGGGACCACTGCTCCGGGAGACGGTCGGAGACGGACTGTCCGCAGACGTGTACGTAACTACGCCTAGCGCATATCAGCGCGTGTTTAAACCACTGCAAATTCTGCATCTGTAGCTACCCTGGTTTTCTTCAAAAGAAAGGACTTCACGCTTCGTACTGATGAAAATGTGTGTCAATATTTATTCTTAGTAATATTCAACTCCATCAGCATTTTGAAACACCGTGAAAACTAAAATAAAGACAGACACAGAAAATGTCTCAGATTTACATAAATACCTTTAAATAAATGCAAAATTGAAAACAATATTTAACGTGTTCGCCTATACATCACCAGCGGTAGTTAAGTACCGTGTCTTTAATTTTGACGTCGTTTTCTTTACATATTTTCTGTGTTTCTCTCTATCGTCCTTTTCTCTTTTTCGCGGCTACTATAATTCTCTCTTTGTTTACTTCCGGGGGCAAGGTAAAAGGTCACATAACTTAAAGGTAAATGTTTTCACAAATAAAATATAAAATTAATAATTGTGGTATTTTTACGCATCTTAATATTCGAACAAATAAAATAATAGTTTTCTCACTTATGACCATGAAAACAAATATACTGACATTATCGTCAGCTACAGCAACTTCGGCTCCGGTCAAACCCCTGCACTAGAGAAAAGAGGGCATCACTTTGGAACATTTTCGAGTAGATTTCTTCTGACCACCCCCTGATCTGGACTAGAACACTTCTGTGAGGAAAAAGGTGAGGTTTGTGTGTTTCTCTGTTCACCTTAGTCCCTATGGGATTTGACCATGGAAGTTCAAGCATACATATGACTTTATTATTCCAAAAAAACACCACTAGTTAAGCTCAAATATCTTTAATCAAAATCTAGATCATGTTTACGGCAAGTTTACTTAAAGAAATGTTTGCTCTTGTTCTTCTGATCGTCTTTACATGAGCTTAAATGAAAAGTATTAACGTTAGGTCACAGCGCTGAGCACAACTAGAGCCTAATAGTGAGCATATAGAAGGAGAAAAGTCTTAAACATGGACTTTTAGGCTTCTGTACTTCCTGTTTAAAGGTCAACCTGATTTTCTGAGACTCTGGACCAAATGAAGATGACACATTCCCCTAAGTATCTCCAGTCCACTGTAATGTTCCACTCAAATGTGCTGTCCACAGTCAGGTGTTAGAGACCAAGTCTAGTCAGGACTGACAAGCTGAATCTGAATAAGAATACAGTTATTATATCAGAACATGTGAGTGTAAAAGGACAAACATGATTGAACAGAGCTGAAATAGAGAGATATAGTGAGATTTGCTTCACTTTAAACATAGAAAGTATTCACAAGTATTTTTTCATTTTGAACAAGCGACTCTTTGTGTCTCCGTGTTTGTTTGAAGAAAAAGGAGAAGATCTGGGAAAACAAAAAAAAGTGTATAATTTAGTGTGGTGTTATTTTTCTGTTGTAAATAGTGTGTCCTTGTGTAAAACAAGAACAAAACAAAAAACACAAAAAAAGAGTTTAAGTTTAGTGTGGTGTTATTATTACCATGTCGTAAACACTGAAAATGCCTCCAAAACCAGGAGTAACTCAAGACTAAACCAGGACTAACCCAGGACTAAATCAGGACTAAACCAGGACTAAACCTCCCAACATACACGGATTGCGCTGCAGCGCACTGCGCTCCTGTTGCCCAGCGCATATAAGCGCGTTTGTTGCTCACTGTGGTGCAGGGTAGCAAAGATGAGACAGTATTTTGAGTAGTTCATCCATTTATTTGGGAGTGTAAAAATATGATAGCCAACTTAACTCCAACAAAACAGGTAGCTTCATGCGACTGGTGAAAACATTGGGAAAAATACAACTCCGACTGAAATCAACAAAACCTAAGAAAAACACAGAGCATGCGCGCCCTCTATAGGAATGGTGGTGTAATTACAACACACTAAAACGTGCTAACGCTACAAAAGGCTCAAATACAACTCCGAGCTGCGCTACAAGATCCTCACTGACGAAATATTGTCCCACATAAAACCGGTGTGTGGCGCAAAAAAAGCTTGGGGACCACTGTTTTAGAGTTAACATCTACATTTTACCTTTAGTTCAGTAAAGATTGGCAATTCCAGGTCTGAAATTATAAACCATAAACTTCTGGCAGTTCTCTCTTCGTGCGTGGCTCCCCAGCTGTGATAACTACTTTTCCAGCTATGACCGTACCCACAGGGTCGCCCATAGTCAGAAAACCTCGTTGTCTCTAGGACAAGCCGGTGCCCGTGGCGCGTAGGGTCTACTCTAGATGAAGAGCTGCAGCTCATCATTGACACGGCCTCATATGAAGACAGCCCAGTGGGATTAAAGCAGACACCATCAGAGCAGGCAGTCTGGGGCATGTCCTGTGAGGCAGCAGCGCCTCGGCGGAAAGTGGCCGGACAAGCGGCTAAAGCTTTACTCTGTCTGCCCACAGTTGTGCTCTGCATGTGAAACCCAAGGAAGCCAGGTGCGATAGAAGCAACTCGGCTTCCCGGAGCTGACGAGGCAACTGCGCTGCGAGCAGCCAGTTGTCTGTAAACGTGGCCAAGCGTAGTCCCTCTGTCGCAAGGGCGCTATCGCGGCCTCTGTGCATTTCACAAATACGCGTGGGCTCCGAGAGAGACCGAGTGGGGAACCACGTATTCGTAGCTCACACCCTGGAAAGAAAATCTCAGATAATTTCTGTGAGGAGAATAAATGAGGTTGTGAAAGTATGTCTTTCAGATCTATGGACACTAACCAGTCACCCTGGCGCACGAAGTGCAGTATGGACGTGTGTCAACATTCTGAACCTGTATGTTCTTATCTATCCGTTCAGAGTAGCAGATCTAGTATGGGACGCAGTTCTCCTCCCCTTTTGGGCACAAGGAAATATCTCGAATAAAAAACGCCTTGGCATTGTCCTGGCAGCACTACTCTTATTGCGCCCTTATTCTTGAGAGCTTCTATTTCCTTCTGAATGATAAAATCCTGTTTTTTCCCCCGGCTTTGAGTGTAGCACGCCGTTGAACCCTGGAGAGGTGGGCGCAAACTAGAGTTTGTAATCCTTGGTTACAGTTTTCACAATCCAGTCTGATGCCCCACACCCGCGCCACTGCGAGGCGTGTTGTGCAAGCTGACCGAGGGGCTCCGTGGAGTGGAGGTGGGCACGATCTGTGCGTCTGTTTGCAGGGACCAGAGAGGGGCACAGGCCTGCTGTTTAGCAACACACAAGAGAACACACCTTTGTTTCTGTTGTGGCCCTGGTGTCACCTTGGGGGCAAATGCCTTTTTGGTCCATGCTCCTCTCAGTTCCGGTGGCTTGTCGCCTGCAGCCTGAGGTTGCAGCTGGCGTTTTGGAATGTGATATGGTGGTTGTCCGGCAACAGTGGACCCAAACAGGCCTTTGGGGTCCACAGGGACATCCAGGACCTGGGTCTTGTCTTGGCTGGAGAGGTTGAGCCATCTGGCCCTGTCCTCTGTGACCATCACACCCATAGTTTGACCGCATGCCTGAACGGCGCTCTTGAGCAGACAAAGGCAGAGTTTGTTAACCACACACAGTTCGTCCCACACATCAGGTGTCGGTGTGGAGGACATGTCATCCTGCAGTTCTGCCTGGTAGACTAGTAGCAGGGACGATGCGTTCGGTGCTTTCATTGAGGTAGCTACTGCTTTGCAGCACCTCTCCGTTAATGTGGTTTGGAAACAGTCTGCTTTGGAGGGGAGAGAAGGACCCGCAGCAGTCATGGAGTTTCGCGGGTGGAGGTGAGATGCCAACAGAGGTTCAATGGGCGGCGAAGCCGTTCTCGTCTATGCCAACCCAGTCCAAAGCTCAAGAGGGTCCCTCTCGTGGTGGGGGAATCGTTGCCCCCAGCACAGGGTCTGCTTTTGTCAGGCTCACTTGGCTCGTGAGTGGGTTTAGAGAAAGGCAGGCACAGTGCTCGTAGGACATCGGAGTTGCTGGTGCGTCCTGGGCGTGTTGCAGCCTGAGGCACTGTGCGCAGACAGGGTGACTGTCTGCCTCGGCAATTTTATTTCCGCACTTGCAAGCCTTTGAAAGTGCCTCCTTCTCCATTATGAGAAGCATAATTTTAGCTCCGAATTAAAAGAAGTGAAGTGACAATAGAAAAGCGTTTAGCGACAGAGTTTTTAGCTCTCCCTGTGAACAATTAAGCTAACCCGTTAGTCACTCACCGTTTGACTGTAAAAGCTTCTAAGAGCAAGAAGTAACAGGATGCTTTTATAGCAGGAGGAAGCCCCATCTCCCTGTGGAGCATACGTCACGTCTTTCAGCCAGTCAGGGACTGGTGTAGTGTTATAAAGCTTCTAGGGACCAGCTTGGGGAGCTGTCCCATATGTGAGATACTGAAACAAATGTTGAAAGAGAAACACTATTATTTAAAATCTAACTTGACACGTTTCCTTTTATCCAGTGGTTTTATTAGCCAACAGAGCCCTCTTGTGGGTGCCCTTGGTAATGTTGACACAAGATTTATTAGTTGTTTTGTTTATCTGTGGGTATAACAACGAACAAACATATTCATGAACACCTTTAAATTACATTACTTATTTATAACGTACTTACAGGGTATAACTTCCATGAACTCATTACAAGATAATAACACATGAGCCAGCAGAGCTTTTTCAGCTTTTCTGCGTGCACTATCACACATGACCTTTAGGAGCAACTTCCTGTTTTAATTAAAGAGCCAGCGCAGGCCAAACCAAAGACTATTCCAAATGTACAATATAGTTATATAACACAAAACACAAACTGCAATAAATAAAAAGCAGAACTAATCACTTTAGTAATTAGCTTTAATCTACAATGAGCCATATACGTGATTTATCCAACCCTTTACAGCTCAAATCTAATCATAGTACAGAAAAATATCAATAATATCCTCGCTAGTGCAAAGAAAAAGGTATACAGATTAATGGATTTTTTTTGTTTGTTTGTTTTGGTTTTTTTTTGGCTTTCTTCCATATGTAGAGAAGTCCTGACAGAAAACGTGTTTTTACAGGCTGATCAGCTGTAAGGTCTCTCTCTCCCTGAGTTTTTTCTCATGTGAGGTGAGATGCTTCCTTGCAAATGTTTTCTTACAGGCTGAATGGTTTCTCCCTTGTATGTATCCTCGTCTTTTGAGACTACACTTTTACATAAACACTTTCTTACATAGTGAACAGCTGAATGATTTCTTCTCTGTGTGTCATCATATGTGTTCTGAGAGAAGATCTTGCAGTAAACACGTTCTTACAGACTGAACACTTGAATGGTTTCTCCCCTGTGTGTATCCTCATATGCGTTTTGAGATGCGAGTTTACAGAAAACAGCTTCTTGCAGACTGAACAACTGAATGGTTTCTCTCCTGTGTGCGTCCTCATATGTGTTTTGAGAGTAGAGCCTAGAGAAAACTCTTTCTTACAGACTGAGCAGCTGAATGGTTTCTCCCCTGTGTGTGTCCTCATGTGTGTGTTGAGACTGCCTCTTTCACCAAACTCTTTCTTACAGACTGAACAGCTGAATGGTTTCTCCCCTGTGTGTGTCCTCATATGTCTTTTCAGATGAGAAATTACAGGAAACTCTTTCTTACAGACCGAGCAGCTCAGTGGTTCCTCTCCCGTGTGAACTCTCCTGTGGCTTTGTAGTTTATATTTAGAGACAAATATCTCTTTACAAATGGAACACTTGTGTTTACTGCTCTCAGCTCCTTCGCCAGTTCCTGCCATGTCTCCATTGTTCACAGTGGCTCTGGTCTCTGGTGCACACTCGTCTTCATCAGCTCCTGTATCCATGTGTGCAGGTGAACAGTTGACTGGAGCTCTCCAGTCTTCATCACCGTCAGTGTCAGAAGAGTGATCTGTGTCTCCCTCAGTCTCTGAGTGGACATGTGTCTCTGCTTTGATGTCCTCTCTGTGGATGAATGTCTCTGCTTTGATGTCCTCTCTGTGGACGCATGTCTCTGCCTCGATGTCCTCTCCTTGTGTGTCCTCTCTGTGCTCAGAGGACTCTTCTGTCTTCACGCTCATAGACAGACCTGTTTGTGACCATGCTTCAGATCTGACAGACCTGAAAAATATAAGATACATTTGTATATTTCACATTCAATCTGAATATTTGTAATAGAAATGAATAAGAATTAATAACAAAATAAAGAATTGCAGTCTGAAAGTGTCTGAGACTCACACTTGCAGCTGCTCTTCCTCCTGTTTGATGTTGGGTTCTTCTTTAATGTGTGGAGTCAGACCAGGACTCAGAGAGGGGAGCTGGACAGCTGCAGGAGACAACAGAATACACACTTATACATACAAGTGCAGTTTTGTGACATGAACCCTCTGTGAACTTGTCTGTAGTCTACTTTAAGGCTGATGAATGAACAATGTTGGGAAGTAACTGAATATATGTACTTGAAAATACGTATTCTGAATTCTCATTTTGAGAAACTGTATTCCAGTTGTTACGTTTTCATTTGGTGGTATTTAGAATACAATTACTTACTAGCTCTTGCAGGTGTGTGTGTATTTCCTCGTCTCTAACTGGACATAAATTAATGCATAAAAACAGTGCAACAAAAATAATTATTATGTCATGTTTACACTGTAAGTATTCAGAATACAGTACTCTGATTGCACTATGTATCAGAATACATTACTAAATATTTTTCTTCTACATTCTGTCTGAATCCAGAACGTCTGGTACCGGATCATAGAGAAAAAACTCCGTCCAACTTGAGACGTCTGGCTGGTCATTCATTTTAATGCAGGTATTAAGTATTGTGTAACTAAATATATTTTCATTGTGTATGAAGGTACAGTTGCTCCAAAATGTTTTAATGTATGTATGTAAGTGGTTTTTTTACACTGTTTTTTTTTTTTTTTTTTTACTTACAAATTTTGCTTTACAATTACAAATTTCGTTTTGCAAGTACAACTTAATAATTTTACTAAGTAATTAGTAATTTTATCCTGTATTAAGTGCAAATCTGAAAATAACACTTTTTGTGTTATTTTATTTACTTGAGACATTTGTTTAACTTGTCACATAACGATTTGTAAATGCAACGGCTGATTTTAGCCTGAAGAAAGCAGTGGGTGGAGCCAAGTGGAACACAGACACCGCAAATCTCAACTCACTGTTAGTTGCAAAAACACTAGAAGGTTTCTCCCAAAAGCTACACTTTTACTGAAACTGTATGTTTACATTTACATTTACACTTAGCGATGGGCAAATGAGACGGAGCTCCGGAGCACGTCTCCTTCTTTCTTAAAACAAATCACTCTGAAGCACTGCCTCGGAGCTCGTCTCGCAGCAGCCGCTCACGTGACCAAAGTGTGGAAGTGTCGGCCCCTCCCCCGACTGCTTCACTCTGCGTGTCGATCACTTCAGTGTATCGAAGCGTTTCATTGGCTCAGCGATTATCAGTGTAAAAGATGCACCAATATTTCTTAAAAATGTTAGGTAGTGAGGAGTATTGTGTGACGTTAGTGGTGATTTTGGTGACTTCTGTCGACTTTCGGCATTTGTTTCATTTTCGATGGCATCTACGAGTGGAAAAAAGCGATCCATGGTTTGGGATCACTTTGATCTATTTCCACCTAACAAGGAAACCTATTTTCTTATTTACAGCATGTTATTTATGTTGCTCTTTACATATTATTTGAAATAATCATTATTATTGTTGTTAGGGACGGTGTATGCTCTGCACACTCGGGACATGAAGAACCATAATCGCACAAACGAAACTTTTAGCAGCACAGAACAACACAAACGAAGCACAAAAGATCGACACAAGTTGCCGTTTTAGAGCATTTTGAAGCTCCCTGGGGGGGCTGGGTGACCCCAATTTGACCTACAGAAGGATCGTTAATATTTCCAAAACTAAAGCAGCACAAACGAAGCACGAACAATTGACATAGTTTTTAATGTAGTTTTGTGTTTGATGGGAGGGAAACTTCACAGAAATATTGAAGACTTACCGGCTGTAACGGGCACGACTCTTGGACTCAGAGCCGAGTCCAAGAGCCGCTGGAGCCTCTGGTTCTCGTGTTTGGAGCGGCGCACTTCCTCCTCATAGTCCGCTATGGTGCTCTCAAAGTGCGCACATATGTCCTCTACAGCCGCGCTCAGCCGCTCCTTCACAAAAGCTCTAAACACTTGGCCGTTGGACATTTCCAGTTGTTTTAGCCGGTGTAGCACAGCTCTGCTCTGCACAAACACTGTGTATATAAATCACATGGACAGAGCTGACGAGCTTCCGCCGCGTCTCGGACGTTCTGACCGTCCCGCCCCGTCCGCCGCGTCACTTTCAAACATGGCGTCATCCAGAAGAAATATACTAGAAGGGTGGATTTTGATACATTTTTCACTCAGTTTTGTGCATTTTCTGTTAACTCTGTTAACATGAATTAATCTCATAATAAATTTTGTGACTTGTGCATTGTGAAGAATAATTTGACGAATACACTGATTATTCGATCGGTTTTACCCATAGACTGGTAATTATTATTATTATTATTATTATTATTATTATTATTATTTATTGAATGAAAAGTACATAAAACCCTTGAACTGACGAGGGAAAAAGGGTGAATGAGAGTTGACAGCTGACAGAGTAAGAAGTAACAATTTAATTATGTTTGAAATAACTCATGTTATTTATGTTTGTGACCATTTTATTGTGAATGTTTTTGTACGACAACTAAAGCCCTGTTTTAGCTTATTTATCATTATATGTCATTATTCTAACCACATTTTACACAAACACTGCAAATGTTTTAACAGATGCTGTGCATTTTTATGTCCGGCATAAAGGACAACCCAATGAATGCGCTGTCCAAGTTGTCCGCACAGCTGAAGAGGCAGACAGTATATATTAAAGAGTTTCATGCCAGTGCCACTGGTGCACACAGTGGCAAAGAAAAAACTTAAGATACTAAAAACATACTGAGCAATGTCAGATTTCAACCTCTGTCAAATTTGTGCAGTGAGAGGCCGGAGGAGAGGGACAACTGTCTGGACATGGTCCTGTTCAGTATATGGACCAAAATACAGCTCACCACACAGTTTGCTGCTTACAAACTCAAGTCTGGACAAGAAGCCCGCTACATGTCACAGGTCACAGAGTCTCTTGGTGTGAGTACCTACAGGGAATTGGAGGAAAATGTCTTAATACAAGTTAAAAATTATTTTAAAGTAGAGGATGAAGTAGAGGACCATGTCACAAAATTCACAGAGCAAAGCCCAAAAGAGCCCCACAAACTCCTGCCTTCTACTACATCCTTACAGCAAACTACAATGCCCATTACTGGTGCCCTGCTCTAGGACCATGAACTGAGACAACTTGGACTAGTATTTGTTCTTTTTATATCTGTAAATAGTTTGTAAATCTTTTATAACCTATTCACTTCTCATCAGTCCTTTTCATTTGTCAACATACCAACTATAACAATTAACTTTAGGGCTGGGTATCATTCAGAAGTTGTCGATATGATACATACCTTGATACACAGGCCACAATATAATACATATCTCAATACAGTGAGCTTTATATTTGATACAATTTAAAACGATATATTTCAAATCGATTCGATGGCTGTGACACTAAAGTCTTTGTTAAACCACGTCTTGTTCATATGAAACACAAACATTTGAATAATCAAAACAGTGAAAATGTCAAATGTGTTTCATAAATGAGTTTCCTTCTTCTGACAACAGCAACAAAACTGTAGCACTGTAACAAAATAATTTAGTAAAATATACCAAAAAATACTCTTGGCAATATATCGATACAGCAGCCCACAATATTGATACTGTATCATTACATTAAACGATACTATATATCAATATTTCAATATTTTTGCACACCCCTAATTAACTTCAACTTTTATTATTAAAAATGATGAGCTTAAAATGTGTTTCAGTTGTCATCATAATACATAATGTAACTGAAATGCTTATGAATTCAGTGAATCCACTTAATAGAAAAAGCACTAAAAGTTAAAAAGATTCTTTGAAAATGTATAAAAATGTATAATTTGTTGTATTGTTTTAATGTGATATGCAGTACAAAGATGATATGAGATGATATGAACAGGAAAAAACAGCAGGTAATGTGTATTACACAGGGAATGATTTATATTATGTTACAGTATTACACACGCTATTGTTCACTGTCTGACAGCAGCAGGAAGAACAGACCTGTAGATAATCATTGTCCAACTCTGCCTTTAACTGAAGAATCTGTAAAACAGTGCATCTACATGTGTGAAGAATCCCTCAGTCGTCCAGGTAGAATCCATGGTGAGGAGAAAGTTCAGTTTGTCGACTGGACAGAAGTTAGTTTGGTTGAAGACGTTTCGCAGCTTGGATGAGCTGCAAAACGTCTTCAACCACACTAACTTTTGTCCAGTCGACAAACTGAATTTTCTCCTCGCCAGTGCATCTACATGAAAAACTGCATTACAATTTAAATACTATACAAATACAAATACATAATGCTCTTTGCAATTCACACCACAGTGCTTAAAGTTTTAAAATGTTTTAAAAATGGTCATATCACTTACAGCGTCCCTCTCATGTGTTCTCGTGCCATGCTATTTCCAATGTCTTAAACTTCCTTCAGAGTGCTTAAGTTGCAACTCATTAGAGAGTTTTATTCATCACATTTGTGTAAAACTGTTCCTTGACAAGTATAAGAACTAATTCCCAGTGTCACCATAATGTTTATTTACAGTGGACGCTGTGTTTGAAACTGGCGCGTGTGCATGCGCAATAAAGGGGAATCAGGGGGATCAGAATTTCCCGGAAGTAACTGGCTGCATCTCTGACAAAAAGATCACACAGATCAGTGGAATCCTCCGTCTGCTGGAGTCAGAAGATGAAGTGATGGCAGATAACAGTTTCCTCATCCAGGACAGAATGTAATTATTGTACACAACTAATTTACAATTGATATGGTTGTGTGGTAATTCATTTCTGAATGGTATGGTTTAAGAAAAATACATTTAAATGCTGTTGATTGTAAATTGAACAAAAGTAGGGGGCCAAGCTTACCATTTCTCCTTTCTCCTTTCCACATGTGGGATGCCCCTGTGCCACTCACACTGAACTGTTAACCAAATCTGGCACAATTGTGTGATGTCAAATTCTCAAAGGGCCTTATTCTTTGTAAGGTTAGTTGTATAAATTAGTTGTATATGAAATATAAATAGTTTTCTTTTGTTCACATTACAATCAACAGCATTTAAATGTATTTTTCTTGAACCATACCATTCAATAATGAATTACCATACCATTTTTTATTTTTATTTTTTTAAGTGCGATGACCTTTGATGTAAATTAAACACATTTGACCAAAGTATGTGATATCTGGTTGCTGTATAAGAAAAGAGGTGAGGACCACAAGAGCATTTTCTGAAGGTTTAACACATACAGAGCTCTGGCTCTACTGCCGACATCAACGACTCAGGAACAGACGGTGTGGTGGAGAACAGGTGTGAGGGTCATGTCAGACAGAGTGATCAATACATGGTCAGGCAACAACTGTAGTCGTAAAAGTGTACTGTGACAACTTAACTTTAGCAACAGCCACTGGTCTAACATTCCTTAATGTAATTTTAGGAAATAACAGATTTATTGTCATTCTCCTTACATGAAGCCTGTTTGTTCTTCAACTAACATAAAAAACATGCCATCAGTATGTTTTTCACTTTGTGATTATTATGAGTTGTCTTGTGCCTGGCTCAAGTACACAACAAACAGGAGAGATGGCAGAAGTTTGAAGAGTTGATCCTCTTATCAAACAAACTGCAACTTCCCTCATGGGAGCGGCTCGTGGTTAGTTTTGGTCAGCGAAGCTGTGTCCAGTCTGGACATCTGGACTGCTTCCTGGTTCCAGCCTCAATTTCATGAGCAAACTCAGGTGATACATGAAGTTCCTGCAGATGCATTTGCTGGATCTAGGTGGGCACTAAACAAAAGCTAGATAAACTGTGCTCCAACAGGAAATTCAGGAGCCATGTGGTGGAGGATAACACCAGAGAACTTCTGAGGTGGACACTGGTATGACAGAGACCCCCAGGCATCTGAAAGCCAGCATTTATAGATCCATGCAGTTCCATAGAAAACCATTAACTTCCGGAAATTGCAAAAAAAAAAAAAAAAAAAAAAAAAAAGGTCAATTTGGTCCACACGCGCTCTGAACATACCTAAACTGTTCTTTTGACTGTTGTTTCAGTTCTTGTATTGTTTGGATCTTGTAGCCTAATATGAGACTTTATCCTAACAAAACTTTTAAACTATTAATATCATAAATAAATACAAGGAAATGTGACTTACTCTGGATTTGTCCATATAATGTGCAATTGTGTAATAGTGTAGGTAAATCTTACAAAAGAGCAGATATTGCATACGTCATTGTAATGTAATTTTAAGAGTTTGAATTTGGGTTATTGCAATCCTGTATTTATACATCAAGTAGGAATAATTCATTTATGATGGGAAAAGACAGAAATGCTCACAAATGCCTTTTTTCGTTGATGTTCGTACACTCTCGTAAAACCTCGTCTCTCCTCGGCTCCACTTCGTCCTTTTCCGTGCGCGTTCGTGCTTTTCCGGCGCTGCTCCGTGGTGGTGGTTGTTGTTCCCGGTGACGCGGCGGAGGTGTAGCCTGACGCGGGCTCTTACGTGTCGGCCTGAATAAAAGTGGAGCTCGGGGAGGCCTTGGAGCGACCGAGGCGGGAGAGTGTGAGGGTAAGCACGGAGCGACATCAGACACACAGCGGGCTCGGAGGCTCGCTGCTCGGCCTGCCAAACCAGCCCGTGTCGGGGTGGTTCGGATCGGGAGCGAACAAAGAAATCATGGCGCCTCCGTGCGTTTGGAGCGGATTGGAGGGAGGGGAGGCTGCGCTGTTTTTTGGGGCTCAAAACGGGGAAATAAACGTCAAAATACCACACCACACTGCTATAAATATTGTCCTTTATAACAGTGTATTCGATTTTAAAATAGGCGTTGACAAATCATGCTAACACGCTCTATGATTTTTCCATTGATAAAGCTTTTTTCTGTTTTTCTCATGATGCAAATCTGTCAGCAATTTTCATTATTTGGTAACTTTGTGCAATATATAAATCCTTCTTGACAAATCATGAGAATTTATTGCATATTTGAACAATTTATATGCATAACTTCCCTATATTACGTTGAAATAACATAGTAAGAATTGACTGTCAAGGCCCGCTGCGTTGCTTGTGCGTAAAAACGTGCAATCCCAAGCGAAATCGTGAATAAATGCCAAATAACCTGAACTGATTAGTCGGTCTAATGTGTAGTAAAGTGGGCGTTGCCTGACCATGTGGCTTCGCTGCTGTCATCCGAGTGATTTTTGAAAAGCAGAGGGAGAAAAGTGCGAAGCCAATCATGCAGCGCACAGAGCCGACGCGCCAGTGAGATCACGGACACCGGAGCAGCCAGGTCCCGATCCCCGGTGAAGGTGAAGGCTCCGCAGGGCATGGGAGGGGGAGAGGTTGGTGGGGAGTCTTGTAGATAGATTTTGTGTTGTATTTGTAAATTATGACGGCGGGATAGTGATAAAGTTGTGAATGGGGCGCCTACTAGTCTTCGTCAGTAGCTATGCGTAATGGAGACGTGATAACAAGTAACAGCACGTTCGATGAGTTTTGAATGTCCACAAACGAAGTGTGCACTACATAGCATTCATGTGATTCCAAACGAGTTTATGAAATATGATCGTTATTTATGTATTAAGGGTGTATTTCTATGGATATGTTATTGCTCTGCTTGGAATGTTCCACAGTGTGACATTATACAGCTCTGCCTTGCATATATAAATTACAGACAGTGTTGGGAAGTAACGATTACATTTACCGGAGTTACGTAATCAGAATACAAATTACAGTTACTGTTTCAGTGAGTGGTAATTGGATTACAGTTTACTTTGTTGAAATAAATGGATTACACTTCGGGATTTTCCTGTTTTTTACATTTTGGTCTATATCCCCTTTTCTTTGTTTTTTTCCGTAATTGTACTCATTGCTGGACACTAAACCAGGTCTAAAAATAGGTCTAAACCAGGACTAAACCAGAACTAAACCAGGTCTAAACCAGGACTAAACCAGGTCTAAACCAGGTCTAAACCAGGACTAAACCAGGTCTAAACCAGGACTAAACCAGGACTAAACCAGGTCTAAAACCAGGTCTAAAAATAGGTCTAAAACAGGACTAAAACAGGACTAAAACCAGGTCTAAACCAGGTCTAAACCAGGACTAAACCAGGTCTAAACCAGGTCTAAAACCGGGTCTAAAACCAGGTCTAAAACCAGGTCTAAACCAGGTCTAAAACCAGGTCTAAACCAGGTCTAAACCAGGTCTAAAACCAGGACTAAAACCAGGACTAAAACCAGGTCTAAACCAGGTCTAAAACAGGACTAAAACAGGATTTAACAGGACTAAACCATGCTGTGCAGACCGTGTCTATTCTTCTTCTATCAATAATATTTTTAATACGGTTAAGTAAAGTCTGGACTTTTTATTGTCTTTTATCAGACAAAACATCTTATGTGAAGATATCCTAGTCTTTGCTTCTCTACAGCAAATCAAGTAATCCAAAGTATTCAGATTACATTACTCACTTTAAGTACCTTAATGGTTTACGTTACAAACTACATTTTGGGGTATGTAATCTGTAATCTGTAGGGGAATACATTTTAAAAGTCACCTTCCCAACACTGACTACAGATGGTTTTATTGCTCAAAAATACCTACAAAAATGGGCATTCTGACTGTGAGCGGGATCACCTCTCCACAGATCTGACCAGTAACTTGCTCTGGTTTGGTCTCCATGAAGATAGAAAGGTTTAATACCATACTGTGAAACATTCCAAACATTTGACTGACCCTTCACCAGAAAACTTACACCGTGCACCTTTAGCAGAACCTAAACAGCTGTTGCATAATTTGTGGTCAAAATGCATGATGTAACTTGGGCAAAATTTGATCACAGTTTTGGTAGAGAATATTTTAAAACAGCAATTCTCAGTAAACCTTTTTGATCCAAGTGGCAATGCACAGTACAATTTTATAGCAATTCTTTTATCTTATTTCTAACAATATTCTACTAGTACATGATGTCTGGTGATATCTCCTAGAAGAAAATGTGTTCACAGTAGCTCAAATGCACTATAAACACTTCAAATTAATGGTCACATGCCTTTCTTAAGTGTCATGCCCAAGGACACTACATCAGCATTTGATCTGTGGAAACTGGCATTTAAAAGTTGAAGATGCACTGCGCAACTTTCCTGGTGGATGGGTTGCTACCTGCTCGACTTTAAACATTTTCTTCTAGCATTTATTCATTACGGGTGTTTATATCACTCAAAAATAATAAATAGTTCACAGAAAATAATTATTTCTGTGAACAGAAGCGACTCTCCACAGATCTGAATTGTAAAGTAGTGTATTGCTGTAACCTGCTTGTCTCCCTCGTGATAGATTTAATCTACACTGTGGAACATTCTAGACAAAGCAATACAATTTCCGTGATATTAAGGAATGTTACGCAGTGCAGCTTTAAGCAAAAAGAAAAGTCAGGAAAAATTATTTAAAATCCAATAAAATAAACAAAATTACTAAGGCTGCATTAATCCAACTTTTTCAATTTTGATACTGATACTTTCGATACTATAGCTTTAAGTATCTGCTGATTACCGATATCAACCAGTGCAGGGACTGAAAATGGCATTTATTTTCTTTTATACAAAAATAAACTAAGACAAAACTGATCCAAATGTTTTATATCACTGTTATGGATCTCTCAAGTAAGAACCACTTATTTACAATCTCAAAAGTACAGAACAAATTTGTATAAATAAAAATTTAAACATTACAAGATTTTCTGGACCAGTTTCAACCAGTTAAGTCTTATTACATGAATTTATATGCCAAACTAGGATATCGACAGAATTGATATTTGGAAGCCACATTTTCAGTATCAAATATGAGTATCGGATCAGTGCATCTCTAAAAATGACACCAGCATCTTCAAAGCTGATGAGATGATGCTAACTCCTCCATCTTGTGTGTTTTGTATGAACAGTTCACTCTATGAAGATGGAGGCTGCAGAGGCTCAGCAGGCCGAGACTGCTGTGACCCAAAGTGAAGCACAACAGATCACCCCAGCCCAGATCGCCACTCTGGCACAGGTAATAACACAAATACAGGGAACGCTGCAGGTGTCAGTGCTTTGTAGGGACATGGAATTATATTAATATCTCGGAGTCTGACCCTAACCATAACCATAACTGCTTTAACATCTTTAGTTTACTCAAATCTGTGTTTTAAGTGATTCATGCATGTTTGAGTTGAGTATAGTTCTGTCGAGATTTGAGTGCCCAGAGATGTATTCACCTTCCCCCTATCTTTTATTAGGCTGCTTTAGATCAATATTGCAATTAACAATGAACAAAATGTAAAATCACGTATATATTATAGTTAATTGTTGTCCAAAGACTGGGTCACGACCCTCAGGTGGGTCGCAACAGGGTTTTTTCTGGGTCGTCTTGTCGCGATCTGCATGTAGGTCTGTAAATATACAGTTCTGACTCAAAGCTATTGAGTCAGCACATTCTATCTGCCTGCCCTGAATGATTGTTTCTGTAGCTTAAGAAAATGGGAAATGCTTGTTGAGTTGTCCAAAAACAAGGGTGATAAATCAGCAAAGGTCAGTGCACTTCAGGATACTTATGGATCCTTTTATTGCTGGTCCAATTACTGTTTTTTATTGTTTAAAACTTGAGTAATACTAATTGTTCAGAGAGACACGATCACTCAGTCAACAATAAAATATCCCTATGGATGTTCAATAATGGTCAAATTAGGGCGGCTCGATTATGGAAAAAATCTTTGTCAGGTTTATTTTGGTCAGTATTGAAATCACAATTATTCAAACAAAAAAATCAAAAAAAACAAACAAACACTTTGTTATTGATAATTTACGCAAAACTTTCAAACTGAAAATAAATATAGGCTACTTATGTACCATAAAACAGTTTTGCAATGTATAAAACAAAAAATTAATAAAGTATGCTTTGAACATGAAATAAGGCATAGAAAAACATGAATGTATCCAAAATAAATTTTATAACCAGTTGTTCTACAATGTCTATATTAAAAAAATGGATAAATATACTTAATTAATTGCACAGCCTTAGGTCAAATCCACCTTTATTTTGTGATTTATGAATAATGTCTATTGACTAGGGTTGTGAAGGTTTGTGACTTTTAAAATATGGGTCCGCAGAAAAAAAGTTTGGGAAAGACTGTTATAGTTTATAGCTTATTTCCACTTTAACCTTCACCTAAATTCACTTTTACTTTAATGTTTTTAATCATTGCAGGTGACACTGTCCCAGGGCCATGTCTCCTCGGCAGGACCCACGGTGACTCTGGTGCAGCTCCCAAACGGACAAACAGTCCAGGTGCACGGAGTGATCCAGACCGCCCAGCCCTCGGTCATCCAGAGCCCACAGGTGCAGGCTGTACAGGTGAGACAGGTGCAGGCAGGTGCAGAGTATTAGCCAACCAAAATTTGTAGTAGTTGAATAATTATTTTATTTAGATTTTAAGGATTTGTATGGGACAACAACAGAAAGCAGAAGTGGGTGACTGAGTTAGCTGAAGATTTGGTATCTTTTGGTTTTTATGTGTAAAAGGCAGAGTTTAATCTATTTATATAAATATTAGTTGTTTTTGCATGTACTCCTGTGCAGTTCTAGCCTTGTGAGTGCAGTTTGCGCATACATGCATTTATCTTGTTCCCACTCGCCCCTTTCTTTTTTATTCATTAGGTGTCTTTAATAAAAGTTCCAATTCTTTTTAATAGTTTTGTCAGCCTTTGTGTCGTTAGTCAGCAGAAAAATTGCATCCATGAAAATACTTCCTGTTTGTGTCCAGATCTCGACGATAGCGGAGAGTGAGGATTCACAGGAGTCAGTGGACAGTGTGACTGACTCACAGAAACGCAGAGAGATCCTGTCGAGACGCCCCTCCTACAGGTCAGCAGGAGTATTACACCAGGAGCTCACACCTGAAAAGAACTATGTAAACAAACCAGGACTCCCAATGTAATAGGTTTAATAATATTTGCCTGAATTGTTTATTTAATAAGTTTTGATTTGTTAATGGATTTAAAGGTCCTGTGCCCCATTTTTTCCTCCATGTATCTGAACAATATTTGCCTTACCCTAGTGCAGATATATGGTATGAACAACTCTTGAAGTCAAAATATGTCTGCTATGTTCTGTCTACATTTAAATACAATTAGTACAGCAAAACTCTGCTCTGGTCTCTGAGAGTTGTGAAAAGAGCTTATAAACTCATCGCTGGGAATAACTAGGATGCTCAGAATGCATGTTATAGGTGAGGAATAACTTTGGACTACTGCAAACCGTTTAAACCAATCCTGTTTTTCATGTTCTTAAGAAAAGAAAAATCAAGAGAAAAAGTACTGTACTTTTAGCCTCTCCTCATTTTCCTGTCAGGTGAATACTGTGGTACTGATATCTGTACTGTACGTTCCTTTTATGCCAATCCTCTCCATGTTGTTTTTACAGAAAGATCCTGAATGATCTTTCATCTGATGCTCCCGCTGTGCCCCGTATCGAGGAGGAGAAGGCTGAGGAAGACTCTGCTTCTGCTGCAGCCGCCACGCCCGCTATCACCACGGTTACGGTGCCCACGCCCATCTACCAGACCAGCAGCGGACAGTACAGTAGGTTTACAGGAGGGGAAATGCTTAAATGTACTCTAGGGCTGGCTATACAGGAGCAAGGTTGAAGAAATCCAGGAAATGATCGAATTTATTTAAAGATGCACAATGTAACTTTTCTGGTGGAGGTTCGCTACCTGCTTGTCTCCTTGAAGGTGTTAATTCCTGGAATGTTCCACTGTATGTGATTAAAGTTACGTCTGTTGCATCTTGCGTCTAAAGCTTCCATCTGTAATTAGACTGGCCGAGCCGCCCCTGTTGTATTCTCACAGTTCACCACTAGATGCTGCCTATGTTACTGCTGTCTGATATTGTACCAGCTTTGGCCTGAGAGAAGAAGACCAGAGACTTCAGAGCTACTTCCGAATTCATCAAATTGGCCTTTAAGCTCCTAGCTCCTTAAGCCATGTGCATCACCGTCTATCCAGATAGTGCACTGAGTGAGGAAGAAGTTAGGAAAAGGAACCTCGGCAGCTTCCTAACCAGCCGTAAAGAGCTATGAAGCATCCTACAATCCATTGCGCATTTTACCCGAAGATTTCTGAACACAGTTGATTTCCACATGAAGAGTTTCTAATGCGTTAAAAGTCTCAGTGCCTCAGACATTATACAAATTAAGTACCTGGTCATACCCAACTTTATATAAGGATAAAAGTAAAAGCTTTTAGGGCCATCACAGCTTCACGTATTTTGTTTGGAGACTGCATATATTGTTTACATTTATAGAAACAAACTTAAAACCACGTGGCTAATTGTGCATGAACTCTGCTGATGAACGTGCAATCTCTACGCTCCACTGCAAACAGACTAAACGACATTTGGTGGAATATTTGTTGAGACAGACGACAGAGGCTACAGCTGATGATGAGTCTGGAGAATATATTTGTTCTCTTCTGAGCATGGGTGTGTGTCGTGATGCTGGAGGTGGTTCATGTTTACAGATCGTACAGTCTGAGGGATTTATTGCAGATCTTTCATATTCAAGAGCAGCATCGTTTCTCATGAGCAAACACTCGGGTCATTTCTGTTCACTGTCATGCTGAAATTTTCATTAAAGCCAGTGCAGTAGAGGAGAATAAGGAGCGCTTATTGTTGTCCATTTTGTGGGTGTTAAAGTTTTTTTTATTAAACAGCTGTGTTGTCACGCACCCTCTCTGTTGTTTCCACCGCTGGTTAGGACGGTCAGATTCTCCAAACTAGGGATGGGCATGATTAGTCAATTAATCGATAATTGATCATTAAGAATTTCATCTATTATGTTTATTTTAATCGACAAACAGAATGTAGGTTGCTGTGCATAGCGTGACCAAACAGGGGTCCGTACATGTAGCTCTTTGCTCTCAGAAGGAGCGAGCAGACACAAACAGTCGGTCAGTCTGCAACATACTGAAGTGCAAATGCGAACGATGTGCAACGATGACTTGTACAAGAAATTCCATGCTTTCCATTCCGTTTGGGACAAGTGGGAGGCCATGTGCACAGTGTACAAAGCAGCACATGTGTTTCGGTGTCCAGTAGAAAAAAGTTTTGCCAGGTGAGAGTCGCGCAATGTCGATGACGAGTCCCCACCTCCCACCCCCCATACGGTGTCCTGGTTTTGACAAACGCAAATATGGTCACACTAACCTGTATTCCACTGAGTCATGTCTTTTAATCCAACAGAAGTTGAACCACATCAGCAACACAAGAGCTGTAGTTTTATCTTCGCTTAGTTTATTTGTTGCGCAAAACTGAATTAAACACATTATAATGTCAAACGGATTGATGTGGCTCTAGAGTCGTTACGGTTTATGTGTCGTAAAGTTGAATTTATTTATGCAGATTAGTAGTGCAAATAGTAATAATAATGATGATCATTTTAATATAAAATGTTAATGATTAATCGATAATCGATCGTTAATTCTTCCGACGATTGATTAAGAAAATTTCATCAAATGTCCATCCCTATTCCAAAAGCAGGTGAAGCTCCAAAGGTAAAGAAGCTAGGAACTTTGATTTGACAAACTAGCTGAGGTGAGTCTGAACAAAGGCCAGTTGAGGGGAGGGTTGAACAGGTTTACAGATGGTAGCTTTTGTTGCTCAAACATCCTTTGAAAAATGTGGATTCTTACTGAGACGACTTACCTGTCCACAGAACTGTCACTTGGCCTGGTGGTGTACCTGCATGGAGATGAATACGTTAGTTTAATGTCATACTGTGCAACATTCTATGAAAAGCAATGGCATTTCCTTGGAGATAAGCAGATGGCAGATTCAACACCAAAAAAGTTGCATAGTGCACCTTTAATATTACATCCTTAATTTACAGTTTAGCGCCTTGAGACTTAAAGGGTCATTTTCAAGATGGATGTGTTGACCATAAAACAATTTACATTCACACAATTAAACAGTAACATTAAATGAAAATAGATCAATACAAAATTCAAAATAATAATGTTATTAAATCCAACTAAAAACAATTTCTTTGACCAAAATTATAAGGTATGTAGGTTTTTGGACGTTTTGCTTTCTTTGAATTGTACTGTTTTCCAGTACTTGATTTGCTACAGTCTTCAATAAAACTCCAATTAAGTAATTTTAAATATATTTACCTAAATGTGTTAACTACTGATGTATTGTTTAACAGTGTTCATACATACATGGATTCTTTCTCAAAGACTATAAGAAGGATGTACTTTTCTCATTATTCTAATGTTGCCTCGAGGCTAGAACTAAAGTCTGTTTTTTGTAACTTGATATTTCCCAAAGCCCTGAGGCAGATTCTTTAAAGCTCATTTACTTCTCTCTTTCAAACTGTGACAGAGGGAGGAGGTGAGACTGAACTGTTACTGAGTTTTAGTTATACTCAGTAGAAGACAAAAAAACAATTGCATGTTTATTTGGTTTGACCCCTTTCTCTCCTACTTTCTCTCTTTCTTTAATGCCCCCGTATCTCTCTAAATTTCTCTCCCTCTTTCCAATTGGCCTACCCACCCCACACCTAACCCTCTCCTCCTTCTCTCCTCTCTTAAACCTTCTTCTTTTCTATCTCTCCCTCTCTCTCCCCTCTCCCTCTGTCTTGCCCTTTTCTCACACCCTGTCCTTCTCTCATCTCTTGTCTTTTTTCCTCTCCTCTTCCTCCTCTCACCACACACACCTTTCTCTCTCTCACTCCTTCCACTCATATTCCCCTCTCTTTCTCCCTCTCTCTTTCTCTCTCTCTCTATCTTTCTCAGTTGCCATCACTCAGGGCGGAGCTATCCAGTTGGCTAACAATGGCACCGATGGAGTTCAAGGCATCCAGACTCTGACCACAGCTCAGCCTGGAGCTACCATCCTGCAGTACGCCCAGACCAGCGACGGGCAGCAGATCCTGGTGCCCAGCAACCAGGTCGTAGTGCAAGGTCAGACACAAGTCCACACTTATTTATATCATTCAACAATTTGAGATGACAGGAGAGGCGGACCTTTCCAGACCTAAGGGCAATTTTAGTACATTTGTCCTCACCTGGATTTTTTTTTCTTAGTTTTGCTATTAAAACTCCCCCTTTTACCCCCAAATGAAATGTTATACATCCTTTTTTCAGTACAACCTGTAATTTTACAATCTGCATGCTGTAGTTGTGTCATATGGCTGTAAGAAAAGCTATAGGACCAGAAATACAAATACATTTTTGGACATTAAAAAATCGTAATTTAGGGCCTTAGCTACAAAAAGTGCAAAATATCAAGTAAACTAAAATATCCTTATTGCCCCCAAAACAAAAAAAAGTGTAATTGGCCCATGACTTTCCTGGTTTCAACAGCTGGTGTCAGGTCCAGGGCGCAGAGCCACATCACTTCCTGCATTTCCATGGTGTTTATTACATTTGGATTTGTACATTTTGTCTGAAATAAACCTTTCAAATAAAAATAGCAAGAGATGTGCAATTACGACGACCAAGATGTGTATTTTGCCATTTATTTTAGAAATAACTGCACTTAGGCTTTTTGACTTGTTACGAACATAAACGCTCTTAGCAGTCAACCATTTTGACCCACTACACTGTTTGGCAAAGTTTGGGCCAATCAGAATGGATGGAGCGCATGAGTTTGGCAGAAAACAAAGTTCCTATTGGACACTTGTTTTCCCTACATCATCACACAGCGTGCGTGTGAGTAAGTTTCTATCTTTTATGGTAGGAAAGTTATGCGTGATTAGGGTTATTCCCCACAATGTCCTTGGGCCGAAAGGGTTAATGTGCGTGGGTTGGGTCGGGTTGGGTCCTAACATTTGAACCCATTTCTTCATGTTGGGTTGGGTTGGATTTTATCTTGGGTCAGGCATCGCTCCTGCTCATGAACTTAGTGTAGGAATATAGAATGTTGTGATGTCATCTGAAAATAGTTTGTTTTCTTCGTTGTTAAATAAAATCCCTTTTGTCTTAGCGGCTTCAGGTGATGTGCAGGCCTATCAGATCAGAGCCGCTCCAGCCAGCACCATCGCTCCCAGTGTGGTCATGGCCTCGTCTCCTGCGCTGCCCACAGGGGGCGCCACTGAGGAGGTCACCCGCAAACGAGAGGTTCGCCTCATGAAGAACAGGTACTGCAATCACTGTTTACATAATCTCCCTGTGTTTTGTGGCTTCCTCTGGTTTTTGAGATCTTAATCTTTTTTTTTCCATCCCCATGCCCTGTTTTAGTCGATTAATGGATATACAAGACATGTCTCACATACACCAGGAATTTCTTTAGTCGACTCCAGCCCTAATTGCTGAAAAACAATAAAATCAAGAAAAGAAATCAAGAAATCAAAAGTCTTAAATGGCGTCTTGTGTGTTTGTCCCACAGAGAGGCGGCCCGTGAATGTCGCAGGAAGAAGAAGGAGTACGTAAAGTGTCTGGAAAACCGCGTGGCCGTGCTGGAAAACCAAAACAAAACGCTCATCGAAGAACTCAAGGCTCTCAAAGACCTGTACTGCCACAAGTCTGAGTAGATCCATCTCCAGAGAGGGACAAGTAGCATCGCACGACACACATTTAGGTACCACTTTATAATAACTACGTCTGCATTAGCCTTAATAAAGTACGAACACAGACTTCAACTATTATAGACAAGAATGATTCAGACTCAGAATTGGAGTTAGGGTAATAATTACGTAGTTACTAAACCAGAATCAGTCTTGAAGGTGCATTGTGTAACGTTTCTGGTGGAGGATCCATGGAGATGTTTTTTGCTTTGTCTGGAATGTTTCACAGTATAGTTTTAAACCATTCTCTATTCATGGAAACCTTACCAGATCAAGTTACAGGTCAGATCTGTGGAGAGGCAACCCTGCTCACATTCAGAATGCCTGTTTTTCTTGGTATTTTTAGCTGTAAAACCAGAAATTCCAGGCAGAGCAATGACATATCCATAGAAATGCACCTTGCACCTTTAATAAACATTATAATATTTCTTTGTCATTATAGACATGAGTAAATGTAGTTATTATTAAGTGTTGCCAACATTTTACACAGGTCCCGTTTCTCTTTTATAGGCTGTGAATATTTTTAAAGTCTTAATTCATCTAATTTTAGCACTTGAGCAAAGAAATGGCAATATGTATTGTTATTAAAACTAGAATTCTTGACGTATACTGTGTACAATATAGTGACGTTATTATGTCACTACTAACACAGTGTTTACAAATGTATTAATACAGTAAATGTTTGCAGTGGTCCAAAGTTATTCCTCATTTACCTAGCGCCATCCCAGCATCCTAATAATTCACTGCAATGGGTTTATGAGAGCTTTTCAGAACTTCCAGTGGCTTCCTGGTTCGCGGGCAATAACAAAACACTGCAGAGAATACACAGCGGTCTCATTTTGACCCTAAGAGCTGCTTATACATTATATCTGTACTTAAAAATAGAAATCAGGTACTTGCTTTTAAATATTACATAAACTTCACCCATCAAACTTCACAGCCTACTTCAAGAGAAAAGTGTTGGTTATTTCTGTACAAAGTTGGTTTTTAACTCAAAGCACACTTATTTACCCTGGATTTACTACAAACACGTGAACAGGAATATTAAGATTTAGTAATATTTAAAAATAGCTGAAAATGGCACTACAATAATGAAAACAGGGTATACTTATTTGAATTCAAGTGGTGCTCCAGTGGGTTGGAAATCACAGGGTATCCCACAGTGCTTTGCTACTGATACTTTGCAGTGCTGCCTAGCTGTGGGTGTTCAACATGTATGTCTATGGCGGAATGGTCAGCAGTTACCATGGTGACACAGTGCGCACATTAAGCAAGCAGCTGACAAAAAGACAGTTGTTTATGGTCAGACTGTGTTAAAACAAACCTCAGATTAAAGTCTAACAGAGCTGCAGACAGAGCAGTGCCTCTAGTTAGCATCATACAGAATAAATAACAAGCAATTATAAAATGTACATGTTTGGTGTGAATCCAGGGTAGCCATTTTCTGACTGCTCAAATATGGTGGCAGCTGCAATACGATTTCTACAGAATGAAATAATACTAAATATTAATACTAAAAAGAAGAGATTTTGACAAAGAAATTAATGACAAATTCAATATTGTCTATCTTGAAAAATAAATATTACTAATAGAGTAGTATTCTATGAAAGTACCAATAGACTATGGAGTGATTCTGGTGTTATGAAAATACAGTGTCCTCTGCTTATATTGCATTTGTAGATAAGAAACCTAATTAAGTTTTGCACATCTCCAGCAGGGTTACATGGACTAAACTAGAACTAAAACTCAAAAGAGGCCTAAAGTAGAGCTAAAGCGGGACATCGCAAGGACTAAACAAGGACTATACCATGTAAAGTTGTAATAAACCAGAGCTAAACCAGGACTAAACAAGGACTAAACTAGGATTAAAGCATGTAAATGAGTAATAAACCAGAACTGAACCAGAACTAGACCAGGATTAAAGCAGATGCTGTGCACTATGTAGCTTTTCTGGTGGAGGGTCTGCAGTCCACGTCTGCTTATCTGAAGATGTTATTACTTTGCCTGGAATGTTTGACAGTATAGAGTTACACTTGCTTATCTCACATTTAATTGATTACAAATATTTTGATTGCATTGCAAAACTTCAATTTTTATGAGTGGGCTTGCATATCCACAGATTTAACTTGTAACATGCTGATAGGTGTCTGATACCATACAGTGGAACATTCTCGGCAAAGCAGTAACCTCTCCATGAAGCAGGTGACGAACCCTCCACAAGAAATTTTACATCATGCAGCTTTAAAGTGCCTATGATAGGTTGGACTACTCATTTTACTTAAACACATCTTTATATTTAAGATTTTACTAAAAATTCTATACATTTTTCCCCGGTTTGGCAATTTTTTCATGTATCAAATTTGATTTCCGCTAGAAATTGTGACATCACACTAAGCATAAGTGTTACAGCCACATTACACACTTTGCCAAAACTCCTTAAATGTACACAGAAATGAATATTTGACAAATAATAGAACAAAACAATAAAACAAAAGCTTTATTTTGTTGAAAGTATGTTTAAAGTGACAGAACATGTTCCTACCATGATGTCACCAGTCTGGGAATCTGAAAATAGAACTGAAATAGAACTTTACTTCCTGTAATTTTCAACATATTTTTCCACTTTCCTTCACAAATCGCTCCTGAATCAGTGTAAAACTATATTTTTTTATTTACAACATGTATTATCCCACCAAATTAAGTCAAAATTAGCGAATGATCAAAACCTGTCATATTCACTTTAAGGTTATAAAATTATTAGAACAATATGGACAATTTTAACTCCTGATGTTCACCAAGGCTGCCAATATAAGCAGAGGACAGAATTGTAACATATATGTATTTTGGGCTGTTTTTATTCACACAGAGGGGTTCCTATTAAATATATATTATACAATTGTCTTGTTAAAGTGCTGGACTCCATCTGAACAATGTAATCCTTTTTATATTCCCTGTACATAGCCTTTTGCATGTGTAGATTATTCGTTTCATTTGATAAAAAATGTTCTCGTTTGAAATATTTGTAACATAGATGTAACATAGGCAGAATTGTAGGTCTCTATGTGGAATTCACTTTACCACTCCATCATGGCAGCTATGTCTATGGGAAAGGCCTTTGTACGTTCTATTGTTTTTATAAGTCAGAAAGCAGCTAGAGTCCACGTTACAATTTTTATTTCATGTATTTAATTCTTGCATGAAGTTAAAAAAAAAAAAAAATATTTCAGCAGAATTTACAACATTAAAAACTGCAAAAAAACAGGAATACATAAATACAATATTGTACATGATAATACAATACCATTTTTATACATCATTTCAAAACAAAATAAAAATACCACTGTTAAATTTTGTGTATTGAAGCTCCTACCCAGAAAAAATCTTTAGTTTTTTGTTACTAAGTTAAGTTGCACTGCATTTGTTACACTCAAACTTTAATCTATTATTATGTTTTCAAATAGAAAATTTCAAGTTAAAATAATTAGTTGGAAAAATCTGGCTTAATCAAACAAAAAGATAAAATAGTAATTGGGATACAAATGAAAGACAAAAAAATGTAAAACTAAAGCTGTTAACTAAACATAATAAATTAGATGGAAAATATCTTTTAGCTAACTGTACTCTCTGGGCAAATGGTGATTTTAGCCGCTAAGCTAATGGCTAATTTAAGTCCATTTCGAACCTAAATCAAAATGCAAACTAGTTATTCTCTTGTGATTAGATGAAAGGTGATACTGATGGTTTCTAAATGCCTGTAACATTGACAATTGTTTACAACATTTACAAATGACAAATGTTTGTACAAATATGCATTACAAACTCATAAAGTTGTTGCCAAGTACTTGTATTGGTATTAACAAAATAGCAATTTAAGACTGAATACTGTTATCATATCATCTCATATTAATTCCATGTAGGTATGGGTATTGACAAAAAGTATTATTATAATATATATTTTTTATAATTTTACTTTTTTTTTTTTTCAGAAAAGCCTAGTCAGATCCTGTTATGCAGTTCACCAGACATATGCTAAAACGTGCCTGTATATGTCTTTTTTTTTCTGCAATTCTTAAATATTCTTAACAAAGTGAAAGGGAAAAAAAGTTAATTTAAACAGAAATGACATTTTTATTCTTTTTAGCTCATTTTCCAGCTTTGACAGTTTTATTTTAAACAATATACTTGATATTCTAATCCGCTAAAGAACTAAACCTAGCTAAAGAACTATTTTGATGATGTTATACTATACATCGCTCACCTCTATTTCCATTCACTCTTAATACTGCTTCAAAATAGTCCTACATATGGTACATAAAGGTGTACTATGTAACTTTTTTTGGTGGTGAGTACTCTCATCATCTTATCTCCATGGTAACGTTATTGCTTTGCCTTGAATGTTCCGCAGTGTGACATTTAACGTAGCTATAACCGGCATTTGTTTTGACAGGGCTATTTTTATTGCTCAGCAAACACTAGTGCGGGATTTCCTCTCCACGGAACTTACTTCTAACTTGGACTGGTTACATCACCTGCTTGTCTCCATGGAGATATAGGTTTAATGCTAATATTGTGAAACATAACAAACCAATAGCAATAACAATCTCCATGGAGATGAGTAGAAAACCAGAAACGTTACATAGTGTTAAATCACAACTTTTTACTGTCAATAGTTTGCAAATAATTCAGAATCGGTGCTTAGAAATTCTTTGTTATTGTCAAAATGTGGACTCAACTTTAGAACTTTGTATAATGCAATATCCTACCAATAGTATTTTCAAATTTGAGCCATGATAGTTTTGATTCATGGGCCATGAATGTGCATGAACGTGCGTCATCATAGACTTTGTAAACTAGAAATTCAACTTTTTTATTGATTCATGTGACCACTACTTTGTATATTGCCTTTTACAGGTGGGTAAACTACAACTCCATTTTATTGTATTGTATCTCGTTAAAATGATTGTTGCCAAATGATGCATTCATAACAGTTTGTGGGAATTATCTGTATTGTTTATGTATTACCAATCTTTTGTAAACACTTGTTATGTCGTATAATAAACTGCAATATACATATTTACTGTTGTTGTAATGAGGTGTAAGTATAAATTACCCTTAGACTTAAACAAACCTTACTGATTCACAAGGGAAATTATTTGGACACAGTAACTCACATATTATAATATAACAACAAAGAGTCAGGTTTATGGAGATGCAAGTCTGCTCACAATAAGGGAACAGTTTTTTTCTGTGCTATAAAAAGAACCAAGATTGTGTAAAAGCTTTTGCTCTATTTGGCTAAAAAGTTACATACTGGGGCTTTAATATAAGCAAAACTGTATTTTGAAACTTAATCAGGAAACTTAATTGACATCTAGGCCTACATTATTGCGCGATTCACTCTCCTTTTCAAAAAGGGTGTGGGTCTCTGAGAATACAAAAATAGCATCAGCGAAAGTACAGACCCATCAGTTTAAATCCTCTTTGATTGACAGCTCGTTCAGCCAATCAGCGCCTGCGAGAGATTCATGTTTTGATTTATCATCCAATCAGAGAGGAAGGAATTCAACAGTGGGCGGGTCTAGAGCGTTTTCCTGCCAAATGTCATAACAGATGGCAGCGGAGGAGAGACTGACAGATTCGTGCGCGTTATGAATGAATATTGTTAATACGCGTTTATCTAACAGTCTAAAATAGTAGGCCCATGCTATTTATGAATAAGAATGCTCATCTTCCGTCTATGACAAATATGCAGATTAGCTAGTGGCAGACCGTCAAACCAAATATTTCAAATACAGGCTCATACGTTTAAGTACGATAAGTATGTTATGAACAAGTTCTGAATAAAAATTACCATAGGGCATTATTATAGGTGCATATCATATCCAATAGCCTTTATGTTTGGTGTTTCTGAGCATATTTGACTTAATTAAGTAACTAGAAAATATATAACGTTAATAATAAATATTAGAGAAAATTGTTTTAATTGTTTTAGCAAAGTACAGTTTTGCTGTTGATTGTCCAAATGTAGTTGCCATACTCTAGAATCCAGACCGGCTCACGCATGCGCAGAGGGCTTTGCGAAACAAATTGGGCAGCGACGAATTGGGCGGTGACAAGCGGCACAGACTGTAATTCCAACGAAAGGAAAAGGGACCGCTACAGAGAAGATTTGGGCGTTTTATACGGATTTAGCTACTGAAAATTAATTGGAAAACGTGTGTTGTTTTGAATATTGTCCTTGTTCTTTTATTTTGTCGTGTTTTGTGGCTTTTCTTCAACGACGATCCCAAAATCTCTGGACTACAGTTCGATGCCTGATCCGCTTCCAAGAGGGACAGCTGCTGGGATTGTTTGGATACTATGAGGAATGTTTTATTTTTACCAAGAAAAACGTAGTATTTTTATGTTTTAACGTACGCCGATTTTTATATTACTGCCTAATTTAATATTACAGTTATAATTTTGCAAACTGGGCGTGTTATTTGGGCTTTTTTGATCGGAATGCTAGCTCGTTAGCCGCCTAGCATAGTTTCGCCGTGTTGAACGAATGAATGAACGGACTGTATTGTAGCCACGAAAACAACTTTTTATTGTTTTATGTGAACGATCCAACCCGTAGCGAAGGAGTTGGCGTTTAAATACAGCATGTTCTTGTCGTGCTAAGTGCCACAAATGGACTGGAATGTGGTTAGAAGTGAAAATCGGTGATTGAAGGAAGAGGCTAGAGAGAGAATTTGGATTTGCGCTAATGTTTGGACGAAAAAGAACGTAAACTAGCCACGTTTATTTGCACTATTTGGACTGAGTTTGAAGCTTAGAGCCGTGCGGAGATGGGGAACACTTTATCATGCTGCGTCTCCCCAGAATCAAGCCCCAAACTCCCGTCGAGACAAGCTCCGGAGAGGCTGGAGGAGGTTCACACCAGTACCGACGTGAGCGACGACAACACCGGGCCCTACCTGCAGCACATCAGCGACAGAGAAATCCCCGATGGTACGTACTTACAGCGGGGATAGCTATTATAGGCCTATATGAATATTTAAGGACGAACTAGACTAGAACTAAGTATTTCTATTCTAAACCAGGACCAAGTGAGACACATATGGACTAAACCAGAACTAAAGCATGTCTTTCACATGACGTTCACACCTTTACAAACACCAAATATCAAAAGTTAGACTAAACTGGAACTTAAAAGGCTCATATTACGCTATTTTCTGGTCTTTGTTATAATGTTGTTTCCTCATTACCTGGAGTTGTGTTGTGTTTTGTGTTTTTTCCTTTAAGACAAACCCTGCTGTGTTCTTCACTCCAACAGAAAACACTCTGTTCCACCTTGTGATGTCATGTGGTAATACAGGATGATTTCTAAGTGAATTTCCAATCTGTACTGAACCGAAGGTAAAAGGTAGCTGTTAATTTGAAAACTACCACTACATGACATCTCGGTGTGGAACAGAGCATTTTGATCTTTCAGATGTAGACAGACTAATAAACCAGAGTTACTCAAACATGTGTGAGTGAAACAAAACACAACTCCAGGTCTGTTTTTGATGAGGTAACAGCAGTGTAATATGGCTTAAAGTTCACAAGTGTCAGTTTTGTGTAATATAGGACCAGGACTTAAACATGTCTCAATCACAGTCTACATCAAGAAGTGGACTTAAGGGAGTGTCACATTTCCAATAGCGTTCGGCTCCAGTCAAAAGAAGCCAAGCTCCATATTAGGAATAAGAATTACTTTATGGTCAAAATTGCAAAATAAAAACACCATGATCATGTAGAGCAGGTTAATACTACAGCAGTTACAGAGAGAGGTGACAATATTCCAATTTAAGTCAATTGGAGCCAGGATCAGAAGGAGCTGGAAGCGCCCCCATGCTCACTGCCTATTTGTAAGTCTATGGTTGCAATCAGATCAAAACCAGGATTAAACTAGATCTAAGTCTGCTCTCACAATTACACACACATCAAATTTGGGACTAAACTGAAACTAGAGGTAGACAATATTGACAAAAATGATTTGATGTAGTAATTGGTGGCATATAAAACTGTTATTATCATATATTATTAATACTTACTACAATAAGTAATGTGTATTTTCTTTTTGAAGATGCAAAGACTAACAGTAGTATAGAAAAATATGAACAAACCTAGAGAAATATTGATGGGTATAAAATTGGAAGAAATATTCAAGATTAACATGGTAAACAAATTATTTAACAATTCAATTCATTAACAAAAATGAATTTTAAAAAATGTAAATAATTAAGTAAAATTGTATGGTACAAACAGAATATAAGATTCATGCTCCAGAAAAATAGTATAGAATATTATGAACACCATTTAGAGTAGTTACAGAGAAAACTAAGTGTGACACATGTACATGACAGTAAATAGATGTAACATATTTTAATTTTAAATAACTGCATAGACCAGACAACAGTCGTATAGAATGATGTGTTGTCTTAGAACAGTCATAGAGCAAATTCGATGGATATTAAATCGTAATAGAAAATAATAATAAAATGGGTTTGAATAAAGTAAAAGTCCATTGTACAAACAGGACGTGCGTGGAGTTGACAGTAAGAATGGACAGGAAGCGTCTGGGGAGAAAGCGAGGTCACGACTCACGCCCTTTTCCTGAGGGAGGGGCACATAATGCGATACTGGGTTTAGAATTACACAGGACCACAAATGCACGGCACCATCAATGATATCGATACGGTAGAACTAGTAGTAGTCAACAAAACATGAATCAATACATTATAAATAAGTCTATTGTTCCTAGCAGCTCTAATAGGTCAGGTTCACAGGACGTCACATTGCAGAACCTCTATAGTTGAGAATGCACATTTCTTGGTTAATATCTTCGAAATGACTGATCTTATCCACATTAAACAAAAACTGGCACAAAACTCAGCATCTACTCTGTTGGTATAATTGAACAAAACTGAAATGGTTTGGTCACAACAGTTTTAAAAGGTGGTACCATTATCCAACTCAAAATATGTTGTTGTCGTCAGTCGAAAAGACTTTAAAGGTGCACAGTGTAACTATCTGGCCCAGGGTTTGCAACTTGCTTGGCCACAGTATTTCCGCAGAGACAAGCCCGCAGTGCCCAGGCCAAGTTACAGGTCAGTTCTGTGGAGAGGCATAGCTCTCTCACTGTAGGAACACACAATTTTGTAGTGTTTTTGAGCACTAAAACATCTGTGATTGCTTAAATGCAACATAAGCGAGTTGAACGCCACACTGTGAAAACCTAATGGACAAAAAACAAAAATATCTCTATGGAAAAAAGTTTGTGGCAGATGCTCTACAGAAAAGTTACACAGCGCACTTTTGAGGAACAAGATTAATATGGCAGTGAACAATAGCCAGGCTGGTGCCACCTAGTGCCTCCGCTCAATTTCATTTCTCTCCAGCAACTAGGTCAGGAATCAGAATACACTAGACGGTTTGCAAAAACCCCGGAAGTGCAAGTTCGGGCACCAGCCAAACAGCGAAGAGCCATATATTCAATGTTGTCAACGATTCCCGAGATTGAGGATTTAAAACCGGAACAAAGAGAATGTTTGGTGAATTTTATCCAGGGGAAAGACGTTCTTGCCCTTCCTCTTACAGGATTTGGGAAAAGCTTAATATACCAGTTAGCCCCGTTAGCGCCGCATTACATACGTCACGACCAAATAGCTGCAGTTGGTTAAATAAAAAAAGTACCCGCCTATCATTGACCAAACGAATTCACTGTGAGGTCAGACGGTTTCTACGAAGTCAAACCGGCTGATGAATCAAGCTAAGTAAACAGTGAATCTACCGTAGAGTTATATAGACTCGTGCGCTCTATCTCTGCTCTCTATCAAATTCTAGAACATGAATGCACCCTGTTTCAGTAGAAGTCTCTGGGGTGGGGCAGATTAAATAAGGCTAAAATCTGTGACCGCGTTGGATAAAAAGTAGCTGTAAATCAGAGGGGACATGTAGATGTTTTCTCAGAGGAGTTCGGGGCGGTGAGTTTAGGCACAGCTGTGGTTGAAGTCGGGGTCATTTTGAGTCCAGCTCCTTCCTCACGTCTCTCACTTCTCTGTGTTTATGTCATTCTGCCTATCCCACCCTCTTCTTTCTCTCCCTCCATCTCTTTCTTCTCGGAACTAATCTTTCCAAGCCCAGTCCAGTTGTCCTCCTGACTCCTCTCACTCCCACTGTCTCTTTTTCTCCCTCCCTTTCTCTCGCCATTCCGTTCTCCTCTCTCTTTTCCTCTCCCTCCCTCCCTGCCTTTTTTCCTCACCCTCTTCCTCCCTCTTCCAGTCACTGTCCCTCTAATCCTCTTCTTTATATAAGTCTCCGTCTGTGAAGATAAACTCAGTTCTGCTTAAAGGAGGCATATTATGTAAAATCAACTTTTTTTTATAACAATGTTCTCCGCTCATCATTAACATAGTCAAAGCTGCATTTCAGTTGATTCATGCATAATCTTGTATTGTTCTTCAAGTGTTCAGAAAATGTTTCTTTTCACCTAACCCCATCTCCACTCACTGCGCTGTAATTATTTGTGACTTATTTAAAAAATTCTGATTCAGAATAGATCATAAATGTTGGGTTAGAACAGGGGTCTCCAATCTGTTTCCACCGGTGAGCTATCTTTGCAAAATGATAATGCCATAGAGCTACTGATTTCAGTGGTTACAAGAAATGGAGTATGTTTAAGAGCCACTGCGAGCCTTCAATGTGGTACAGTGAGATACCTATAAACAAAACCATTATCCATTTATTCATGTACAAAGTTTGGCATCAAAATAATACACGTACAATGTAAAAGGCATTTAATTGATCAAATTTGACTTATTCTGCACAGTACGTGTAATTCAGAAATCCACTGGTGAGCTACTTGGAAGGGGGTGGAGAGATACTGGTACAGGTTGGAGACCCCTGAGTCAGAAAATGTCATGTACTGGTAGATTAAAAAAAAAAAGGAAATGAAAATATGCTGCTTGAAATACCACTATAAAGAGGTGGAGGTTCTCAGTCCTGCAGTTTTGAACAAGAAGTTGATGCACTTCTTTCAGCAGTTTTAGACAGGGCTGTCTTATGATTATTCTAATCTTGCACACTAAGACTTTCACAATACATTTTCAGCCAAATAAAGGTTGAAATTTGTTGACTGAAGAAACTTTCTTCTTATAAAACAGAATAGATAAATAGTGAATGTTTTGAATAAAGAGCACACATTTTTGTTATAAAAGAAAAAAGACAGAAATGAATTTTCTAAACGTGCTCCCTGCAGGCTTCTAAATAAAAAGAATATTTACAGATAAAGTGTGTTATTGAGAAACTTTTTTGACCTTTTGATTTAGCAATACTGCTGTCTTTGTCTAAAAAAAAGTCAAAATATGTTTATTTTTATAACTGATTAATTTTAGAGCCCTAGGTTTAGTTGAATATTGTGGTTTACAGTAAACAAAATGTGAAGTTATGATCTACATTTGTTCTAGTTTAATATTAAAAAACCCAATGCATACTAAGTCTTCTATAAGGATGATGTCCAGAACAACTCTTTAAAGTATTGTCAACTCTTCCCTTAAATAAAACTCCTTCAGAGACACTGATCTTGGTGAACCCTTTTTGTAGTTTTAGTTTTTGAGAAATCTCTCTCTTTAAAGTGTGACTGAAGCTCATGACTTCCTCCTGTTCTGCCTCCAGGCCACGTCTGTGAAACCCACAACTCATGACAACATACATACTCTCTTCAAAGGCCTGGTTTAGTCCTGGTTTAGTCCTGGTTTGGTTCTGGTTTAGTCCTGGTTTGGTTCTGGTTTAGTCCTGGTTTGGTCCTGGTTTGGTACTTGTTTACTCCTGGTTTAGTCCTGGTTTGGTTCTGGTTTGGTCCTGGTTTGGTCCTGGTTTGGTGCTTGTTTACTCATGGTTTAGTTTTGGTTTGGTCTCTTGGTTTGGTCCTGGTTTGGTCCTAGTTTGGTCCTGGATTAGCCATAGTTCGATCCAAGACAAATCCTTATTTTGTCATGGTTTAATCCTGGTGTGTTTCAAATGACACTTCTAATTTACCTTGTATACATTTAAGTTATGATCCAGTCCTGTTGTTAGTCCTGGTTCATCCTGTCTTTGGCTCTGGTTTAGTCTTGGTTCAGTCCTTGTTTAGTCTGGTTTAAATAGCCTTGGACCTGGTTGCGTTTTTCCTTGCTTAGTCCTAATTCTTCACATCTGGTTAAACCCCATTTTAGACCCAGTTTAATTCCACTTACAGGAAGTGCTGGTCTAGTCCGGGTCTAGTCCTGGTCTAGTCGGTGTAGCTCTGCTCTAGTTCTGGTTTAGACTTTGTTTAGTCTTCCTGATGTAGTTCTGATGTAGACTTGGTTTGCTGATTTCGTTTTAGTCCTTGTTAAAGGTTGTATAGAGGATTTTCCAAGGAACGAGAAATCCAGCGACCGTTTGTCCTTTTTCAAATGTTGCGCATGCGTGAAACCCCCCCCCTCCCCTACAGCTCCCTACGTAGAAACGCCTCCTCCCGCCTCCTCCTTACGCCAGAAACAGGTTTGTTTACAGCCGGTGCGCTGCACATGACTTGTAAACAACTAACTACAGTGTTGGTTAGGCAAGACGGAGAAGTGAGGAGCGGGGGGAGCGGGTGTGCGGACATTTCGTTCGCGGACGAGAAGTGAGGAGCAGGGAGAAGAGCGGAGCAGGGAGAGGAGAGAGGAGAGAGGAGAGGAGAGAGGAGCGGTGCGCGGAGATTCCGTGCCCGGAGAAGTGAGGAGCAGGGGGAAGAGCGGATCGGGCAGCGGGGACAGGAGCAGGAAAGGGGTGCAGAGAAGGGTGCGCAGAGATTCAGTGCGAATGAACTAGCTACAACACGCAGCAGCAAGCGGACTCTTTCTTTGCCTTGAAAATTACGTTTTCAGACATAGGATATCGCTTTCGTGTCCTGAAAAACGTTTGTCTAGCTCTTGGAAATAAAGTACGTTTTCATAATAAGCAGAAGTGACCTGTCCAGGAGTAATTTGGCGACCAGTGCGTCAGTCTTTAGACCCTGCGTCTGCTTCAGTTGCGCCATCGCTGGAATGAATCTTCAAGAATCACCTTAGTTTGGCTTCGCTGCTTTTCCCCTTGTCTTCTTCTTTCAGCGACCTCAAAAACGGACTTTCTTTTGCGGCTAACTGCTCCTGGATTCTTGTCTGCCATTGCAACAAACTTTGTGCTAACTGCGAGGAAGATATAGGTAAAAAAAAGCCGCTAAGAACTGTTGCGTTGGTGGAGTAAACAGCGTCTGTGCGGCTTGCGTCTGTGGACTGCGTGACAGGCGTACGTAAACCATGTACCGGCGGCGCGCAGGCAAGTCAGTTACGCTAGAAACGTAGGGAGATTGATTGACAGCCTGTCAGCTCACAGATAACGAGGCAGTGTCGTTATCTATTGGCAAATGTTTAGCCCCACCACGTCCAGAGTTGATGAATTTTTATTCTCTTTTTTTTGGTCATCATAATTACAAGGCTACTGCACCTCTATAATGCTATCATTGACAACTTGAAACAAAAAAAATCCTCCATACAACCTTTAAGTCCCGGTCTAGTCCCGGTTCAGTCCCGGTCCAGTCCTGGTTTTATATTTTTGTTTATTTTGTTCTTTTTAGAGTTGGCGTTGGAGTCAAACCCCTCGGACCACGCTCGGGCCAGTACCATCTTCCTCTGCAAGTCCCAGACAGACGGTGAGTCACGCCACACACAGCGCTTTAAAATAGATTTGGGGAAGAACAAATAATATACACAGATTTTTAAATATTTAGAGACTATTAATTTCTCCTGTCTCTGAAGTAGAAATGAAAATGAACCGAGTAATCACTAACAGAACATTTTGTCTGATATGGAAGTTGCTGCTTTATTTGGACTTGTCTTCTCTCATTTTTCAGTTCGAGACAGAAGGAAAAGCAACCACATAAACCATATCAGCCACGTAAGTCTCACGTGATATTTATTTTTTTTATTGAAATACGATATGCCCTACCTTTTTTAGTGTATGAATAAAATATTATAATAGTACTGCATTACTCTTGCATAGCGTTCAGCAAGAGTTTTGGTATTTGCCTGTTGTAAATTTCAATAACAAAAACCCGATGCACTTTAAATCAGTTTCACACAAAAAATGCTAAATTTCTTCCCTCAAAGTCCAAACCCTGCTCCGCTCCAAACCACATGCTCTCTCTGACGCAGGTTTGGCTCTAGACCTCACCGTTAAAAAAAAAAAACAGCTGATGGCAAAGAAGAAATTAAATTTGTCAACTGGACAAACATTTATTTAGGCCGAAGCCGATCACTGATAACTGCACAGCCTTACAGGAAATGGTGACAGATGATACAAAGGTTTATAGCAGTTTGTGTTGTTTGTGCAGGTTTCTCCGGGCCCTTTGTCAAAGAAGTACAGCTCCTGCTCCACCATCTTTATTGACGACAGCACAGTCAGCCAGCCCAACCTCAAGAGCACCATCAAGTGGTCAGTGTTGGGAAAGTTACTTTTAAAATGTATTCCCCTACAGATTACAGGTTACATTCCCCAAAATGTAGTTTGTAACGTAATCCATTAAATTAGAGTAACGTAACCTGAATACTTTGGATTACTTGATTTGCTGTAGAGAAGCAAAGACATCATAACATAAGATGTTTTGTCTGATAAAAGAAAATAAAAAGCCCAGTCTTTACTTAACCAAATTAAAAAATATTATTGATAGAGGAGACATGTCCGCACAGCATGGTTTAGTCCTGTTTTAGTCCTGGTTTAATCCTGGTTTAGTCCTGGTTTTAGATCTATTTTAGACCTGGTTTAGACCTGGTTTTAGTCCTGGTTTAGTCCTGGTTTAGACCTGGTTTAGACCTGGTTTAGATCTAGTTTAGACCTGGTTTAGTTTCCAGCAATGACTGGAATTACCAAAAAAAAAGAAAGAAAAACAAAAAAGGGGGGATATAGCCCAAAATGTGAAAACTGGAAAACAGGAAAATACCGCAGTGTAATCCATTTATTTTAACAAAGTAACTGTAATCTAATTACCACTCACTGAAACAGTAACTGTAACTGAATACAGTTACTCATAATTTGTACTCTGATTATGTAACTCTGATACATGTAATCTTTTACTCCCCAACACTGCAAGTGGTGAGGAGAGAGTACTTAACAAAAGAAACAGAGCGTGATGCTTAAAAAAACAGAGAGATTTACTCTATTGAACCACAACAAGGCCTTAACTTAAAACTTGATACACTAAGGCAGAGATTCTCAAACCAGTACACAAGCTCCTTCAGGCGGGACTCAGAATGTGCCTAGAATGTTCCATAGTATTGTAGGTCTCCATGGTGATATATCCAGGTGATGCCATCAGATCTATGGAGAGGCTACTCTGCTCACAGACAGAGTACAAGCTTTTTTGGAGCAATAAAAACTCCAGTGATATGTGCAAAATAATAACATCTTTATGGAGATTTAATTATTTGCACAAGGAGTATTTCAGTAGATTCAATTAAATAAATGAATATAATTAATTCATACAAATAAAATTACTGCATCTGATATATTTTGTAGCTCCAAAATAAACGACTAAATGACTAAATCCTCTTTCATAACCAGTTAATCCTCCTGCTAATATTCCTCTGTAGAATCTAATCTGAGAAATTATTTAAAATTCTACAAATTATTGACTCCACAAAGTTTGGTTCTTTTTAAAAACAATAAATGAAACTGCTGTAACAGATTTTTACAGGGATTTTAAACAGTTTGCAGTGGTCTAAAGTTCTTCCTCACTTACCTTACGCATTCAGAGCATCTTTATTATTTACCTTGATGAGTTTATAAGAGCTTTTCACAACTCTTAGACCAGAGCTCAGTTTCGCCGTGACGATAAAGCTAACAACTAGCATGCTAACTTACACTTCCTGATTATCGGACAATTAAGCACTTTATAATTAGATGCAGACAACAGCAGTAGATTTATTGTGACCTCACGAGCTGCTTATATAATATATCTGTTACTGGGGCAAGACGAGATGTGCTCAAATACAAGACTTATTGTGTTATTTTCTATTTAATCTCATGTACATTTCTTTGTCTTTCAGTGTTACATTAGCTATTTACTACCACATCAAAAACAGGTGAGTGTCTTTGCAGAATCACATTATTTTGAGTTCATTTGGTTTATTTCGTGATATTAAAAATCCGTTGTTTGTGCATCTCAGGGACTCAGATCGGTCGATGGACATCTTTGACGAGAAGTTGCATCCATTATCGGTGCGTGTGGTTACAGTGCTGTTTCTGCGTACTTGAGCAAAACACTACACTTAGCTTGCCATTGTAAATGCATATGAGGTTGTAAGAGTAATGTAGAGACCATTTAGTGAAGCACTCTGTTAGCGCTGAGCATCCAGCTGGGTTTGAATATACATCAAAAGAGCAATGTGGGGCAATCCTTGTTTTATTTGTTTAAATCATGTAATGTGAACTTAAAGGTGCACTGTGTAACTTTTCCAGGTGGAGGGTCCGCCACCTGATGTATCCTTGGAAATGTTATTGCTTTGTCTAGAATGTTTCACAGTTTAGATTAAAGGGACAGTTCGGAATTTTGGACATAGGACCTCATTTCCTTGTGAGCCAGAGTGTTGGAAACATGTGGAGACACTTTTTTAAATATTCCATCCAGTCCTTGTATTTGCAGAGGTCTCTGGTGCTAGGCTAGTGCATGTCAATGGCCATAGTTATCCTGTCACTAAAAAACTTACCCACTCCACAAAACACCCAAGGCAAAACAGTTATAAGGCCAGACAGTCGATGTAAATGTCTGTGTCAGGAGAATAATTTTAGAAGTAAAACCAACCTTGCATTTGAAGGATTTATGTGTGAGCAGCAGCAGCGAGTTGTACTTCCTGATAGAAAGCTTGACAGCGGCGGACTGATATATGAGAAAATAGTCCCTCAACATGCGACGATTCATGCAATGCAAGGTTAGTTTTATTTCAAACATTATTCTATCAACAGAGACATTTACATGGACAGTCTGGTGTAATAATAGATTTGCTTCGGGTGTTTTGTGGAGTAGGTAAAACTGTTTTTAGTGGCAGGCTAACTATGGCCATTGACATGCACTAGCCTAGCACCAGCGACCTCTGCAAATACAAGGACTGGATGGAATATTTTAAAAAGTGTCTCCACACGTTTCCAACACTCTGTCTCACTAGGAAATGAGGCCCTATGTCCAAAATTCCAAACTCTCCCTTTAAAATAATAAGGGAGACAAGGAGGTTACAGCACTACAATACATTACAGTTCAGATCTGTGGAGAGTCGCCCTATTCACAGAAGGAATTATTGTATTTTTGAGCAGTAGAAACACCCATAGTTAATAAATGCTAGATGGATGTTTAAAGTCATCCCCTTGACCACAAAAGTTGAGCAGTGCACCTTAAAAGCCCCACTATGTAACTTTCTGGAGGTGGGAAATCAACTGCATGATTCCATGGAAAGAGTTAAACAATACCAGTTTTTGTGTAATGAATACGACTAAAATGAAGGGAATAAAAGCTTTTATTTAGTCTTTTCGGCTAAAAAATTACATACTGTGGCTTTAATGGAAGCTGAACATCAAAATTTCCTCTTGCAATATGAGAAATAGTTTTAGAATTATAAAACTTTTTTTTAAAAAGTTGTTGTTTTTTTGTATTGTGTGAATGAAACAAAACACAACTCCAGATATGTTTGTGATGACGAAACATTACAACATAGACTCGGAAAACGCTGTAATATGGCCCCTCGAATTTTCTAAATGCCTGTTATTGTTTTGTTTGGCAGAGAGAGCCGGTGCCAGAGGAGTACTGCCGCATCGACCCGGAACACAAACTCATCTATCGTTTCGTCAGGACGTTATTCAGCGCGGCGCAGCTCACGGCAGAATGCGCCATTGTCACTCTGGTCAGTCTCTGTCCTCTGCCCATTCACTATTGTTCACTGTGATCATTACAAAGCACTTTATGCACAATAGAGGAGCTTCAGCGATTCAGTTTATTTGTTTAAAATTCAAACTTGATCCTGTTGTCCTAATTATCATATTTTTTATAGTTTTGATTGTCTCTTGAACTCAAATTAGATTGGCTCACATTCATATCAATAATTATTCATCATGGGTTTTACCATAACCACAACATAGACTATTTAATTTAGAATTTTATTAGTTGCTATGACTACTGTGGTTAAATCTAATACACTAGGAATTGTGTAAAAAACATACTTATCACATATGTAAAACTGATTACTTTTGCTTAACAATTGTAGTTTTGTCCAATCAGAAAGCAGAAGGAGCTCCTCTCTTTGGGTTGCCAGGTTAATGCTGTCACAGATTTAGCTGATGTTTTTTAATTAGGTGGAGAACATCATGGTGCATACTACATGCAGCTAAAGGAGTACGTGCTGCTCAAAGTGTTCAGTAGAGGGCAGCACATCCTTACATTCTGGGGTCTTGCTGCAGCTTTTTGGATGGAGACTGGATTTCAGTCAGTCACAAATTGTACAGAGTTAGCAATTTCTTAAAAAACAAGGAGTATATAAGAGTAGGAGGTGAACTGTGTTACCAAAATCATCACACTTTAGTATTGTGAAAACGCGAAGCCACGTCATATCCTCCTGACACCCAGCCCATTTATTTGTATCCTTTATAGTGGACATTGAGTTAACCAGTTTATCTTTTAAGTGTTTTGAGATAGACTCTTATGGGGACTAGGTTCTTCTGCCTGAATAGGGTTGGGGATTATAGGTACTATCATGTCCAGGATAAAAAAAAAAAAAAAAATTCAATAGGAGTAAAAAATAAAACTGTGCGACTGTAGAAGGTTGTCAGAAATGTTGTTCATCATCAAAAAATGTTTCTTAGGTTGTTGACTGCACATGGATTTACACCAAAATGTCTCCGGCGTTCCATCACAGAGGACATGTTACAAATTATAAATAAAAATAAAATAACAAAATTTAAATGCTAAGGTGTTCATTTACTAGCCTGATTCATCAGCGGGTTTCACTTTGTTTCACTTTGTACAACCCATCTGACCTGATTTCGTTCGGTCGACGGTAGACAGGTACTTTTTTTATTTTATTTAACCAATCGCTGCTATTTAGTCGTGATATTTTTTCATGCACCACTAACCGGTATATTAAGCTTTTCCCAAATCCTGTTGGAAGAAGGACAATAATGTCTTTACTCTTGATGAAATTCACCAAACATTCTCTTTTTTCCGGCTTTAAATCCTCGATCTCGAGAATCGGTGACAACACTGAATATATGACTCTTCGCTGATTGGCTGGAGCCGAACTCGCACTTCCGGGGTTTTTGCAAACCATTTATTGTATTCTAATTCCTGACGTAGTTGCTGGAGAGAAATGAAGTTCAGCGGAGGCACTAGGTGGTGCCAGCCTGGCTAATCATTTACCTCCAAATAAAATCACAAAAAAACATATATTGCAATACACTTTTTTTGCTTCGGGTCCCAGGAGGATATATAGTAGGGCTGGGAATCACTGAGTCCTGCACGATTTGATGATTCACAATTCATGGCTCATGTTACGATATTATGATGATATGGCGATACATGTGTTGATCAGTATATTGTGCATCTCTTTGATACGTTGCTGTTTTTTAAGAACCAAATCTATTTTATCCACAATATCATCTTTGTTAAACATTACTTGCACAAAGTTACCATGAAATATATAAACAAGTTTCCTTCCACTAAATAACCAACAAAATCATAATGCAGTTACAAAAAAAAATGCTACCAAAAAAAACCACCAAAAAATACTATTGGCAATATATCGATACAACAGGCCACAATAATAATTCAGTATCAGCAAATGTAATATATTTCGATATTTTTGCACACTCCTAATATAAAGAGAGCTCTTATGGGGTTATTGCAAGCTGATTTTAGTTGTAATACCTGGAAACCCAAAGTGATAAGCTCATTCTTCTTTCACTGTTCCCCAATATGTTTTTACTCAAGTTATGATTTATTTAAAGCAGACCTGCTCTGAAAAAATCAACTCTTCAGAGCTTTTAACCATGTTCTCACTATTTACTCACCCAGAGGTGCAGTTGGAGTGATTTTTGCATGTTTGCGAAATCTTGAATCACTTATTTTCAAGAACGCCATATTGCCGATCAGTCCCTGTTTTCACCCACACTGGTACGTGCCCACCGTTCTGTAACCATTTTATTTCCTTAATTGGCAATACACAGAAGATTCGGCAGAGTCACAGTCATTTTGGTCCAAATGAAGGGGAAAAAAATCAGTTTTTCGCTGGCATGCTCTGCAGATGGTGACTCTACTCTGATGACGTTTACAGTGACATCGGCTTCCACTGGGCACAACTTTATAACGCAGAAAGCAGCAGTCTTGTTTCTTTTATTATTTTTGTTGTATTTTTTATTTTTTTGGTTTATTTGTTTGTTTTAAGTTATTTTAGATGAATATTATGATTAAAAAGTGCATATAATAATAATGATACACGGGTGTCATAGATTATAACTATATAGCAGACACAAGTATAGTAGGTTTTCTTTAATATGGTTTCTTGTGTATAAATGCCACCTATGGTTTAACTGATCACACAAGCACTGATTACAGATTAAACAGGGTTCCCACGGCCATGGAAATCCTGGGAAAGTCATGGAAATTGAAAATGTAATTTTCTAGGCCTGAAAAGGTCATGGAATTCTAGTATCTCTTTCATGCAATTACAGTATTCTCTTAAGTTCTCATTAAGGTGTTATGATTATTTTCGAACATATGGGCCCGGTCAAGCAGAAGTAAACAACAAGGCCAAAAATTCAAGTTAATGCATCTGATATAAAAATGTATTGAACAGATACATATGTACTCTAGTTTATGAAACTGTTGACCTTTTTTCTGTACCATTTTTGGTTCTAAAGTTCCATACGTTTTAAACAGACCATGTATGAAACATGGAACAAAAATTATTTCCCAAATTTCAAAGACCTGCAAATCATGTAAATAAATGGATGTATTTCACCATATCTTGTGTTATTCCATCTTTGAACTGTTGATGAAGGTACAGGATTTTTCAAAAAAAATTATTTAAAATGATAAAAATTTGCTTGGAAGGACATATTTTATAGAAATAGTTTCCTTTCATTTTGAAGTAATATTAAAGTATTCGGAAGAAAAAAGCGACAAATTATGCAAAATCATGCACCTCCGTTACTTTTCCCTCCGTTACCATGACCTTTCTTAATAAAAAATCTCATGACTCAAAAAGTAAGAGGTTTTTCAACCTAGTCTTGTACCATATGGTAGAAAACTATATGAAGCAAATATTCAAACCAGTTTGTTAAGGATATGGAAGTGAGAACCAAGAGTTATCACTGTTTGGATTTATTGCCCAAAAAGTGCTGAATATTTCTTCCCTCCGTTACCGACATGAGTTTTTAAATTTTTTGTCAACAACTTGAAAGAATATCACAGGTTTAACTTGACCCTGTTGGAGTGTAACTCTTTCCTACATTCTGATACTTTACTTATTTCAATAGTCCCTGTAGTTTCTGAATAAGAGACATTTGAATGTAAAAAATCTGCCCCTCTTCTCCTCCGTTACCACTTGACTGGACCCATATGTGCCTTTTGTTTAAAAGAGACGACAATAAATGCGCTGACTGTATTTTGAATGTTAAGAAACTATAATCCCAAACCATAAGGTGAGTGGAAAGGGTTAACATTTCATATTTAGCCCTAAAAGTCTGATCAATCCTACACATGTAGGTGCCGTAAAGTCATGGAAAATGCACTTTAGGTCATGAAAAAGTCATGGGAAATTTTTGAAATTTTGACAGTGAAAAAGAGTGGGAACCCTGCATTAAATATAAGCATAAAGTATCTCGTGTATTACCAGTTTTTTGTTATGCTTTTTTTAAGGCTTTGAGGGCAAAAACTTGACTGGGGGAGGGGCACTGGTTGTGCTGGGTCTATATTGTAGCTTTTCATGAACAAAATGCAAAATGATTCTATAAATTTCCCCACTCACCTCCCTCTCTCCTTTAGGTGTACCTGGAGCGCCTGCTGACTTACGCCGAGCTGGACATCTGCCCGGCCAACTGGAAGAGGATCGTTTTGGGGGCCATTCTTTTGGCGTCGAAAGTTTGGGACGACCAGGCGGTTTGGAACGTGGACTACTGCCAGATCCTCAAGGACATCACTGTGGAGGACATGTGAGTGACGGAAGTGAAGGGAAATACAAGGACCAGAGGAGACGGGGAGTTTTGATTTTTAAAGGGCCTATGTTATAATGTTGTTTCTTCATCACAAACATACCTGGAGTTGTGTTTTGTTTCATTCACGCATGTTTAACACACAAACCCTGCTTATTATTGTGTTTTTAAACTCTATACAGCTTCACTAGAATCATTTGGATGATTTCAGCCCTGGAATTGCCAATCTCTACAAATCTAAAGGTAAAAAGTAGCTGCTAATAATAAAGGATTACTCAAACATGTGTGAAGGAAACAAAACACAACTCCAGGTCTGTTTTTGAGCAGGTAGCAACATTATAATATGGCTTAAAGTTCAAAAGAGTGTCTATTTACTTCACTCAGTTATGGTTAAAAGCCACCTCCCTCTCTGTTTCTGTTTCTGTCTCCTCTCTCTCTCCTCTTGTCTCTCTCTTCCCTCTCTCCTCTCTCGCTCTCTCCTTTTCCTCCCCTCTCCTTCCGCACCCCACCTTTGCTCTCTCCACCCCCCCCCTCTCTGTCTGAAGTGCCTTTGTACTCCTGGTCCCGCTCTGGAGTGCCTCTCTTGGTCTCTGTATAATGGACCAGGATCTCGCCCGGTCCATTAGTTGCCCGGGGCGACCAGACATCACACACAAACGCTTTTTACTCCGACGCTGCGACCAACAAAGAGATGGAGAGGATGCGGTCGCCTGGGAAACCAACTCCAGCTTCAGACTGCTCCGTGGTCCTGATTTAGACCTGGTTTAGTTCTGGTCTAGTCTTGGTGTTCGGTTTAGGTTTCGTTCTTATTTCAGTCCTAGTCCAATCCCCCAGTTTATTCCTAGTTTAGACCTGGTTTGATTTTGGTGAAGCTTGGACTAACTTAACTCCTTCTTTACAGTATTCTGGTATAGTTTAGTGGTTTTAGTTTATCATTTTATTATTTGTCATGATGCTTTCTGGGTGTGGTTTAGCATCACTCACACCACTTTCATTTTTGAGCACAATCTATTGTCTTGCTCAAGGACTCAGTGACAACCTGATTCTTTTACACCATATATTTCTAAACCAGATGAGTTAATCAAGCGCCTGGCTCTTAACGCAATTTAAACATGTCGTAACAGGAACGAGATGGAGCGTCACTTCCTGGAGCTGCTGCAGTTCAACATAAATGTCCCGGCAAGTGTTTACGCCAAATATTACTTTGACCTGAGACAGCTCGCCGACGACAACAACCTGAGCTTCCCCCTGGAGCCACTCAACAACCAGAGGGCCCAAAAACTAGAGGTGAGGCCTTCAAAATAAAATAAAACACCAAATAACTGCACGGTCAAATAAAAGCACAGAAACTAGAGATGAGAGCGTTCAAATGAAAGACTGTCTAAAATGTGTACAAAATAAAAGCATAGGCATCAACCTGACCTTTCCCCTGGAGCCATTTAACAGAGGACCTTCAAAATAAAAGAGCAGTCAAAGATGTTCTATCAATATAAAAACACAGATGGCTGAGAAACTAGAGGGGAGCGTTTCAAAAGATTAATAATAAACTGTACGATCGAAACTGGCTGAAGTACATCCTGTTTTGTTTTGGGAGCTTTGCCTTTGGTGAAACAATCCACAGAGCAGCAGATTTTTCAGAGCCAATCTCCTGGCGGAACAAAGAGTGCTCAAACATACATGAATCATTTGAAGTGGGTAAATGAGAAAGGAAAACAATTCTGTCATGACTAAAGCTTGAGTTTGCATAATCTGTCTCCTTTTAATGCTGTTTTTGTTTGTCGTTCAGGCCATCTCTCGTCTGTGTGAGGACAAGTACAAAGACCTGAGCCGGGCCGCAATGAGGCGCTCCTTCAGCGCAGACAACCTGATCGGAATCCGCCGCTCCAACGCCGTCCTCTCTTAGGTCCTCACTTGGGTTTTCACGGTCCTCTTTTAGGTCCTCACGGTCCAACGGTTTCTACACAAACTCCTCTTCCTCTTCCTCTGTTTGACCCCGAACAAAACATTTAACCAGGACTCAAGCCAAAATTACTACAAAACGTACAACATTCAGGATGGATTGGAGGTTTAAAGGCGCGCTGTGTAGCTTTTCTGTAGAGGTCTGTCACTGTCTTGTCGCCATAGAAATGTTTTTGCTCCACCTGCAATCAAAATTACTTTTATTCATCTGTTTAGGAATTCAGCAGACCAGTAAAAGAAATAAAAATTAAAAGAAATTAAGTTAAAGATCGGATCTGTGGAGAGGCGGCCACACTCAGTTAAAGCACTTGTTTTTGTTGGCATGAAACGAAATTGCCTGTGAATGGATGAATGCAAGATGGGAAGTTTAATGCCATATTGCGGAATATTCTTGGCAACGCAATAACTTCACCATGGTGACAAGCAGGTAGCAGACCCCCACAGAAAAGCTACGCAATGCACCTTTAAAATTGTCTGTTACTTCCCCATGTCCACAGTAAACGTTGGCTTGAAGGTTGGTGACTATAACAGGGTAATAGTTTCTTCTGGATTTTATGAAAGTTTCCACATTACAAGACGACAGCTGCAGACTTAGAGAGGTCCTGTCGGTTTAGTGCCAATTTTACTTCGATTTTACAGCTTTTTTTTTTTTTTTGGAGGAATCTTAATCTGGTATAGGCCTTTTCTTTTTTTTTTATTATTTATATAAGTGTTTTCTCATGATGCCACCACACTTGGACAGAAGCCCGTTTGGATTTCCAGAGAATTTGAATATGATTTTGTTTTATATGTTATGTTTTACCAAAGAGCTTATGTTTATAAAAAAAAAATACATTTGTGCAAAAAAGAGATTAGTCCGCCGATGATGTTAATACAGATGTTGGAATCACCAGTGCCATCTTAGTATTGACAAAAAGAATGCAGTTTTGACTTTTTGTTAACTCCCATCAGGATTTATAGATGGATTTTGAGTCTTTGAGTCTTGGCCAATACGCGAACGGCAACACAGTCCAGAGACGGGACATAGAAGTTAAAAAAAATAATAAAAAAATATAAGCCAAAGATACAAGGTTTTTAGTTAAATGACCATATTAAAGGTTCTAATCTGTTTTTTAAGACTATATCCAATTTTTAACCTGCCGTTTTGTTTTGTACATTGATAGCTATATAACTGATTGTGTGAAAATTGGAGAGGCTCATACAAGAGTATATTTTAAGATACAATTATAAAATAATTATGTGATTTAAGAAAAACTGTACCGCTGTAAACACAAGAAAAAATATGAACTACAATTGTACATCTTTGTTTACAATTGGAATATAAGAGGATGAAGTCAAGTCCTAGTCTGTAATGGTCTATATGTATCAGAGGTCTTTAAGTCTTGGTTTGGTTCACGTTTAGACCTGGTTTAGTCCGGGTTTTGACTTGGTTTAGTCCTGGTTTTGTGCACCTCTCGGGACCGCTGCAGTCGTCAGTATTAGAGATTTTAGTCCTGGTTTAGACCTGGTTTAGTCTTGGTTTTGTGCACCTCTCGGGACCACTGCAGTCGTCAGTATGAGAGATTTTAGACCTGGTTTAGACCTGGTTTAGACCTGGTTTAGACCTGGTTTAGACCTGGTTTTAGATCTGGTTTAGACCTGGTTTAGATCTGGTTTAGTCTTGGTTTCGTCTTGGTTTCGTGCACCTCTCAGGACCACTGCAGTCGTCAGTATGAGAGATGTTAGACCTGGTTTAGACCTGGTTTAGACCTGGTTTAGACCTGGTTTAGACCTGGTTTAGTCCTGGTTAAGTCCTGGTTTCGTGCACCTTTCTGGACCGCTGCAGTCATCAGTATCAGAGATGTCAGACCTGGTTTAGTCCAGGTTTAGAACATCTTTTTTGTCGGTTATCTGTAGAAGAAACCTTGTATCCCGAACAGTCACAACCTTTGAGCCAATGTCCCTCAATGAGACTTTAGTTTACATGCTGTGGACACTGGTTTGGTCCATTTGAAAGTCCATTAACAGTATTGTGCTGCCCCTCCCAAGTCCTGGTTCAGACCTGGTTTAGACCCGGTTCACATCTGGTTCAGTGCCGGTTTAAATCCGGTTTAGACCAGGGGGGCGGCTCCTTGTTGCTTACTGTGTAGGCTTTAGCTGTGAACCTGTCGTGTTTTTAACAGAATCATTTGCAGATGGACTATTTTAAATAAACACTAATCAATCAACAAAAACTTGTGTCATCTGTTTTATTTATTTCATGCTTTTAACTTCTGTATAACTTATAAAACATATTCTTTTGATAGTAAATAGACTTTGTTCTTACTATTTTGAAACATATCTGCCTAAACTTTAAATTTCGAAATTCGCTTTTGTTCTGAAAGTAAATTTTCCATTAATTTTTCTCATAAACTTCAAAGGCATCCAGCTACATTTTAACTAATATCCATGTTTCAAGTAAAGAAAACACAAACATTTAAAACACAAGATTCGACGAAATGCTTTAATAACTTAGCAGTTTGTAAAGTTCCAGAAATAGATTTTAAAATGACTTTTGTGGTCACTAGTTTTTTATTTTGTAAGTCTATGGGATAAATTAATGGGAAATTAGTTGAGCTCCATAGACAATTATTTAAGATGACTAAATATTCAAACATTTAGGTCAGAATGGGATTGTGGCAGGAAGGGATGTGGCAATAAACTCCAAATAAAACGTTTTATTCAGATTAATTACATTTTTGAGCTTTCAACCATATGTCTTCATAAACTTCCTCTATTTGTGTAATAGTGGTTTTCAGATTCAATTTTCCCTGTTGATTATGTCATGAAATATCCAAAAGATAAATCCACTTCTATTCATTCCTATTAGTGACTAGACCTAAGATGTTACTGTTGTACAACAAAAATCTGGTTGTCATCTGTAATAAATATGATTGGCCTATTGATACTTTGCAGCACCAATATTCCTTGGGGATGTGAAAGCTCTGCTTTGTTAGAAGACTTTAATCTCAGCTTTAATTTAACACAAAATGACCAGACAGAGCTGACTTACTTGGCAGTACAACAGGTGAGATCTTAAACAAGCGTCTCACACATAAAACTACAGTTACGAGCTGTTATGTATGCTAAGCCATGTTGAAAATAAAACACTCCAACAGGACCTTGGACACTCGTATTTATCCCAGTCTTCTAGAAGTTACTTATATAAATCAGTTTTGTGTTTTTTTGTTGTTGTTTTTTTTACTTTTCTGAGAGCACCATGAGAGCACATTGCACCATTAGGGGTGTGCAAAAATATTGAAATATTGATATATCATATTGTTTAATGTGATGATTCAGTATCGATATCAGCAAGTGTATTTTTGGTATATTTTACTAAATTTTTTTGTTACAGCACTACAGTTTTGTTGCTTGTTTAGAGGAAAGAAACTCATTTATGCGACACAAGTGATATTTTCACTGTTTTGAGGATTAAAATGGCGTGTTTTGTTTTCTTCTTGCACAAGAAGTGGTTTAACAAAGACTTAGTATCACAGCCATGATTTAGACATTATTTTTTTATTGAACTGTATCAAATCGATTTGAAATATATCATATGGAGTTGAAAGATCACTGTACGAGATATGTATCGTATTGTGGCCTATGTATCGAGGTATGTATCGTATCGGCAACTTCTTGATGACACCCAGCCCTATCCACCATAGACAGAGACGTCTGGTCACCCGATTTAACCAGGACAGTCCCAGTTTGGAGCCCTGTGTCTCCTGTCCCAGCAGAGTTATACAAACCATTGATTTAGTTTAGTTTTATACAAGAAATGTCCCGAGTGTCCCTATTTTTAACCAATTTGATCCCTGCCAACAATAAAAAGAGATATTAATGGCCATCTGTTTAGGTAAAATACAGAAAAGCTGCTCAATAATGACCAAAACACAAAGAAAATGTGACTATATTGACTCACATGTTGGTCATGAATGGACCGAGTGCAGTTTTCCTTAATTACACACTCGTTTCACAATTTTATTATTACCAACCAACACAAACCGGGGTGTCCCAGTTTTTGATTTGGAAAATCTGGTCACCCTAACCATAGAGATACACATAGAACACCCCCAGCCTGATGTTATTGCAAAGTATCAATACAATGTTATGATGTCTGAAAACGCAGCGATACACTTGAGTTCACCTGTATATTTATTTGGCTCTCCCGAACTCAAAACATGTAACTTAAGTTTTTGTAACTTGAACAAAGAAATAAAACTATTATCAACACATTTTTATTCCACATTGAAACTCAAAAATAAACAAACACAAAAATAGTGTGTCATAAAGAACAATCTGAGTATTTCTACTATTTACAATCATTCACATCCATTCAGACTCAGACGACTAATAAATTAATTCAACATGGAAAAAAAAAAAAAAAAAAAAGAGGGTTTTGAAGCATTTAAATGTATATAACTGTATATACTACTCCACAGTTCCTCTGTGAACCAACAGGGGGAGCACATACATTATTATTGCCAGCGCAAATTTACAAAAAAAATCCAGGGTCTATAAAAAAAATTGTAAAATACATTAAAAAACTTGCAATAATGTCTCATTTTAATCAAAAACACAATACTTTGCAGCTGATCTTACCCACATTCCCTGCAGGTGTGATGCTAACTAAGGGCACTGCTCTGTCTGAAGCTTCATCAGCCTTTAGTATGAGCTTTGTTTTACACTATCTGATCATAGAGTTAATTTATTTGGACCATGAATGCTCGTATTGATCACAGGCTCCTGAAAATGTGTTGTTTAAATCCATTTTGTATTTTTTGTAGAATCAGAATGATGTCACTGCAAAGTATTAGTAAAAAAAAAAGAAGAAAATATGAGGTACTGTAATGCACATGGAGACAAAACAGAACATCAATAGTATTTTAAAACACACACAGCCGCTGATATCATAATGAGATTTAACTTTGCAATCACAAAAACAAACATAATAATAATTTAGATTTTAAAAATTAAAAGAAAAAAAAAATCACATTTGAAAATTCTAATTCCAAACACATTTGAACATTTCAGTCAAATTTCAAGTAATTTCCGGGATTTAAAATGGCACAGAGGACTAAACCTTATCAGGGAAAAGTTTACATTGCAGTCACCAAAACACACGTCTCTCACAAATAAAAGCAAAAACTTCAATTCATGTACATCTTTATACAAGACAAGACTGTACATTTTAAAAGGTCTCATATTACACCACATGGATTCTTATATGAGCTTTAAACCATGTGATAATGTTGTTATCTGGAGTTGTGGTTTTGTTCATGTTTGGAGATGTAGATAGACTAATAATTACCATGTTTTTTGGACTATAAGTCATACTTTTTCATGGTTTGGGTGGTCCTGCAACTTATACTGCTGTGCAACTTACAAATTTCACACTGACCAGTGCACCATGCAACTTTCCTGGAAGTTATTGGATGGATTGACAAAGCCTGGATTCCAGTGACACCTGAAACCATCCTGTAATAATTTTAACTTGAACTGTTGCCAAGTGTGATGCCAGCGATGCTGAAGAGGAAGCAGCGTTTACCTCCAAAGGTCGTGGAGTTACTCAGAAGTGACACGAGGATGAAGAATTCAATGGATTTAGTGATTTGGAGTGAGATGGAGAGTTTGGTAAACTTGTTCTGTTGTTTATGTTATAGTTTATCTGAAGAACTGTTCATATGTGACGTTAACAGTCTGTTGTTCGCTGTTTTATTGTTTTTACTAGAACTTGACTTTCAAGATGAAATGTCGGTTCCTGGTCTCTGATTTTATAAAATAAATTTCCCCCAAAAAGTGCAACTTATAGTCCGGTGCAATTTATACACACTACCGGTGTTAAGTTTTAGAAGAGTCTAATATTTCCAGTTTTTTATTGCAGTTCAAGTCGTGCAAGTCCAATGAAGAGCTTGAAATGGGACAAAAGTAAGAATGGAACAGGCAGAGGTAAAAAAAAAAAAAAAAAGATACAACATAACAAAGCACAAGTCCAAGCTCTGCCAAAACTACCTCAGGAAAAAAGAACAAGATGTTAAACTTGAAAACATGGAGTGTCCAGCAGCACAGTGTCCAGACTTAAAGCCCATGGAGCTGGTTTGGGTTGAACTGGACAGAAGAGTGAAGCAACCTACAAGTGCCACACATTTATGGAAACTTCTGCAACAGACTTAAGAACTTTGTGAACAATATTTGATTTCTATTGTAAAAAGAACAAGCCACAAGTTCAGCTGTTCTATCTGCCAAAGGTGGACACTTTTATGAATCAAAAGTTTAGAATATGTTTTGGTCAACAGTAAACAGTAAACAACTGGAAAAATGTGGTGTTCTAAAACTTTTGACTGGTAGTGTATGAGTTTTCTTCTTCATTATGCATTTTACCTTTTGTTTAGTTGAGATTGGCATTTCCAGAGCCGATTCTAGTGAAAGTGCATAGAGTTGAGTACAGTAAAGCACAGTGGAGCACATCCTGTATAACCACGACATCACAAGGTGGACCAGAATGTTTTTGCATTTCAGAGAAGAGCTCAGCGTAAATATGCAGGGTTCGTGTGTTAAACATGTGTGAATGAAACAAAACAACACAACTCCAGATGTGTTTGTGATGAGGAAACAACATTAAAACATAGATCAAAAAACTGTGTAATATGGGCCCTTCAAAACGCTTTTCATAGATTCTGACTATTGCATTTTACATTTATAATACAGATATTTACAGCAATAAATACACTTTATTATAATGCCTCTTGGTCTCTCAATGTTTGTGTGAAATTAGAACAATATTGGCTGCTCTATTTTGGCTACTTTGACACTGCAAGGACATTGTGCCGCGCTACAGAAAAGCACTTTTACATTATCTAAAACATATGTAAATAGTTGCACTTTTTGAATACTTGCTGTCTGAAAACCTTGAATTTTATCTTTTAGTAAAGGTCAAACTGGGAACTTTCGCTGCAAACTTCTATAAACGCTGTTACTTTTCCCTTGTGCGGTCCATTTTTTTTAAAGTACAGTGCTTTCTTATACAAAACAGATATTTTTTTCTCCTTAAAAGATGTTGTGGAGTCTGTTACTTTGTCCTGAAAGTTGAGCAGTTACAATCTGCATTTATCTACAGTTTTAAACAAGTCTTCTATCTCTGAATCAAAAATAGGAATAAGAAGTAGAAATAGCAGCACTGAAAAACACTAAATAAAATGCTTTCCACTGATATTGGCAACTATGAGGAACCTATGACAGTGTTTCTCAAACTGTGGTATAAAAGGCCCTCTGCAGTTTGAGTCTAATGATAAAAAATATTCATGACTTTGAGCTCTTGTGGGTTAATTAGAATTTAGAAGTACCTCATTTATGTTTTATTACCATTTTAGACCCATTTATTTATTTACTTATTTTAGTCCACTGTAGCCCTAATTGAGACCTGTCAAATAGTTCAAATACTTTTAAAACATAAAAAAAAAAAAAAAAAACACAAGCAAAAAAAAGTAAAATAAAATTAATTTGCAATTAAATTATTTGTGTAATTTAATTATTAAATCATGTACAGTTTTTTTTATGCTGTTTTCTTTGGTTCTGATTCTCCTTGTTTGACTTTTTGGTGCAGTTTTGACACAAACGTGACAGGTGGGTGGGATTTCCATGGGTGTATTCCCACTGGCTCATTTATATTTGATGGACAGCTGAGCTTGGAGCTCCTGAAGCTGTTGTGCACGTTTCCTGGTGAAGTTTTGGTGCTCAGAGCTTTTCTAATATTCAGTGTTCTCTGGTGGACAGTTCTTCTGGAGCAGCTTTATTCTGTACAGTGGAAGTACTAGACAAACAACAAACCGCCAAAACTTCACCAGGAAACATCCACAACAGCTTCAGGAGCTCCAAGCTCAGCTGTCCGTCAAATATAAATGAGCCAGTGGGAATACACCCATGGAAATCCTGCCCACCTGTCACGTTTGTGTCAAAACTGCACCAAAAAGTCCAACGGGAACAATCAGAACCAAAGAAAACAGCATCAGACAAAACTGAGAAAGACTCGGAACAAAATCAACATGTTTCCAAAGAGGCAAAGACAGAGATTTTACACCTTTACACAAATAATTAGCTAATTTTCATTTTCATTTTCTGCTTGATATTTTAAAAGTGTTCTTTGAACTATTAACTATTTTCTTCAAATTGATTCCATAGTACTCAGTGTAGTTTACTACCTTTGGAGACGGACCCTGACTTGTGTCCTTTATAATATATATTTAGGAATATTTTTCCACAAGGGTTTTCAATGTTTGAGCAGAAGAGTCACATTTGAAAAAGTTGCACTGTGTTACTTTTCTGTCTAGTTCTATGGAGACAAGCAGATGACGACAGGTTACAGGTCAGATCTGTGGAGGGATCAACCCGCTCACAGTAAAATAGTTTTTCCAGGTATTTCTGATCCATATAAAACTCGCAAAATTGAATAAAATGCAAGATAAGGTGCATGGGTTTAATGCCATACTGCGGAACATTCCAGACAAAGTAACAGCATCTTCATGGCTCGTTTTGTTATGTTAAGGGTGCCAGAGTGAATGAGAACATTGTATTGCTGGTGACAATCTGAGGGCTTTCAAAATGATATTGTCATAGCGGTTGATACAACTTACAATATTTTATCTTTTGAATGTGGAAAATGTCCTTAAAGCAGAACTAAGTAACTTTTGGAGATAGAGCTGGCATAACCATGGTTTCTCTGGAAAATTCTCGATGTTGTCATTTTGCAAGGCTGGTTTTCCACAATGGATGCTTCAAATGCCCCAAAAATTCATATTTAGCCACCACAAGGACCTACAAAGATGTTCAATGAGGTAAAAGATTACTTAGTTCTGCTTTAAAATGTCATAAATAACAGGAAGCTTAGATTAAGATGACCAGATTTTCAAAATTCAAAACTGGGACACATTTACAAACATGGTTTTCTGTATTTTGACTAAACAAATTATAATTTATCCTCCTCTTTGCTGTTGGCGAGGATCTGATTAGTCAAAACTTGTGGCAGTCCTGTTTTAGTCCTGGTTTCAATCAAATTGGGCTACATTCAGACTGCAGGGATTAATGCTCAATTCCATTTTTTTTTATTATTATTTTTTTTTGCAAGGTCATTCACATGTGCGACTTGCATATCACATACAACTCCAGTGTGAACTTTAAAGTTGCTGTCTTACCAGAGCCAGAACATGTACAGCTTATTCGTTTTAGAAGATTGAGAAGAAGGGGAGCGTGCCCTATGTTCCCTCATTCCCTTTATCATCCATTTGCATCAGAATTCATCCCCATTTCTCCCAATATGGTCGTCAATTACACCCAATCTATTATCCAGCAGCAGTTGACTAGAGATGTACTGTAGAGGTCATTGCGCGAAGGGGTTGAAATTACTCTGAATCATCCCTATAAATGCAGCATGAAAATGACTTAAATTAGCATTTTATTTAGAGAAAAATCTTAGAAATATGGGAACATAGGGCTAACCCTGCGGCAGCAAAGTCTGTAGAAAGGAACATGTGGGTGCGGAGTCGCAGCCAGGAGTGGTGGGACTGTTATGTGCGTCGCTGCTTCACTGACACAGAGTTCATACACAACTTTCGTGTGACAAGAAGAACGTTTGTGTACATTTGTTATGTGTAGGTGGGATGAATGTGACCTGTCCATTCAGACTGAAGTCGCATGTCAAAAGATCAGATATGTATCGGTTTTAGGAGCACATATCCAAGTGGCCTGGGTTGCATTTGAAAAAAAAAAAATCAGATCTGTGTCGTTCAGACTGTCATTAAGGCTACTTTTATATGATGATGGTCTGAACAGAAGACGCAAAAGTGACGTCGCATTTTCACTTTATATTCCGCATTTAGAGAAGCGCTTTCAGGAGGAAATCTGCGAGCAAACGGTAATGCAAAAGTGTGTGGAATTCAATTGGGTATGCATGCCAGGCGGCTAGGTGGTGATGTATGTGACGTAAACACGTACGAGACATGAGCAGATCTGACCAGAGTTTTGCGTCTTCGCATATTAAATTTTTCCACTCTGGAGGTTTCAGATTTTTGCGTTTTTAAGCCCTAAAAACGCCATCACCATTTAAACAAAAGGCACTTCCAATAAAATATTTTGTCGTTCTCATGTAAACAGGCCCTAAAAGATCAGATACAGGAGCATGGGGTGAAAACATTGGATTTGGGTCACTTTAGGCTGCAGTCTGAATGTACCTTTGGTCAAAAAATAGCGACACCTGGGACATTTCTTGACTAAAAGTGGGACAAATCACTGTTTTTGTATAAATCTGCTGGGACAGGGGACACGGGGCTCAAAACTGGGACTGTCCCGGGTAAACAGGAACATCTGGTCACCCTAGTTTAGGTCCATGAAGAGCTTTAGCCGTCAGCCCAAACACACGTGTATATATGTAGTGCTGTGAATCTTTGTCCATTTTCACAACAGTTTTTCTTCCAGTGTTTTTAAATATGAGACGCAGTAGCTTTGTGGTACATCCCCGGTGTTAGCCCAGTGCCTGTGTGTCCGGTTAGTGCTGTGCTAGCTTCACTGTACATCGACGGAGGGGCTGTGCTTTTATGCGTCCAACAGCGGCAAATCCTCGCTATAAACCTCCTCCAAGAGTCCAACGTTTTTCCGGACCAAATCCAAACTCCGGATGTTATTCCCACAACGAGACACATGAAATATTTGAGCATAAAAACGGCATAATCCGGGCCTAAACTTGAACGCTGCGGATCTGACAAGCAAGAGCAAGCTAGCGCCCTCTCCCAAACTGGCCTATAATGTTGTTCGTAAACTAAACACGCTACGACGATAGTGGCAGGGACGGTGTACAGCACTGTGAACAAGCCTATTCGAATCATTAGCCTTTCTAGCTTGTCCGTTTTGGTCCCCCCTTGCTTTATAATGCTACGAATACGGAATAGCGACACAAATCCGGCGAGCAAAAACAGAGAGCCGGTGAAGAGGTAGACGACCAACGGGGCGAGCACGAAACCGCGTAAATTCTCGAGGTTTTGGTTGCCGACGTAGCATATACCGGCAACAGGATCGCCGTCGACGGAGCTAAGCGCTAAAACGACGATAGATTTGATGCTGGGGATTAGCCAAGCTGCTAAATGGAAATATTGCGAGTAGCTGGCAATAGCTTCGCTGCCCCATTTTAAACCGGCAGCCAGGAACCAGGTGAAAGATAACACGACCCACCAGATTGAGCTCGCCATGCCGAAAAAGTAGATTAGGAGGAAAACTAGTGTGCAAAGCGCGGGGCCCGTCGTGTCATACAAAATGTGCGGTGGATCAGTATTGCTGCTACATGCTACGCGCTCATGTCCGGCTACTAATCTTAGAATGTACCCCAGTGAAACAAAAAGATAGCACGTGGCGAGGAAGATTATAGGTCTTTCTGGGTATTTGAAGCGCTCCATGTCAATTAAGAATGTTGCTACGGTGGTCAGTGTGGACAGAAAGCACAAAATCGACCACAATCCGATCCAAAATCCCGTGAAGGCGTGCTCTTCCGTGGAGAAGTAAGGTTGCCGGCAAGGCTGGGCGCAGTTCGGTTGCGGCCCCGTACTGATGCGATTGTAGAAGTAGTCGCGTTTTATCGGGACTAAAGGATCTCGACAGCGGCATTCACGATCGCAGATATGTGGGGAGTTGGAATTTACGGGTCGAGGTCTGGGTTTTTGGGTCGGTTTCGGAAAATACGGTGTGATCGTCGTCGTCGTATCACTGCTGTTTTGGTCCATGCACAGAGTCTCGTCTCCGAGTTTAGGTAGTCTTTCGCAGCTCATCCTTTCGGGCCATTCGAATCCGTACTGGCTCATTAAAGGGGAGCAGCCTCGTTTGGCGCGTTCGCACACGGAGCGACACGGAGGCAGAGGTTTGCGGTAATCCGGTAAACAGATGGGCGTGTACATGCTGCACAGGAAGAAGAGGAGATCCGGAGAGCAGCGGATTCGGACCAGAGGCCAGAACTGGTGGACTTCCAAACCAACTTCCTCCTGGGAGCAGAAATGACAAGATTAATCCATTTAGTAATGAACGCAAATAGAAAAAGAGGTGGGACATGTAGCTTATTGTCAACAGGCAGTTCAATGTCAACATATATATTTTAAAGCTAACCCATTCATGGAAATAGTTAAGACCATACTTTAGAACATTCTCCTTAGAGATAGAAGAGTTTTATATCATATTGCGAATGTTATACTTAGCCTGAGGGAGAACCAAATGTTGTTCCTTTGGGTATAAGGGAGGGATTAGGGCTGGGTATCATTAAGAAGTTGCTGATATGATACATACCTCAATATATAGGCCAAGATACGATACATATCTGGATACAATGCACTTTGATTCAATACGATATATTTCAAATTGATGCAATATGGTTCAAGAAAAACTAATGCCTATATCAAGGCTGTGACACTAAAAGTCTTTGGTAAACCACTTCTTATGCAAAGTTCATATGAAACATTTTAATAATCAAAACAGTGAAAATATCAAATGTGTCGCATTAACAAGTTTCCTTCCTCTGAACAAGCAACAAAACTGTAGCACTGTAACAAAATTATTTTGTAAAATACACCAAAAAGTACTCTTGGCAATATATCGATACAGCAGCCCACAATATCGATACTGTATCATCTAATTAAATGATAAAATTTTTTCGATATTTCTGCACAGCCCTAGTAGGGATGCAGCGATCCAGCTTTTTCAATAATGATACTATGGCTTTAAGTAACTGCTGATACCTGATATTAATCGATACCAGAGACTGACAAATACATTTATTTCCTTTTAAAAAATGAACATAAGACCAAATGTGTTATGTAGCTGCTATTTATCTCTCACGTAACTACACAACAGCTTTGTATACAAATTCTAACATTATAAGACTTACTGCACTGGCTACGACCAGTAAATTGTCTTATTACATCAATTTATGGATATCGGCTGAATTGATATCTGCAAGCCAATATCTAATCCAACTAATTTTCCAGTATTGGTGCCAATATCTGATACCAGTATCGGACCGGTGCATCCCCAGTATAAGGATTAAGATTTCCAATGCAATATAATTTAATTTTTAATACAATTTAAGATTTCCAATGCAATAAAAACATAAAATATGAAAATAATATAGCAAGGAATGTGACTTTTTCTTTTGACGTTATGAAAATGCTTTAAAAATTACTAAACATTTGCACCCAAAACATGATCTGCCTGACCAAAAATGTATTATTTTTGGGTGGGACAATGAGAATAGGATAATGGAAACAACTAAAATAGTGTTTACCGTAAATAAAATCTGTAATTATGGTGTGATAGAAGGCCAGATCTAACTATAGACAAAGGTGCACTTAGTCCATGCAAATTAAATTCTTGCCCACCCATCACCCTGTAAAAATGAGTATGATCTTTTATGATTCCTCACCCAATTACAGAGAACCTGAATTAAAGACTAGATATAAAGAGAATCCTAAGAACTGCAGGGTTTTCCTCTCACAATAATCAGTAAGTGTTGCCATGTTAACATCCGTACCTGAGTGTCGTGGTTGAACTGGTTGGGCATGTAGGTGAGGTTGTACCCGATGCCGCGGCACATTGGCACAGTGATGGGCTCACACACCAGATCTTTGGAGGCGGCCATGTTGGAGAGGGGAGAGGAGAGGAGGAGGAAGAGGAGGAGCAACAGGGACGCCATGGAGAAGGTCACTGAAATCAAGGAGACAAGGAAACAGTGAAGATAAGTCAGATATAACTGTGGACCACTGCAAACTGTTTCAAATGAACAAGTTCTGTTTTTCATGTTTTTAGGACACTATAAATCAGGTACAAAATCTTCTGTCTTATTCTGCATAAAAACTGCTAACTCAGTAGTTAAGTCTGTACAAACATGCTCTGAAATACATCCTTTTAAAATTCGTATTTCAGTCTTTTTGTTACCTCTCCTTGCGTGTTTTAAATGTGAACTCTGAAAAGAATCCTGTCATTAAAACAAATCTAAATGTAACTGCAATGCTGGTGAGAAAATTCACAATTAGGTAGTTTTCCCAAATCGTTCAGCTTTATGAACAATTCTTTACCCACAAAATAATATGATCAATTCTTACTGTTACAAAGAGTTACAAAACAGAGAAAAGTTTGAGATGCTTCTTTAGATTTTAATAAAAGCACAGTAGTTAATCTTTGGTACTCTCAGATCCTGGATCGAAATTCAGAGTACTGCATTTGCCCACTGCTCCTGACAGGATTATTAACCCCAGGAATACTGAAGAGTGGGTCAAATGAGGGCTATACAAAATGCATTAGAGCTCAGGGTTGTGTTGCCAGATCTCCCAGCAGTTTTTCAGGCTGTTGCACAGCTGTTCATTAGTTTACCTTTCATACATTTGCCAGTGCCAGTAATTAAGCTTTTAGACAGACCATGGCTCATGTGAAAGCTCAGAACCTCAAGAATTCCCTCCCTGAGCTGCAGAGGCTGCACTAGCACTGACTTATGACTGGTGCAGGTGCTGGGGTTTAGTGAGTGACCATGCAGATCAGAGAGAGGTTTAAACCAACATTGAACCTGGCAACCCAAATGACAGACTCACCTGAGGCTCAAGCAGAAGGAGCAAAAACATCAAATTATAACAAAATTGGCATCATGCCCAATATTCTGTCATTCAGAATGAATCAGCAAAAGTTATTTTTAATTTGAACATGTTTATCTTGTGTCTGGGGATACAGTTAGTCATGAAAAAGAAATATTATACAATTCCTTAAATAAAATTGTATACTAATAAAACAACAATTTTCATGAAATCTAATAACTATTCAGCCACTGTAACAAACTTGATAAAATGGGAGTTAAAGGTGCACTACAGAACTCCTTTGTTTCTATGGACAAGTGCATGGAATGTTCCACAGCATGGCATTAAACATTATAGCATTAATCTTAGAAAACCCTCCCTTAACTCAAATTTCTAATAGTCAATCATTGTTGAATGAAGAGGTCAACTGCCAATGTTGTGTCAGTAAAAGCAAGTGGTTTGAAGATTTTTCGTGTTAAATGGCAAAGATCAAAAGTCAGTCTTGTTTACTTTCATTAATGTCTTTTTATTGTGATCATTCTGAGTTATATATAGTCTATATATGTGGTTTATGGTCTATATTCTTCACCAGTATCAGCAGTATCTTGCCTTTTAATATGCACTGCACCTTTAATAAATACATACAAATATTTAGCACTTCAAAATGAGTGATTGTGACAGGCCTTGTCATGGGGATTTTCTCTGTTTAGGGATTCCCCATCACACCTCCACGTGCAGTCGAAAGGATGTAGGTGGAGATTAGCACAGACTCCACACATTCTTCTGGTGCTAAAGGCCGTTCTCAGCTCTGTCTGAAAACACGACGTTAGTTTTAGCCCAGGTGACAGTACACAGAGGAGCAGAGGGGTCACTCCACTGTAGCTCACCAGGCGGGAACGCAACCAACATGATCAGTGATTTTAAATTGCATATTATTTTCTATATAAAATGTGAATGTTTTAACTGAATTTCACAAAATGATGTGAATTTATAGACTTTATGCGGTAGTACGCTCGCCCTGCAATCAGAAGGTCACAGGTTCAAACCAAGACTGTGTACTGGAGTAGTGGTAATGTTAGGGATGTAATGATATCAAAATCCCTTGATACGATATTTTCACGATATGCATCTCATGATACGATATTTATTGCGATGTTCTGTGGAGGCTAACAAAACTGAATATGCTACTTTTTAAAGCCTTAGAAAGCCTTTGGTACTGTTATAATACAAAGAATTAAGATTTAAAAGTGCTTCATAAGAGTTATTTCTTCATGTAGTCTGCAATGACACACCAAAGGATCATGGTCTATGTAGTTTTTTTCTGTTTTTTAGCTACTGCTGCACCACGGCGAGGCAAGGTAAGTTTATTTGTACAGCACAATTCATACACAAAGTTATTCAAAGTGTTTTAGAGAATAAAAAAATACATTAAAAGCAGAGATTTGTAATTTGATACTGAAGCAGAGACTTATTGTGAGACATTTGACGATAATGTATCAGGATATTTCGGTTACTGTTACATCTCTAGGTAGCGTCATTTAGTTTTTATCACTTTATATTATTTTAGTTTCACATCAGCCTGAGCCAGCATGTTGTGATTTATAGCAGTGGTTGTTTTTTTGTCCCCTATTCCCAAAACTGCATATCATTCTCCTGGTACCCCCAAACTTGTCACGATAATCACAATATCGACTTATCGTTCAGGATGCGAAAGCTGGAATAAACTTTAATACCAGAAGATCATTTTAAGCTGTAGAGGGTTGAGTAAATAATTTCTATGGCTAATTATTAAATGCTATTCTACCATTTATGTGTTGCTTTGATTATCAATGAAGTAGCAGTAGTCAATATCATCGTTTATGGCAAGATTTTTCCTTAGCGATGTATCGTGTTTAATTAAAAAAAAACACATTAGAGGCCTAATCATTGACAATTATTTCTGGGCTACTATGTTGTTGTTGTTGTTGTTTTTAATCAAATTAAAAACGTACATGTTAAGGTTAAGGTACACTAATCCTTACGTACATCCAAATTTTTACCACAAGTACAATTCAAAAAGGCTAATGGTCAGTTGTTGGTGTTTTTTTTTTGTTTTTTTTTACAATCCAAAACAATTTTTTTACAATCTAAAATCATTCCATGTAAATACGATTGGAAAACACACATTCATACACATTTATATATACAGGAGTCAAGGTTAACTCTTTATAAAATTTGTCTTAATAAAAACTATTAAACCATCATTGAATTGGAAGCAAAATGTCCTATTATAACTAGGGTTGTGCAAAAATATCAAAATATCGATATATGTTACCATTTAATGTGATGATACGGTATCGATATCGTGGGCTGCTGTATTGATATATCGCCAAGAGTTATTTTTGGTGTATTTTACTAAATTATTTTGTTACAGCTACAGTTTTGTTGCTTGTACAGTGGAAGGAAACTCGTTTATGTGACACATTTGACATTTTCACAGCTTTTATGAGTAAAATGTTTGTGTTTCATATTAACTTCACACAAGACGTGGTTTAACAAAGACTTTTAGTATCACAGCCATGAATTACCCTTTATTTTTTATTGAATCATATCGAACTGATTTGAAATATACCGTATCGAATCAAAAGTGCACTGTATCGAGATATATATCGTATCATGGCCTATGTATCGAGGTATGTATCGTATCGGCAACTTCTTAAATGATGCCCAGCCCTAATTATAACGTTGTTGCGTCCTCAAAAACAGACCTGGAGTTGTGTTTTGTTTCATTCGCACATGTTTGAGTAACTATGAGTCTGTCTACATCTCCAAATGTCATGAAGTGGTAGTTTTCAAGTGAGATCAGCAATTCCAGAGGTGAAATGATCCGAAGGGTTTAAAAACACAGTGGAGCACATCCTGTATTACCTCATGACATCACAAGGTGGAACAGTGTTTTCTGTTTGAGAAAAGATCTCAGCCTAAATATGAAGGGTTTGTGTGTGAATGAAACGAAACACAACTCCAGGTCTGTTTGAGATGAGGAAACAAAATTCTAACATAGCTCAGAAAATAGTAATAGAGTAACCCAACCCTATCTTACTACTACCACCTTTGTTCCTGCTGCTGCTACTACTACTACAGTACTGCAGTTGCCAATACTACTACTTACTACTACAACCATGCATAAAAACATGAAATTTGTAAATAAAGATTACAGTAACTATGCAAAATTTATATGAAGATATGAAGAGTGATAGCCATGGATTTCACTGCACTGTGCAACTTTTTCGTTGGGGATCCGTCACCTGCTTGTTTCTATGGATACATCATTATTGCTCTGCCTGGAATGTTCCGCAATATGACGATTAAACAACTTCTACTTCATATTTATTCAATTACAGGTGGTTTTATAGCTCAAAAATACCTAGAAAAACAGACATTCTGACTGTGAGTGGGTCACCTCTCCACAGATCTGACCTGTAACTTGGTCTGACCTGTAACTTGGTCCGGTTTGGAAGATGGAAAGGTTTAATACCATACTGTGAAACATTCCAAGAAAAAAACAATAACATCTCCATGGAGAAAAGCATTTGACGGACGTTCCACCAGAAAAGTTACACAATGCACCTTTAAACCCACGAATGTTTTTTTTTTTTTAAATATAGCCAAGCAAATTTAATCGATTGCAAGACAGAACTTACTTTTTGCAGCGTTTTTTTAGTTCAGGACCTGTCGCAGTTCAGTCCAGCCTCGTCTTTTTCTGCCTCATGAAGCGCAGCCGGAGTTCCAACAAATCCCGGTTTGAAATTTAAACCCGAGTTTAATCCACAATCTCGGCTGTCAATCATTCACCTCGTCCCGGGCAATCATTGTGTAAAAAACGTCTGCATCTTCCTTCGCCTTTCACTTCCCACAAAAACTAACGAGAGAACATTTTAAACAATCCATTTCGTGCGTAAAAATGAAAAACGTGCATCGCCAAATCTGAAGTTGGCGTAAAAATGATCTTCAAAAACGGACGAAATTCCACTTTAAAATGTTACGCAAATCTTAAAATCCAAGTTAAACAGAATTCAGTTGAAATTAAAGCGATTCAGCGCGGTAAGACTTGAGAAATTGTGCAAGAACGTCACAAAATGTCCAAAAATCAACTTTGCGAATGTTGTCCAAAGTTTTTAATCCAACTCGAGCGTAGTTTGATCCGGTTTTTAGTCGTGATTAAAACAGATTTGCGTGTGGAGTGTTCGGTTAAAAATGACTCAATCAAACGGCAGCGGGACTCTGAAGGACCCGGAGCGGAGGGAGCGCGTGTCCAGGTGCGCGCAGCTCGAGCTCAGGGACGTAAATGACGCAGAGGAGGAAACAGCGGAGTCTCATCAAGCGCTGCTGAGTTCAAGGGCCGACGGGAAAAGGCAGCACCGGGCGAAAAAGGAGGAGGAGAGATAGAGAGAGCAGAGGAGGAGTGGAGCGTAGGCTGCTATTTTAGATTTTTGAGCCCAACGACTAGCCTGAAATTGCAATACTCACTGCATTGTGTAACTTTTCTAGCGGAGGGTCTCTTCAAATGCTTTTCTTCATGGAGATGTTTGCTTTGTCTGGAATGTTGCACAGTATGGCATTAAACCTTTCTATCGTCTTGGAGATACTCCCTATGACTGTCCAATAACTCACCCACTGCATAAGACTATAGAGGGACAGATAATACTCCCTACAACTGTACAACAACCCACCCACTGCATCAGACTATAGAGGGACAGATAATACTCCCTACAACTGCACAACAACTCATCCACCACAGCAGACTACAGAGGGAAAGATAATACTCCCTACAACTGGACAACAACTCACCCACTGCACCAAACTATAGAGGGACAGATAATACTCCCTACAACTGGACAACAACTCACTCACTGCAACAGACTATAGAGGAACATATAATACTCCCTACAACTGTACTACAACTCATCCACCACACCAGACTATAGAGGGACAGATAATACTCCCTACAACTGGACAACAACTCACCCTTATGTAATAGATAATACTCCCTACAACTGGACAACAACTCACCCACTGCACCAAACTATAGAGGGACAGATAATACTCCCTACAACTACACAACAACTCACCCACAGCACCAGACTATAGAGGGGCAGATAATACTCCCTACAACTGTACAACAACCCACCCACTGCACCAGACTATAGAGGGACAGATAATACTCCCTACAACTGGACAACAACTCACTCACTGCAACAGACTATAGAGGAACATATAATACTCCCTACAACTGTACTACAACTCATCCACCGCACCAGACTATAGAGGGACAGATAATACTCCCTACAACTGTACAACAACTCAGCCTATCTTTTTTGCTACTTATTTAGAATTTACCTTTTTTTTTTTTTTATTCTATGTTATTATATTATATTGTGATGTGTAATACTCCTTACAACTGTACAAGCTGAGCTGCTGTGTCCAAATAATTTCCCTTGTGGGTCAATAAGTCTAATTCTCAGCAAAGCAATAACATATTCATAGAAAAGAGAAGGTGACTTGTCCCATCTGAAAAGTTACATAATGCACTTTTAACTAAGCTTACGCAATAAGATTTTTTATTTATTTTTTCTTTTTTACTCAAGTATTGAAATAAACTAATAAACTGCTAGACTAATATTAAAGAAATGAAGGTAATTTAGTTCCAATACTGGATCAAAAAACAACATTGCTAGGTTAAAGATACACCATGTAACTTTCTTGCTGGAGGGAGTATGGCTTTAATCATATCTATCTCCATGGAGACAACCAGGTGCAGCCACTAGGCAAAGTTACGGCTAAGATCTGTGATGAGGCAACACAGCTCAGAGTGAGAATTTAAAGCATTTTGAGCAATACAACACATGTATTTGGAAAAAAAAAAGATGGATAAGTTTAATGCCATATTGTGGGACATTCCAGGCAAAAAGTGACATGGTGCACCTTTACGTAATAAAGGCAAATATATTAATTTTAGCCCATAGATTCACACATCACCAAAAATGTGTGAATGAAACAAAACACAACTCCAGGTCTGTTTTTGAGGAGGAAACCGCATTTTAATATGGCTTAAAGCTCACAAGAGTCAATTTCATGTAATACAGGACTTTTATGTAAATATTTCTGTTTGACAAAAGTATCATATGGAGGTTGTGGGTTAGACTCCTGATTTCTCTGAGTGTCCTTACGCTACCCATACTTAATTTCTCTTTAAAACATGACTTGTGTTTACATTTTGTCACCTCTAAGAGAAAGTAAACAAAGCCAAATTACTTATTGACCGCGGTGTCCATGGTAACAGCGTAAACAAACTTGGAGAAAGGTCCAGAGGCAGGTCCAAAGTTCGGGGCGTGGTTCTAGTTAAGTGTGTGTTTGGTGTTGCTCTGATTTAAACTCAACAGTGATAATAGAAGTAAACAGACAGATCTGGTTTAGCTCTGGTTAGACACTGCTTTAGTTGATAGTCAGTGTTGGGGAGTAACAGATTACATGTACTAGAGTTATGTAATCAGAGTACAAATTATGAGTAACTGTATTCAGTTACAGTTACTGTTTCAGTGAGTGAGTGTATTTTCCTGTTTTCACTCATTGCCGGGCACTAAACCAGGTCTAAACCAGGTCTAAACCAGGTCTAAACCAGGTCTAAAACCAGGTCTAAACTAGATATAAACTAGGACTAAACCAGGAATAAACCAGGACTAAACTAGGACTAAGTTAGGACTAAACCAGGACTAAAACCAGGTCTAAACCAGGTCCAAACCAGGTCTAAACCAGGTCTAAAACCAGGTCTAAACTAGATATAAACTAGGACTAAACCAGGAATAAACCAGGACTAAACTAGGACTAAGTTAGGACTAAACCAGGACTAAAACCAGGTCTAAACCAGGTCCAAACCAGGTCTAAACCAGGTCTAAACCAGATCCAAACCAGGTCTAAAACCAGGTCTAAACCAGGACTAAAACCAGGTCTTACCCAGGTCCAAACCAGGTCTAAACCAGGTCTAAACCAGATCCAAACCAGGTCTAAAACCAGGTCTAAACTAGGTATAAACTAGGACTAAACCAGGACTAAACCAGGACTAAAACCAGGTCTAAAAGAGGTCCAAACCAGGTCTAAACCAAGACTAAACCAGGATTAAACCAGGTCTAAACCAGGACTAAAACCAGGTCTAAACTATGTCTCAAATAGGATTTAACAGGACTAAATCATGCTGTGTGGACAGTGTTTCCTCGTCTTCTATCAATAATATTTTAAATTTGTTTAAGTAAAAACTGGGCTTTTTATTTTCTTTTAGCAGACAAAACGTCTTATGTTACGATATCCTCGTCTTTGCTTCTCTACAGCAAACCAAGTAATCCAAAGTATTCAGATTACGTTACTCACTTTAAGTAATTTAATAGATTCCGTTACAAACTACATTTTGGGGTATGTAATCTGTAATCTGTAGGGGAATACATTTTAAAAGTCACCTTCCCAACACTGTTTATAGTAGATGCTTATGTCTGCTGTATAATTATAAGTATAGTTATAATCTACTGCATTAGTGGATCATTCTGTTATAATTTGCACATTATTCACCTGAAATGACTTAATAAAGGAAACAAATCTGCTGACTTGTGTGTTAGAAATGTCATCACAACAAAGAGTCACGTGCTGTCAGGATTTTGTTTTGTTTGTTTGTTTGTTGATGACGCAACGCTGCCAAATCCCAGTACAGTTTTAGTTATCTGTACTTTACTTTAGTTCATTTAGATACTTAGATACCAGTAGATACTTTTTACTTTTGCTTCACTACATTTGAGAGCATGTGTTTGTACTTTCTACTCCACTACTTTTTAGATCTGGACTGAAGTAAAAAGTACTTTTCTTTATGGTTTGAGACCTGCTGAAATGCCTGAGACTTATTTTTAGTACATTTAAAAAGTTAATTCACAGCTTTGAGCAAACCAAAAACACAAATACAGAAAAACAGCTAGAAAAAATAAGAATTCAACTGAATCACTTAAAATCAGCAAAACTGTTGATCAAAATACATTTGATGCTTTAATTGTTCCAAAAATCTCTACAAAATACTTTGACTTTGTACTGTTAAAGTAGATTTTTAAACAGGTACTTTAATAGGTTTACTTTAATACTTTATTTTTTAGGATACTTAAATTTTAACTTTAGTAATCTTTTGCCTCTCTATTTCTACTTTTACTTAATAAAACTGAGTACTTTGTCCACCACTGCAGAATTCTATGTGTATGACTGTCTGTTTAAGGAAATAGAATTGGAGAATGAAGTAAGTACAGAGTAGTGGGTCTGTGCGGTGGCAGTGATTTGTGTATTTGTAATTAAAGATTGCTCAAACGTGCACAAATCATTTCAAATACAACTACAAGTGAGTAAATGGTGAGGGGAAAACATGATAACATGATTAAAAGCTCATAAAAGTCCATTCTGCATAACATAAAAGTCCATTCTTGTCGGGGGGGTATCTCTTGCTCCATGGAAATGTCAGTGTTTTGCAGTTTGCCTGAAACATTCCGATTAAACTTGTGTTAATGTAATTTTATTGAAAAAACACAACAAAACAAACAAACAAACGAGCAAAAACAACAACAACAACATGACAAAATGTGCATTTATTCATATATATCTTTATTCATATATATTTTTCAGACTATAAGTCACACTGGACTGTAAGAATTGACATTTCATCTTGAAAGGGAAGTTACAGTAAAAACAATAGAAGAGAGAACAACAGACTGTTAACGTCACATATGAACAGTTCTTCAGATAAACTATAACATAAACAACAGAACAGAACAAGTTTAACAAACTCTCCATCTCACTCCAAATCACTAAATCCATTCAGTTCTTTATCCTCGATGTCACTTCTGAACAACTCCATGACCTCTGGAGGTAAACAGAGCACCGCTTCCTCTTCTGTAGCTGTCGTCAGACTCAGCATCAGTTCCAGTTAGAATTATTCTGGTCTTTCTGAATCCTGACAGGATGGTTTCAGCGTCACTGAAGTCCAGGCTTTGTCCATCCATCCAGTGACTTCAGGAAAGTTTCATGGTGCATCCTCCCAGTGTCACAAGTTTCTCACTCACTCCAAACTTTCTTTCTGCTGCTTGATTACTGTTTTCGGCTGCATACTTTGCTACTTGCATCTTGTAATCTGATTTTCTTTTGGGAGGCATTTGTGTTCAGTCTTCTCAGTTGTCTTGTTGCACTGGAGTATAAGTCGCAGGACCACCCAAACCATGAAAAAAAGTGCGACTTATTGTCCGAAAAATGCGGTATGTCATACAGATTTATATTTTCTATAGCACCCTGTATATTCTAGTAAAGTTTTTCATGTAAACTGTATTATGTTTACAATACATCTGCTTATATATACCCCATGCATATTATGCCTAATTCCCACTTGTTCATACTGCAATATTTATTTGTGTATATTCACTACAATCAACACTATAATAAAGTGTATATTGTTTGTATTGTATATACTCCACATTCTGTATATCATACTTGCTGCTCCTTGCACTTCTGATTGGATGTTAAACCACATTTGTTTATCTTTTATTTATGCATGGATAATGACAATAAAGTTGAATCTAATCTAATCTAATTTAATCTAATATTCACTGAAAAACATGTATTCTTTCTGTGAGTGGATTTAACCTCTCCAGAACCAGCCTGTGGCATGGACAGAAAAGGCAAATGCAAATGTGTTTAGTGATGAAAGTTTGCTCACAATTTCCTGAGGGACAACCCCCAGACCCCTTCATGTCAATCCAGCATTACATTCAGGAGCCCTTATTTCTACAAATCATGACAAAGTACCCACATGGAGCTCTGTTTTACCGCAGCTGTGCCAAATGAAATCTTGCCTTGAGCGCCAAATATACCCTAGTGTGTTTAGCCTATAGTAGCGTTTCTCAAACTGAAGTGCATGTACTTCTGGCGGTATGCGAACATTCCGCCGTACACAATCACTACAAAGTATCAGTAGTACACCACAGCGCTGCCAGGCTCAACTTTGACTGAGCGAGAGATAACTCAAGTGTTCAGTTAGTCCACCTCTTCCTCCCCTCTCCTCTCTGCTCTCTTCTCTCTCCTCTCTCCTCCCTCCATCCTGGACAAATTAGTGTTGAGTCTGTGGCGTTCCTAATTGTCAGAGTTGATCAGGGCGCAGAGTGCTGTTCACAAAGGGCGGACTGTAGCGAGCGCGTCAGGCTTTGTGCGTGTCCAGTGGCCCGCGGAGCGTCAAAACCATTTACGCCACCGCCAGAGAAATGCACGGACAAAAACAAAAGATGACGTTTAGGAGAGGGACAGAGGAGCAACGGTCGAAGAAATGTGTTCAAATGAGCCACGTTAGAAAGAGGAGAGGAGAGGGGGAGCGATGTGACAAAAAACACTTTAAAATGTCCCATATTATGCAACACTGACTCATGTGAGCGTTTAGTTTAATGCGATTACCTCTTTAAAAACAGACCTGGAGTTGTGTTTTGTTTCATTCACACATATTTGAGTAATCCATTATTAGTCTGTCTGCATCTCTACAGGTCAAAATGCTCTGTTCCATCTTGTGCATGAATTGTGAATTGGCCACATTTCCATTATGTTTTTTAATTCCAATTTAATTATTCAGAATTAATGAATTTGGAATTCAATTATTCTCCTTCGAGTTTACTTGGAAATTATAATTTACTATGGTGAGTGCTCCCATGTCTTTACCTCTGTTACCCAAACTGAGAGCTTCTGTTCTGGGCTGATGTGCGGTGAGTTGTGTACAAAGTTCTACATGCTGCTGTTTTATGAGTTCATGATGATAAGTTGGGATGAGGACGGCTCGAGGTGTTAACAGGGAACCTCGGTACATTTCGTAATTACATAGGCACCGGGAAACAGATACATGGGGACACAAATATGTTAAAAACTTTTTTCACCATCTTGCAGTGCATCATTGCGTCAGAAGAGCGACCCAAAGCACACGCTGAACAACCGGAATTATTTTTTGAAGTGGAATAAATTTTTACATTTTCACGGAATAAATTAATTTGGCTTTAAAACCAGAATAAACCACCCACTTAATTCGGATTTAAGTTTAATTCCGAATAATTATTAGGATTTACATCACACATGTCAAACATACGGCCCGGGGACCGGATCCGGCCCTCCAAGACCTTTAAAGTGGCCCTTGGCTGATTTTCTACAAAAATATTTTAATTATATTTTCTATTAGAATATTGGTAATTTTCTGCGGCACTGAGCATAGCAGAGTCTCCAGTGTCTCTGTACGTGGCCCCTCCCACCAGAGCAGCACAAATGAAGACTTGTCTCTTTCCAAACGCTCTTAAAGGACGATCGCTTTTGACTGTTGACCGTGACACCCTCATCAACAAAATATCAAAAATGAAATCAAAAGTCAACGCTGAGTGCAGGATTTTCCAAGAAAAACTGGCTTATTCCAATTTCTATAAAAGTTCATGTTAAAACATTGTGCTGAAATTGCATTTTTCTTAAAGTTTCAGGTTGTTCATAATATTATAATATTTTGTAAAAGAAAGAGTTCACCAATTAAAAAGATTTCTGTAATAGATTTGTGTTTCTCTGCACAAATATTTGAACTCATTGCTATTTTTGGGGTTTATATGCCATTATTTTTTGGCAAATAATAACACATCGGCATCTTGCATTTTGTAATTTTTTTTTATATTTATATGAAGTATTATATTTAAATTATTATATGACGTATTTACACTTGTCACTGAATTTTTGTCACCTGACAAGCTCAAGATCAGACAGTGACAGTCGACGCACATGCAGAGTTCTGTAGTGCAGTTAAAGACGGCAAAATGGTGAGTGTTAAAAGTATGAAAACTTGACAGAGAGTTTTCAAAGAACAGTGCATGACCAATTATTTTTTTGTTCATTGTAAGAACTATGAAGTTTGTCTGATATGTAAACAAAGTGTAGCAGTGTAGCAAAGGATATAATCTGCGTCGTCAGGGTCTTACAATTCTGTTTTACAGCCAACCCACACCCCTAGAAAATATTGATGGCATCAGCTGAAAGGTACCACTAGGTCTTGCCAAAATGCACCTGCAGAAGAACCTGAGACTTTGATCAACCTGTTCAAATATCACCCTCTAAAATGCATCCAGTATAAAAGACTTTTCAGCAGATCCAGTGCTGTTTGTTGTTAAGAGGTCTTTATTGGCATCAGTGATCTGTGGAGAAACAAATTTTAATCCAGATGAAGTCCCAGTCTGGATTTTGGGATTGGCAACAACAAAAACAGGAAAATTCTGAATAACTTAAACAAAAAGTGCAAATGAAATCAAATATTTCCCATTCAAAAACAGCATTGAAACATCTGAAGATAACAAAAGGTACAGGTCACATACATACAGGAGGTTTGAGTGTATGCATGTAAATTATAAGATCATTTTGTGCTGTAGATTTTAGGGCTGTAGTTGATTAATCGGTTCTACCTGTTGACCAAAATTTGTATTAATCGATTAATAAAAGGATTTATATGAGACATTTTATTATGTAAAAAGGCAGATTCAAAAATTTAATCTGTTTTTACATAATATTTTGTTGTTTCTTGATACTTTTTTCTCCATAAATAGTAGTTTTTGCATGAACTCCCTCTGTAGGTGAAGTCCTGTGAGCGCATTTTGGGTCAGATACATGGAGACAGGCCCAGGAACAGAAATTTGGGGGCCCCGGAGCAAGAAGACTCACATGGGCCCCCCTCTAATATTAATAAATAAGCAGAGGTTCCAATTCTGGGGCACTAAGACTCTGGAATCCGTGTATCATTCGTTCATTTGTTTTTCAAGATAAAACCAAAAGTTAGAAAACAAACAAACAAAAAAATATATATATTTTCTTCATTATTTGTCTCTAAAACCAAAATGAAAAAACAGATAATGATTAGTTTTTTCAGGTTTCGATTTTGTGTTTAAATGAAAAATGGAAAAAAAATGGATAACGGCCATTTCCTGTTTACACGACTTAAACTGCGATGCCGGACTGAACCAGGACTGAACCAGGACTAAACCAGGACTGAACCAGGACTAAACCAGGACTAAACCCTTTTCAGTCCTGGTCTGGTCCCAGTCTCCGTCCTGGTCTCGGTTCTGATCTGGTCTCGGTTTCAATCATGGTCTGGTCCTGGTCTGGTCCCAGTCTCAGTCCTGGTCTGGTCCCGGTCTCAGTCCCGGTCCTGTTCTCGGTCTCAATCCTGGTCTCAGTTCTGGTCCTGGTCCCGGATCTGGTTTAGTCCTGGTTCAGTCCTGGTTCAGTCTGGCATCGCAGTTGTGGAAGTCACGTAAACAGGAAACGGCCGTTTTCCATAATTCATTTAAAGACAAAATCAAAAACTGAAAAAATTAATCATTATTCATTTTTTCATTTTGGTTGTAATGAAGAAAATTGTTGTTTTTTTGGTTTCTTATTTTTGGTTTTATTTTGAAAAACAAATGAATGTACGACACACGGATTCTCGGGGACCTCGGACAACAGACAACGTATATTTTTTAGATATTTGGCCACGCCCCCCTTTTTAGTCGACCAATCAAACTTCAGGACATGTCAACTACAGCCCTATTGGATTCTCTATGTCAAGATAAACCAAAAACTACATTTCCCTTTGACGTCTGAGCTACATTTTTCGAAAGGTAACAAAATAAAACATAAATAATCTCAGAAAGCAACTTAAATAAAAAATCAAGCAATTCAAACTTCTGTAAACTTAAATAATACAATTTTCATTTCATAATTTCATTTTTGTCCATTGTCATAATCCTAATATAGATGACAGCAAACTGGGATTAATAGTCCAACATGCCTCAGTAACTAACTCACAAAAATATTTCCATCCATCACAACATAGTTTCTTTACAATTAGGAAAATTAAATTAGATTTTTAAAGAGAATAAAACAAAAGATAATAAATTTGCAGCTGTGTTCCCGCCACACACTTCAGAAAGAGAAAATCTGAAAGCAAAAATACATGATTCTTATTACAAAAAAAATATTTAATTTGACGCAATTAGCAAATCGTAAATGCTGTAAAGTTTTAAGTACAATCACGATGCTTGTCAAAAAAAAAAATCGCAATTAGAAGTGCAATCATAAGCTATTGACGAATCCTGCGGCAAAATGAACTGACTTCCCCCTCCCCAAACACTTCCCTCTGACAAAATAATACGTAGACTCAGTAACTATGGCGACGTCAAAACTCAAAATACGACTTTAGTTGGGAACACAGCTGCTACAAAAGTGAAAATGCAGTTTAGACCTTTATAAACGAAATCACTGATTGAAAAGGCCTAGGTCTAGTTTGCATAGAGAGGCTAAATGCTAAAGCTAAAGCTAACTGCTCTGTTTGGGTTATATTCATTTAAAGCTACACTACGTAACTTTGCTTGTGGAGTGTCCGCCACCTGCTTGTTTCTACGGAGATGTTCTTGCTTTTCTTTGAATGGTCCACAATATGGTTTTAAACATACCTACATCACTATGGAGAAAAGCATGTAGTACTATCTGTAAGTTACTGGTCAGATCTGTGGAGAGGGGACCATACTGCACAATTTTCAGGATCACTTTCCGCATTTAAAACACTAGCAATCGCAAAACCACCTTAATGCTATACTGTGGGACATTCCAGGCAAGCAGCGACATTTCCATGAGCACAAGCGGGTGGTGGACTCTCAGTAAAAATGTTACACAGCGTGGCTTTAAGCTCAGATGATTGACGCAGAGGAAAAAGGAGAGGGAAGCGAAAGGCAACACTCGAAGAATAAGTTACAATATATTACTGTATAATTATTGCCTGACATTTTAAACCAATGAGAGGAGAGCCAGAGGAACTCACAGTCCCTGCGCTCATAGTAACCACACTGTATTCAGAAACACTGATAAACAAGAAATACAATGTTAAAGCTCCTATAGTACGGAAATTGAACTCTTGTGAGCATTAAGTCATGTTATAACGCTGTTACCTCCTCAGAAACATACCCGGAGTTGTGTTTCATTCACACAAGTTTGAGTACTGTATTTTTCAGACTATAAGGAGCACTTAAAATCCTTTAATTTTCTCAAAAATCATCAGTGTGCCTTATAGTCTGATGCACATTCTGTATTAAGTCTGGTTGTGCTTACTGACCACGAACTGATTTTATGTGGTACACGGCGCTCAAAACTCCGTTGAAATGATTTAGTACGACTTTGATCAGCTATGAACGAAGCTGCACTGCTTGATGGATTGTTGGACCATTCCAGCTACTGTAGTCAGGAGCATCAGGGCACAAGGAGCGAGTTTTTTATCAGCGCTTATGGTTTATGCAAATGAGCCACGTGGCTTTAAGTTTTGTTTCTGTAAAATGTAAACAAATGTGCACAAAGCTGCATTAAACACATTATTACTCAATGTATATTTGAGTCCTTGTAGGAAATAATAATAAAAATATGTTTATTATCCACCCACATTCACATAATACACATTAACCAAGACAGGGAGGCAATGGCGGGTGAGTTACGCCAAGTGTCGTCCGTTTGTTACGCTTAATTCGCCTTATAATCCAATGCACCTTATGTATGAAAATAGACAAGAGAATTCAACATTATTGATATTGCTCCTTATAATCTAGTTCGAATTATAGTCCAAAAAATATGGTAATCCTACTTTATTAGTCTACCTCTCCAGCACTAAATGCTCTGTTCTGCCTTGTGATGTCATGAAGTGATAGTTTTCACATGAACAGCTACATTTTACCTTTTGTTCAGCAGAGATGAACAATCTCAACGCTGAAATCATCTAAACTGATTCGAGTGAAGGTGTATGGAGTTTAAAAACACAGTGAAGCACTTCCTGTATGAGTGTTTTCTGTTTGAGAAAAGATAATACGCCTATATACGCAGGGTTTGTGTGTTAAATGTGTAAATGAAAAACACAACTCCAGGTCTGTTTTTGAGGAGGAAACATTATAACATAACAGATCAGAAAATGGTGTAATATGGACCTTTAAATAACTACTAGATGGTATGGATGCTCAACTATTTTAACAATACAAAGTCCCATTGTAAAACAGCTATAGGTTGGGTTCTTGTCATGTGCTGGCTGTGCGTTCTGCCATTCAGTGTTGACTTATTGGACGCCAAACCTCAAACTATAGCAGCTTATGAGACAGTAAAGAAAGGCTTTTATTTTGAAAGGTCGGCTCTGGGTGAGGCTCAGGAAATGGAAGACGAGGGGAAACAATGAGGCCGAGTCCACATGAATAGTTTCAGTATCATGTATTTTAGTACCTGTGTGCTTAAAACGGGAGTTGCGGATTTAACTACAGTTCTATGACGCCTGGGTGACAATTACAGGGGCCGCTGCTGAAAACAATGCATGATTACTTGTGCATGCACTGAAGGAACCGGCTCTGTGTGCAACTCGGCTAGTTCTGGTCTTTAGGGACAACCTGCGCGACCATTTCGTTTCCGCTGTAATGGAATCTCGATGAGGTTTTTGCCGAGTTGCGCTAAAATCACTAAATCCCGACAGATCTGATGGCTGGACACAAATGCAAGGAAAACTTCACCGGAGGACTCATCTGCTTTTAGAAAGGTACGTCTTTGTGCGTCAGTGCTAACTTTTATTAAGACTTTAAATCGCACAAAACAACAAAATAAAAATTGTAAAGACTGATTATTACAGTCTGCAAGCAAATTTTTAAATATAGTATCAGCATTAGTATCGCCCACATATTTTGAACACAAGCGCTGAAGTTGCTATAGTAACCATACTAAGACAAACCTCAATTTTGAGATTTGTTTGATTTGATCAAATTTACTCTTGAAATAGCATCAGCTTTACTGATAAATACTTGATCAAAGTCCGTGAAAATTCAGTATTTTATCTGATAAAAGGTGCATTGAGTAACTTTTCTGGTGGAGGGTGCGTCAAATACTTTTCTTCATGGAAATGTTATTGCTTTGTCTGGAATGTTTCACAGTATGGTACTAAACTTTTCTATTAACATAGAGACTAGGGCTGGGTATCATTAAGAAGTTGCTGATACAATATACAATACATACTTGGATACATAGGCCACGATACGATACATATCTTGATACAGTGCACTTTCGATTCTAAACAATCTATTTCAAATCAATTCGATACAGTTCAATAAAAAAATAAAGTGACACTAAAAGCTTTTTTTAAACCACTTCTTGTGCAAAGTTCACATGAAACATGCCTACTTTAATCATCAAAACAGTGAAAATGTCAAATGTGTCCCATAAGCAAGTTTTGTTCCACTAATCAAACAACACAACTGTAGTGATGTAACTACTATAAATAATTTAGTAAAATACACCAAAAAATATTCTTGGCGATATATCGATACAGGATCCCATGATATCAATACTATATCACATTAAACGATACGATAAATCAATATTTCAATATTTTTGCACACCCTTAACGGAGACCAAACCAGATCAAGTTACAGGTCAGGTCTGTGGAGAGGCGACCCCACTCAGAGTCAAAATACCAGCTTTTTTTTTTTTTTTTTAGGTATTTTTGAGCTATAAAACCACCTGTAATTTAATAAATGTAAGGTAGAGCTGTTTAATGTCACACTGTGGAACATTCCAGACAGAGCAATGACATCGCCATAGAAACAAGCAGGTGACGGACCCCTAACCAAAAAGTTACACAGTGCACCTTTAACAAATGTTAGAAAACAGAGCACAGTTGAGTTAAGTTTGAACAGCTATCTTTGCAAATACAATCTTTTTGTTTCTATTTTTTAAGAATAAACAGTGAAATTGTCAAACTTTTATATTAATGTATTTAAGCTTAGCAAACAGTATAAAGATTACACTTTTAAAAGAGTTAAACAGGTTAACTTCAAAAGGGGCCAAATCGGGCAATTATAGTACCTTTCTAATCGCAGTGTCCTCTGGTGAAGTTATCCACCAGTATTTATTTTCATTGTTCCGTACACAAAATAATGAAACTTATTTATGTGGACATAGCCGGACCATTCACACATTTAACTTGATTATCTTGGATTACAAACATCTTTAAGCTATTACAATAACTCGGACCTGTTTTAGTACAAATACTTGAGTGGATGAGTTCTCCCTGCTGTTTAAAGTTATGGGTCTCAGTCTTTTGTGTTTTTTTTTTTTTTTTTTTTCCAGGTAAACGTCCAACCTGGCAACCCTCAGATCCAAACCTGGCAACCCAAACACGTCTGACGCGGCTCCACTCTGCTCCAGGACTGCGGGCTCGAGGTCCCTGCGCCCTCTCTGCGGATTTAAGGGGTAGTTTTTTGGGGGGGAATTATCTAGGGGGGTGTATTTTCACGTGTCTTGGAAGGGCAGGTGGTGGCAGCCCGGGTCTTCGTCGGGTGACCAGAAGGACGAGGGGCGCTTGTGGTGAAGCTCGCGGCGGACACAGCGAGGGCACGGCTGAGCTTTGAGGCGGCATTCGGAGTGAAAGACTGCCCCACAGCTGTCACATCTGGAGAGAAAGAAAGCAACGCATTATTTATCCTGCAGCCGTTTCGTGTCCGTATGCGTATCCGGGGGAGCTGTGTTAGTGTGTGCAATCCCACACCGCAGAACCACATTTGGACAGTCAGCCTTTTCATATCGACATTGTAAACTATGGAACTCAATGCCACCTGAACTGAAGTGCAGAACAGAACTCAAGATGTTCATTTCAAAGCTCAAGTCCTGGTCAAAAACAAACCAAAGTTGTACCCACCTGTAAATATTGTGTTGTATTATGTTTGTATGTCTGTGAATGTGTGTTTGAATGTGGGAGTGTCTGAAACGTAAAACTGCACTGTTGTAAAAATGTGTTTAAAGATTGTGTTTTTGTGTTTTGAACTGTTTAGTGTACGGGAAACCCCAACCAGGAACAGGAGTTGAAAATTAGCACTTCGAGGAAAATGTCTAGGAAACTACAACATGACTAACAAGATCTGAGAAAGAAATATCCAACCACTGCAAAAGGGAAAACCATGTCATGGACTAGAACAAAGCTAAACTAGTAGGAACAGAGGAGCGCAAATACAAAAGACGGATAAGAGAGGCTATTGAAAAGAAGAAGCAGGACCATCAACAGAGACGAGGGGGTGTTTACCTCGGCTCACACATAGGACTCCCTTCTCGAGAGACCACCTGTCGAACCATCTGTCAAACTGAGCACGCCTGAGAACAACAGCTAATAAGAGACACGTCACAGCAGTCAGTGACACCTCTGACGAAAGCGAAAGCGCTACTGCCGAAACATGTCAGGTACCGTATTTTCCGCACCATAGGGCGCGCTCATAAGCCTCCAACCCCATCAAAAAACGACCGCGTGCCCCGCAATCCAGAGCGCTGTACACATGAATCCACTCGGGTGTCCCAGCACGACTTCAGTAAACTACAAAGCTGCACCACCCGCAGCGCACGCAAACACACATGGAGCAGACAGCGACCTTGCAGCGAAAAACACCCACAGACACACTCCACGTGGACGAGGAATGGAACAGAGGAACGAACCAAAAAAGTGAGTGCCACTTCTAGACACAACTGAAAAACTGAGTCACTGAGAACACGCCGACAATCCAGCGTCCCAGACAGCACCCTCCCTACACGCCACAACTGAACACAGCCCAGAGTCACCGTGAAAGCGCCAAAGTCCGACAGACCCATCTAACTGTTGTGTTTCGTTGTGTCTGGTGTGGTTTATATGTGAAAAAAGTTCAAAAATAGACCATTCTATGACAGTGTGCCTTATAATCCAGAGCGCCCTATAGTGCGGAAAATACAGTAATAAGCTCTTATTAGAAGAAAACACAAAGTTTCTATCATGTCTAGTTCTGGCTCTGCACAGCTACGTGGCGTCTTTGTAGAACTGACAACAAAGTTCTGGAAATATTTTGTTGTCCAAGGTATTGGTATACTTATTATGTATTCTGATTTTTAACGGTGGTCAGTAGGAATGAAATAAAACCTGCGCTGGGCCAGACTTATGGAAGCCAGGCTGCCAATCTGCACCATCGACCCCTCTGAAAAACAACAACACTCACACACACCACATTCATACGAGGGTGAAGTGTCTTGCTTAGGGACACAATGACAATAACTGACATTTGAGATGCTACAGGCTTTTTACAATAGCTGCAAATGTGGTAGAAGACGTTTCAGAGGAAATACTCTGAGGGAATCAGCCATTTCATCACCAAAGGAAACTCTAGAGCAGAGCAGGAGTGAGGCCTTTCCTGTTGTGTTCACATGGGTCTGATGACCCTGCCTGACCAGTCCTCCTGTTACACAGCACTGAGAGTACTGACTGAGACACAAAGACCACTGAGAAGCACAGTGTAAATGCTGCTGCAAATCAGTACAGTATCTCTCCCTCTTTCTGTGCCACCTGGTATTCCCTGCAGTCTCCCATCTAAGTTCTAACCAGACCCGGTCCTGCTTAGCCTCAGAGATCATAGGAGACATGATATTGACAAGCATGTACAGCCAGTACAGTGCCTGCTTACTGCAGCACATTCCTTGTCAGTATCCACTGTGTATCTTCCATGTTGGTGTGAGTACAGTAACAGCTCTATCTGTCCACACTTCACACTGTGTCTGTGAGTGTTAGACCCTCCCAACATGGCCGCCGCCCCTCTGCCTCTGAACACTATGACCCTCTAGAGGCGACACTTCCACGAAACACTATCAGGCCCTATCTCTGACAGAGTCCAGACAAAGCAGAGACAGGACAGGGGAAGATCCCACAAAGGCCAGATCAAGCCTCAGATCCCGGCTCAGGTCCTGAGTGATACCAGCCTCTGTCAGCACGAGAGAGTGACAGAGAACACAGAGAGGCCACTACATCCATCCTTTCTACTCTACTGAAGAAAATAAAGTTGGCACAAATAAATCTAGATAAAAAAAATAATAAAAAACTAAACCAGGATTTAACCATGGAATAACCAAGGAATTAACCAGGTCTTATCCAGAACTAAACCAGGACTAAATCAGCTTTATTCTGGGGCTGAAATAAGTCTAAAGCTTTGATAGATACTGACAACTGCAAACTGGGAATACCCCGGAGGAGCTGTATTAAGAATTAATGTCCCACTATGTACTCTGACTAGGGTTTGCATCTCTACAGACCAGGTCTAAACCAGATGTAAACCAGATCTAAACCAGATCTGAACCAAGTCTGTACCAGGTTTAAACCAGGTCTAAAGCAGTTCTAAAGCAGGTCTAAAACACCTCACAGACCACTACACACTGGACACACCTAATATCTCGTATCAGTATTACATTAGTTGTAGTATCTGGGCGTTACCTCTTGGTGGCGTTCTCCTGGAAAGGGTAGAGCACCTGTCCGTTCTGACACAGTTCACAGATGAAGCCTTTCTCTCGACACAAACTGCAGTTGAAGACATGAGAGCTGGCGAACTTGATCACTTTGGACAGAAACGGGGCCAGTTTCCCGTCGATCACCTGCACGAGAAGAAGACGAGGCTCAAATTTACATAAGGAAGCACAAATTTGGAAACAAAAAAAAATCTAATTGCATTTTTTTGCATTTTTCTGACAAGAATTTGCAATATATGTTTAAAAAGTAGGATTTTCTTCAGAGTTCACACTGTAAACAAATACTTCTAAGGGCCAGTACTGTGTATTTGAGCAAACTCTGACTTGCAAGCAGCTCTTGAGGTCAAAATAAGTCTGCTGTATAGTGCCTGCACCTAATAAAAATATGTTTTACTGTCTGAGAATCACGAAGAGAAAGCTTAGCATGCTAGTTGTTGTTACAGTGATGGCAAAACACTGCACTGATCTCTGGGAGTTGTGAAAACTGCTTATAAACTCATCCTGGATAACTTTGAACCACAGCAAATTATTTAAAATGAACCTTTTTGTTTTTGTTTTTCACGTTTTTAGGACAGTAAAAGAAAAGACTGAAATGTGAACTGATAAGCAAACACAAGAATCCCAAGAATGCAGGGTTTGTGTGTTAAACATGTGTGAATGATACAAAACACAATTCATTCACACGTGTTTGTGATGAGGAAACAACATTATAACAAAGATCAGAAAATAGTCTAAATGGAACATTTAAAGTTACATAATGCATCTTCAAAGGGACAGGTTATCTAGAATTTGTATTTCAAACACATAAATTCTGCTGTGAGTTTTTCCAAATATTGACAAAGGCTACACAGAGTAAATTGGATTAGCCCCGGTTTTGACTTGTTTAAACGAGTTGTCGACACACGCTTTAGCTCCGCCCCCTCCTTTTCAGGTTTTGTGTCTAAAAAGGTCTAATCCGCTAAAACTGGTCTTTAAGAGTTCCAAGTCCTGCCCAGAGTCCTGATTCTGAGCCCCACACAAACCCAGGACTAAACCAGGACTAAAGCCAGATGGACTGAGAGGAGAGAGGGCAAAGTGAGAGCTAGAACTACACCAGAAATCACTAATCTGAGGCTCTGCCACAAGTGTGTGCCGTGGACATTGCTTTGACTAGAATATTACACAGTAAGGCATGGTCAAGTTACATGTCAGATCTGTGAAGAGTAGGGGTGTAACGATATCCAAGTCTCACGATACGATATCGTCACAGTATGAACTTCACGGTACCATATTTATTGTGATATTTTGTGAAGGCGAACAAAACTGTTAATATGCTACTTTTTCTTAAAATGCCTTGACAAGATTTAAGCTAAAGAACTAAGACTTAAAAGTGCTTAGAACTGTTATTTCTTCATGTATTCTTTTTTTAGCTACTGCTGCACCATCACTCTTAAATTAAGCAAAGAGTCTTGTAATTCGATATATTGTGATGGTCCTCGATATTGTTGTGAGAACTTTGATGATACGATAGCATGATATTTCGGTTATTGTTACACCCCTGGTGAAGAGACAATTGTGTGACCCCAGATATGAATGAGGTAGACATGATCAGATCAAATATTACTTTAGCAAACAACAACTGTAATGCACATGTATTCTTAATTACAAAAGTTCACAGAAGATGATGGATAAATTGTATGTATGATAATGTGGTGTTTTGGTTCTGAAGACGATTATCCAATTAGAAAGCAGAATGAGGCCCCACATGACGCTCTCATTTGGGTCATCAGGTTTAATGCTGAAATCCAGCTGGTTCAAACCTAAAATGTCTCTCTCTGATCTGAATGGTCACTACCTCAACCCCAGCACCTGCAGCAATTGTGAGTCAGTGCTAGTGCAGTCTCTGCAGCTCAGGGGGGGAATTCTGGCTGACTGTGGGACTCTGGAGTATTTTTCCATCTGTTAATAATGCCTTTTTCTTAAGCTGTGGTCAGTGCTCCACAGTCTTATGTTCCTACTTGAATGTATATATTCTTTTGTTGTTGTTATAAACATATTAAAAAGCCTCGAGTTAGCAAAGTTGCTACATATTGAGCTCTTTGCCATATCTGTGTGATAGTTACCATAGCAACCACTCTAAATATCAAGGATACTCTGATGGCGCATGTACTGTATAGAGGGACATGAGTATCCTGTTTTCTTTGAGCACATGTAACTTAGACATGTAACTTAGACAAACTATTGCTCCACAAGAGAAATGATTTGGACACAGTAACTCACATATCACAATATAATACAATAACAAAGAGTAAAACATATAAATGGTAATAATAAATTCTAAATAAGTAGCAAAAAAGATACTAGAGCAAGAGAGAGGTGTCAAGTAAGACATCAATTCTGTATGTAGACGTAAACTCCATATCCAGAATATTGTCTTAACTGGGATAAGGCTCATAACTGGGATACTGCTGTGCATGTAAACACACTCAATGAGAAACACTTCTATGTGTTCTCTATCTGCAGGCTAAGCCTCTGGAAACCTAGGTACAGCTGTGACTGTAAAAAACAGAACCCAAATGAGGACTAAATCCTGTCTAATTCTCATACGCAAATAGCAACAGGTGCATTTTCTGTGTAACTGTTGAAAATCTGCTCGATACATGTGTCCATTCAAACTATAATTTGGTTTTATAAAAGAAACACTGGTCCAATCTGTCTCTGTCCAAACACATGTGGTTAAAGTGTGGTGGGTTTAGCCTCTGCTGACCCCACAACCACACAAAAGAGACACGCTGATTAAGGGAGCCATTTTATTCAGGACTGACGCAAAGAGGATCCTCGTTAATATGGAAAACCAATTAGGGACAAGAGGAGAGAGAGGAGGAGGAGGAGGGAGAAGAGGAGAGGGAGAGAGACGAAGAAGAGAGTGGGGAGAAAGTAAAAAGGGAGGAGCAGAAAGAGAGAGTGGGAGGCAAGGGGAGTAGATGAGAAAGAGGGGAGAGAGGAGAGGGTGAGAGAGAAAAGGAGAGGAGGGGATGAAAAACACGCATACTTAATATGAACAGGCTTGCATCTCCACAAACCTGACTTTCACTTGGCCAGGAGGAGGGAATTTCCATGGGGATGTTGTTCCTTTGGCTATAATATTACACAGTATGGCATAAAACGTATGCATCTCCATGGAGAATGTTCCAAGTTTTTCACAAGTTTTTTCACAAATATTTACTAAAAAGTTTTATATTACATAAATTTGACACTTGTGTCCTTTAAGAAATGTTGTAGCCTTCTCAAAACATGCTTGTAGTTGTGTTTAGTAGTAGTAGTAGTAGTAGTAGTTTTTTATTCAGTCATTTTGCAGCACTACAAAACACAACAAAACAAACAACAAAATAAACAACCCCATGGATCAAGACCGAAAGGGTTTAGGCTGAAGTTAAACGTACTTATAACACCTAATCCTATTAAACAATGACAGAATTCCAAGAAAGAAAGCAGGGTATAAACAGCAAGTTTGCATTTACAATTTCACTTATGACTTACTGTAAGAGACAAAATATAAATTCAAACTAACAAAATTTAATCCATAATTCGTTCATTCCAGAGCTTGATATCTTTGAAAACATAACACTTTTTTCATACTCTTGTTTTAAAGGCTTCTACAGTGTTAGACTTAAAAATCACTCAGATTGCTCCATATATCACTTTTTTTTAGTACTTATCTTCATTTATTTTTTTTAAAGATGCTAGTTTTTTTTCTATCCATTTATGGTCATACAACCTAATACTAATGTTCACGAAGGCACAAAAGTTTATCATTCATGATCGTACAAAATAAACCACAATGAGAATGAAAAAAAGTAAGGATTTTTTTGTTTTCGTTTATGGTCGTACAAACTAATAATAATGATAAAGAAGGCACACAATGTATTGTTTATGACTGTATCAAAATAAAAGGTAATGTTAAAGAAAAGCATGTGTTTTGTTTGACTTGAAGACTTGTGATTCTAATCTTCTAGGTATTTCTGTAAGATTAGACTTTTATATTGTTTTTTGAAGTGCACCAAGTTAGTACGAGCTTTGATATCATCTAAGTTGTTCCGTAAGTCTACTCCACGTCTGGGAACACACATGGTTTTGAGAGTGGTTTGAGAGGATTGTTTTTAAAAAATCATTTGACCTCTCAGGTTGTATTTGAATTCATTTGTGCAGAACAGTTTTTGAATGTTATCTGGGAGCAGGTTGAGTTTCGCTTTAAATAAGATTTGTACGGAAACTGGGAGGGCTCATAACAAATACAAACGCAACAACACAACAAAAAGCTGCAACAAACCAAAAAAAGCCACAACAGAATTGACCGTGGGACTCTATTTTAATCCAAACGCCGCAACACAAATACAAAAGCCGCAATACAAATGCAAATGCCACAACACAACAAAAAGCCACAACGGAAGTGACTGCGAGACTCTATTTTCCGACGGACCAAGCAACGGTCAGACAGTGACATCAATCCTGGCCACAAAACGATAAATTACTTTTACTTACGTTTCCAACTTCGTTCACTTTTCCGTTCCTTTACTTTTCACATTCTTGTTCCTCTTCAACTTTTCCCATTCACTTCCCACTTGATCCTTTCACGCTTCGCTTGGTCCGTCGGAAAATCGAGTCCCGCGGTCGCTTTCGTTGTGGCTTTTTGGTTTGTTGTGGCGTTTGCATTTGTGTTGTGACGTTTGTAGTCGTTGCGGCGTTTACATTAAAATCGAGTCCCGCGGTCACTTCCTTTGTGGCTTTTTTTTTTGGTGTGTTGTGGCTTTTTGTTGTGTTGTCGCGTTTGTATTTGTTGCGGTGTTTGTGTTTGTTATGAGCCCTCCCGGCTTCTGTAAATTTGGCACGTTTTCTTTAATTCACACGTTTGAGTGATCCTTTATTACTAGTCTGTCTACATCTCCAAAGCTCAAAATGTCGTACTTTTCAACATTCACCTTTTACTTTTTGTTCAGAGGACAGTGGCAGTTCCTGGTCTGAAATTATCCTAACGATCTTGTAACGGTGTTTGGAGTTTAAAAACACAGTCGAGCCCTTCATGTATTACCACATGACATTACAATTTGGAACAGAGTGTTTTCTGTTTGAGAGAAAGACTCAACCTAAATATGTAGGGTTTGTGCGTTAAACAAAACACAACTCCAGATATGTTTTTGATGAGGAAACAACATTACAACACAGATCAGAAAATAGCGTAATACCAGCCCTTTCAGTAACATCATTTCGTAGTAACAGTAGTTTTTCTTGAGTACATTTTTGCCTCTCTTGTCACTCTATAGGGGCAGGGACAGTGGACAGGGCCCGTTTCAAACCTGTTTAAAGGAGTCCGGTCAGTGAATGGGGCGTAAGGGGATGTGGGGCTTTGTTGAGCTGCCTGCTGCCTCTCCATGTGTCCAATTAGCGCGCTGAGGAGTGGAGCGATGGAGCGGAGGAGGACAAAACCCCAAAACAATGGACTTTTCAGAGGGTCTGGGGGCTCCTCTCTGCTCCACCCCCTCTGCTCTGGGACACTGGGTTTAGAGAGCACGGCCAGGACCAGCTACTGTTTAAAGAGGCATTATGTAACTTTTCTATTGCATGTATATATTGTACCTCGTAACTGAAAAATGTGTCTCATTCTTGCTGGATTGGAGCCGAGGAAAACTGGCTAGCTTCTGGTTCATGGGCAAATGCTTAACTCACTACACCATCACTCCGCAGAGACTAGAAAGTGACAAACCATCCACCAGAAAAATGGCATAGTGCAGTTTTAAAAGTTCAAGTAACTCTTAGGAAACAGTTCTACAACAAGGCAACATGAGAAAGTAACTACATGGAGGTTTCAGTGGTGTAGTGGGTTATGCATTTGACCATGAACCAGAAGGTATTCAGTTTTGCCCAGTCCAAATCTAGCAAGAATTGGACAAAAACTGCATTATGGTGTGTTAGAATAGGTTCTAGGTCAGGGGTGGGCATTTCTTTTTTCCATGGGGCCACGGGAAACAGAAAATATTGTGGAGGGCTGGGCCAAAATGTTTAACTCAGTTTTGTATAATATTAATTGTGTTTCTTTATAAAAAGTAGTAAATACCATTGTTTTGACATGATAGTAAGACTGGTAAGAGTTTATGTTATGTTAAGCAATGAAAAAGTGAGACTGCCTTACAAAAATATCATAAAAAAAAAAAAACACCACTAAAATAAAAGCAATGCAGCTTTAGTCCATGCGTGAGGTAAAATTGTAAAATATGTTATTCTAAATGAGCCCCAGGATGTGGCCCAGGAGCTGTACAATGCCCAGGTCTGGTACATGTGATACTGCAATAGTGTTTCTGAAGCAATTATTCCCTCAAAAATGTGGCAAATGTTTACCTTTTTATTATCAATTCGGTCCACAAGCTCACAACACAATATTGCCAACATCGGTACTACACTATACTTAAATATAAAAGTGCAGTACAAACCTGGGCATTGTCCAGCTCCCAAGCTACATACAGCCCTTTGGTTGACTCTGACCGCCCGTTTACAATCATTTGGAATTACAAAATAAATACATTTTATAATTTTACCTCATGCATAGACTAAACTGCATTGCTTTTATTTTTTGTAAAGCAACTTCACAATTTTTTGTAAGGCAACCTCACTTTTTCATTGCTCATCAAAACAATGATATTTACTGCTTTTTATAAAGAAATACAACTAAGAATTGAGTTAAGTATTTTGGCCTGGCCTTAAATAATATTTTTTGTTTCTCATGTGACCCCATGGAAAAAATAATTGATAAAGTAGTAGAGCAGAACTGTGGTACACTGAGTTGTAGTACCTGTTGGAGATCGGCCAGCGAGTACAAGTGGATGTGCTGAAGAAGGTATTCCCGGGGAGAGATCCTGGAAAAGACACAAAATGAAGTATTAGTATTAGTACTACTACTATCAGCAGTAGTAGTAGTAATATCAGTCATTTGGAGTACTCAACTTCAGGTTCAGGTTTCATTTTAGAATTTTATATCTGAAGACTTTATAAGGGTTTCTATATCAGGATTCTGCCTTTGTATTTGACCCATCCTTAAACCAGTGGCTCAGGATGACACAATGCAGGGACCAGGATCTGGGTCAGGAGTACCGAGCTGAAGGATTAACTGATACACTTTAATAAGATGGTTCTTCAAAGCTGTAGAGCTGTATACAGAAGTAGTGGGACAGTAGTAGTAACAACAGCAACAGTAGTAGATGTAGTAATAGTAGTAGTAGGAGTAGTAGTTGTTGTTGTTTTGGTTGTTGTTGTAGCTGCTGTGGTGGTAGTAGTAGTAGTAGTAGTAGTAGTAGTAGTAGTAGGAGTAGCAACCACAATAGTAGTAGTCATAGTAGTAGCAGCAGTATAGTGGCAGTAGTAGTAGTAGTAGTAGTAGTAGTAGTAGTAGTAGTAGTAGTAGCAGCAGCAGCAGTTGCAGCAGTAGTAGTTGTAGTGGTAGTATTAGTAAAAATCGTTGTGGTTGTTGTGGTGGTTGTTGTAACAAAAGTAGTAAAAGTAGTAGTAACCACAATAGTAGTAAGTGTAGTAGTTGTTGTTATTGTTGTGTGTAATAGTAGCAGTAGCAGTAATTGTAGTAGTAGTAGTAGTAGTAGTAGTGTACCCCTCTCTCGATGTGAGCGTGGATCTGGGTCAGGAGTACTTCGCTGGTACCTCACACAGCACAGTTGAACACATAGTAAACAGACTGTGTTATGATGGTTCTTCAAAGCAGTCGGTGCGTTTGATAAATGCTCCTGAATCGTGCCTTGGCTTCAGGACAGCAGGCCTGGACTCGCGTGCTTCTATTTGAGTACTTCTGTGAGTAATGTTTAACTTAAGCTTTTCTCTCATGGCGTTATTAATAACTTATAATGCAGCAGAGCCAGTGAATTTCCAGCTCTTATGAAATCCTTTATACACATTTACTACTGTACCAGCTCATTCCTATGTCTTTAAAGGCTATAATACTCCCTACAGTGAATGCATGGGCAGGCTTCAGTGGACAGTACTACAACAATGCTGAGTGTTCATGTCTACTTGTGTTACAGTTTAGTCCTGGTTCAGTACTTTGTTCAGTTCTGGTTCAGTCCTGGTTTAATACTTGGTTCGATCCTGGTTTAGCCCTGGTGCAGTTCTAGATACAGTGCAATATACAGTCTGTGTTCAGTCCTGGTTCAGTCCTAGATTAGTCCTGGTTTAATCTTGGTTCAGTCCTGGTTCAGTCCTGGTTCAGTCCTGGTTTAGTCCCTGGTTTAGTCCCTGGTTTAGTCCATGGTTCAGTCCCTGGTTCAGTCCCTGGTTTATCTTGGTTTATTCTTGGTTTAGTCCTGGTTCAGTCCCTTGTTCAGTCCTTAGTTCAGTCCCTGGTTTAGTCTCTGGATTAATCCCTGGTTTAGCCCCTAATTCAATCCTGGTTTAGTCCTAGTTCAGACCCGGTTGAGATGTAGTCCTTGTTCCATCCTGGTTTATTCCTGGTTTATTACTGGTTCACTCCCTGGTTTAGTCCCTGGATTAGTCTCTGTTTTAGTCCATAATTCAGTCCTGGTTCAGTCCAGGTTCAGTCCTTGCTATAGTCCTGGTCAAGTCCTGATTCAGACCTGGTTGAGATATAGTCTTTGCTCAGTCCTGGTTTAGTCCTGATTTAGTCCCGGTTTAGTCCCGGTTTAGTCCCAGTTTAGTCCCGGTTTAGTCCCGGTTTAGTCCTGGTTCCCGGTCCCCTGGTTTAGTTCCTGATTCAGTCCTGGTTTTGTCTTTGTTACATCCTGGTTTATTTCTGGTTCAGTTCTGATTCAGTGCTGGTCCAGTCCCTGATATAGGCTGGGTTCAGTCCTGGTTCAGTCCTGGTTTAGTCCCAGGATTATTCTCTGTTTTAGGTCATAATCCAGTCCTGATTCAGTTCTTGCTTTAGTCCTGGTTCAGTCTCTGGTTTAGTCCCTGGATTAATCCTTGGTTTAGTCCTGGTTCACATCTGGTTCAGTCCTGGCTCAGTGCCTGGTTTAGTCCTAGTTTAGTCCTGGTTCAGACCTGGCTGAGATATATGTAGCCTTTGTTCCATCTGGGTTTAGTCCTGGTTTAGTCCTGGTTCAGTTCTGATTCAGTCCCGGTTTAGATCCTAGTTCAGTTCCTGGTTTAGTCCCTGGATTAGTCCCTGTTTTAATCCATAATTCAGTCCTGGCTCAGTCCTGATTCTGTTCTCGCTTTAGTCCTGGTCTAGTCCTGGTCCAAAAGCACTTGACGGTAGTAGAAGTTTTGGTTTAAATCCATACTTGAGCTGTGATGAGTGCCGCTTATGTCTGAGATGTGAACAGGCGCCTTAGAGTGAGAGGACAAGCTGATAAAATACTACAGGACCTGGCAACGCACCAAAGACACTCAACGCAATGTGAAGTAGCCTGGGAAAATATGGGCCTACTGTACAAGAGCAAAAGAGTAAGTGAGGTTATGGGTTAGACTCCCGATCAGTCTGAATTACCAACATCACATTTGCTTGAAAACCCTCTCGTTAAAGTGTAATATTTTCCTTTCTGTAGACACGCCTTGGATTCGAATCGCGTGGTGCATTAGTCAGAGTTAAACAGGGAGGGTCTAGTAGGAAGAAGGAAGTTCTTTACATTGTGTAGTGTTTTGTGTCTTAGGGGTTAACAGCTCTACACACTACTATCTTAACTTCACCAGGGCTTTATCAGTTCATAATCTGCGCTCGTATTTCAGTATTCAAATATATGTACTTATTGTCACGAGTGTAGTCATACTTACGTGTTAGAGTGGACGTTTATTTTTTCAGTTGTAAAGAGCCAACTAACGAGTTTCTTCTTATCTCAACTGACAGATATGCTATTAACAAAAATATTTAACGGCAAGTTAATGTTTCAGTTGTCTTCATAGCGATGTTATTGGTTTTCCTGGAAGGTTTCATAGTAGAGCATTAAAGGGACAGCTCAGAATTTTGGACATAGGGCCTCATTTCCTAGTGAGCCAGAGTGTGGGAGACGTGTGGAGACATTTAAAAAAAAAGTCCATCCAGTCCTTGTATTTGCAAAGGTCGCTGGTGCTAGGCTAGTGCATGTCAATGACCATAGTTAGCCTGCAACTAAAAACAGTCTTACCCACTCCACAAAACACCTGAAGCAAATCTATTATTACACCAGACTGTCCATGTAAATGTCACTGTTGATAGAATAATGTTTGAAATAAAACTAACCTTGCATTGCATAAATCTTCGCATGTTGAGGGACTATTTTCTCATATATCAGTCCGCTGCTGCCAAGCGTTCTATCAGGAAGTGGTCAGATATAAATCCTTCAAATGCAAGGTTAGTTTTACTTCTAAAATTATTCTTTCGACACAGACATTTACATCAACAGTCTGACGTAATAATTGTTCTGCTTTGTGGAGTGGGTAAGACTGTTTTTAGTGGCAGGATAACTATGGCCATTGACATGCACTAGCCTAGCACCAGCGACCTCTGCAAATACAAGGACTGGATGGAATATTTAAAAATGTGTGTCCACACATCTCCAACACTCTGGCTCACTAGTAAATGAGGTTCTACGTCCAAAATTCCAAACTGTCCCTGGGGATGCCAACAGGCCAAGTTATAAAAAAAATAAAAATTAAAAATTTCTACATTTGGTCAATTTTAGCTTCTGCTGGTGTATACTGCATACAAAACTAGTGTCCTTAGGCAACACACTTCACCCTTTGCCCTCATGATCTACGCACACAATGTAATGTGATTCTTGCTTAGACTTTTTGTCCCAGTACAATCCTGCTTAATTTCTTATTCTCATGTAGTTAGGCTGCATTCACACTTGCACACACACCACAAACCAACAAGACCAACTAAAAGTCCTCTACTTTTCAGTCCTGGTTCAGTCCTGATTAGGGCTGGGTATCATTAAGCTGTTGCTGATACGATCCACAACTCAATATATAGGCCATGATACGATACATATCTCAATACAGTCAGCTTTTGATTCGATACAGCATATTTCAAATTAATTCAATACGGTTCAATAAAAAATAATGTCTAAATCAAGTCCTTAAGTCACTTCTCATGCAAAGTGAATATGAAACACACCCATTTTACGCATCAAAACAGTGAAAATGTCAAATGTGTTGCATAAATGAGTTTCCTTCCTCTGAACAAGCAACAAATCTGTAGCTATAACAAAATAATTTAGTAAAATATACCAAAAAATACTCTTGGCGATATATTGATACAGCAGCCCATGATATTGATACTGTATCATCACATTAAAGGATACGATATATGGATATTTCAATATGTTTGCACACCCCTAGTCCTGATTCAGGCCTGATTCAGTCCTGGTTCACTCTCCCTCCTGGTTCAGACTTGGTTCAGACTTGGTTCAGTCTTGGTTCAGTCCTGGTTCAGTCCTGGTTCAGTCCAGGCTTAGTCCTGATTCACAGATGTGTACTTAGCGTCAAGACTGTAGACTTTGCGTTGATAGAGGACCCTTAACCCTGTGTCATAACCTCCTTGTACAAAGTGTAAAAAAAACTATTAATTAACACTTCAGACTTGAGTGTTTTGTTTTTTTGTGCACCAGTTATGTTGTAGTTTCAGTTTGAACAGAGTAAAAGAGGACCTGACAAGCTAAAGTATATTTCAAATGTTAATGTCAATACAACTACATGATTTAAACAGGTTTTCTACTGCAGCTCTTGGAGTCACAGAGAAACCACCCTGTACTGTCTACATCTAATTATAAAACGTTTTTAATTATACATGGATCAGTGAGTGTGCGGTTAGCATGCTAGTTGTTGTTAGCAGTTGTGTTGTGGCAAAACTCTGAATAAGAAGAATAAGAAGTGCTCCAATGTGTTTTAAAACCACACACATCTTCACATCTTTCAAACCTGGAATTGCCAATCTCTACTGATCAAATGTAAAAGGTAGCTGTTAACTTGAAAACTACCAATTCACGACATCACAAGGTGGAACAGAGCATGTTGAGCTTTGGAGATGTAGACCGACTAATACAAAAGGGTTATTCAAACATGTGTGAAAGAAACAAAACACAACTCCAGGTCCATTTTTAAGGAGGTAACAGCATTAGTCAAGAGTCAAGTTTGTGTATTATAGAACTTTTGACATGAAATAATTCTGTTTTTTTAATGTTTAAGACTGTAAAAATAAGGTACAGTTCTTAAATTTTCCCATAAAGTTAAAAAGTAATAAAAGTAAAGTAATAAAATGTAATATAATGGTGCTTTTATAACAATAGTATGCAATGGTCAGAGCTGGGACTGAACTGGAAACCTTTGTGTTGGTGGGCGAGCGCTGTACTCTAAATGTATGTGTGTATGTGTGTGTTCTCTGTGTATTTGTGTGTGTGTATGTGTGTGTGCGTGCGCAGTGACTGATGGAGAGAGGAGGTTTTTAGTGCCACGATCTTCATTAATCTTGAATGTTTAGAGTGAAAAGCTGCGTCCTCTGAGCGTTAATGGGACCAACGTAAACAAGACAGGCAGAGGTCCACTCGGAGACATGTGTGGGGGGCTCCTTTAACCCGGGTTCACATCTAGTGTAGTCTTCATCAAAATTTATACAACTGGCTTAGTCTTGGTTAAGCCCTGATTAACTCTGCAGGCAAAACAAGCAAGCATGTCTGTTAGTATATTGTATTGTATTGTATTGTATTGTATGTATTGTGTATTGCTTTACCATGTACTTACTATACTTTATTATTATTATTTAAGTGCACTATGTAATTTTACCTGCTTGTGTCCATGGAGATGTAATTGCGTCCTAAAATGCTCCTCAGTATGGCATTAAAAGCGTTCAGTTATATTGCATTTAGTCAATAAATAACCTTGAAATAACATGAATTCTTGCTGTGAGTGGGATCACCTGTTCGCAGATCTGACCTGTAACTGACCTGTTGGAGTCAACTGCTTGTCTGCATGGAGAAAAAATACATTTCAAGCCCTACTGGGGAATAGTCTAGGAAAAGAAATATCAGATTTTTAAAAACAGAAATAGTTAATTTGAAACAGTTCGCAGTAGTCCAAAGTTATTCCTCGCTTAACTTATGCATTCGGAGCGTCCTAATTATTCACCATGACGAGTTTATAAATGCTTTTCATACTCAAAGGCCAGAGTGGAGTAACGCCATGAATAACTATCATGTTAACAGCTCACTTCCTGATTCTCCAACTATAAAATGCTTTATAATTAAATGCATACAAAACGCAGCAGTCTCATTTTGGCTTTTTTGCCAAATTGTACTTTTATTACATCAAAACATTGTATACAGCTCCTTTAGAGTTAAAATATTGTATTAGCTTGGATCAGGTTTCCCACTCTTTTTCAACAAAATTTCAAAACTTTTCCAAGACTTTTTCATGACCTAAAGTGAATTTTCCATGACTTTACAGCACCTACATGTGTAAAATTGATCAGACTTTTAGGGCTAAATATGAAATGTTAACCCTTCCCACTCACCTTATGGTTTGGGATTATAGTTTTTTAACATTTAAATATTGTCAATGTATTTATTGTCGTCTATTTTAAACAAAAGGCACAGATGTTCGGAAATGATCATAACAGCCTAATGATAACTTAACAAAACGCTGTACTTGCGTGAAAGAGATACTAAAATTCCATGGCTTTTCTAAAACTTTCATAGAATTTACAAAATTGTATGACTTTTTCAAGCCTGTAAAATGACATTTTCAAATTCCATGATACCTATGTATTGTGTACATCTAATCACAATGCGTTTGCTATCCTCTGCGAACCAGGAAACACCCTTCTAAAAGTTGTGAAATATGCTCATGAACTTTTAATTAAAATTGTATACTTTAAGCTCCTTTAAGGGTGCAATGTGTGACATTTCTGGTGCAGGGCGAGTCAAATGGTTTTCTCCGTAGAGATGTTATTGCTTTGTCTGGAATGTTTCACAGTAGGGCTTTAAAATTTTTATCTTCATGGAGACCAAACCAGACCAAGTTACAGGTCAGGTCTGTGGAGCGGCGACCCAGCTCACAGTCAAAATACCTGTTTTTCTAGGTATTTTTGAGCTATAAAATGACCTATAATTGAATAAATGTAAGGTAGAGCTGTTTAATGTCATACTGTGGAATATTCCAGGCAGAATAATGAAATATCCATAGAAACAAGCAGGTGACGAACCTCCAACCAAAAAGTTGCAGAGAGTTCTATCAAAACGAAAGGTGCACTAGCTTGGATGGTGGTAGCTGAGGATAAATTGGTGACCTGTACTGGGCAGAGGAGCATCTATCAGAGGTGTTTCTTTCAAATAGAGGCTGGATGTAAACACTGCTCCCCCACCAGAACACACTCGTATTCAGGGTAATGGACCGGGACACGCCCCTAGATCAAAACGGGCACACATATAAACATAAGAACCAGCATTGAGTTCAAAAACCTTGGTCAAAATCAACATGGGGACTGTTTACTGTGAGTTCTTTAACTGGAGATGTTTAAATCACGTGGTGCTCTGTGGCTGCCTCCTGCTATCAAAGAACATGAGAAATGGAGAAACGTGCAAAGGTTTATGAAAGTCTAAAGAGATGTTTCCTTTAAAAAAAATAATAAATGCATTTCTCAGAGCAGCTATGCACGCTCAAAATGCACTCAGCTGGATTGATGGAGATTTAGAAGGATACAACCAATCAGACAAGAGGAACCAACCAACTAAGCTCATTTAGTGATCCCAAAACACTTTATTTTCAGAGTATCAGAGGCCTACTGATAATGACAGCTGATAATTGACATTTCTGGGGATGTGAAGCTAGCTGAAAGCACTGCTCTGTTAGAACAGAGTGACCAGATGTCCCTATTTACCCGGGACAGTCCCAGTTTTGAGCCCTGTGTCCCCTATCCCAGCAGATTTATACAAAACCATTGATTTGTCCTGTTTTTTTATACAAGAAATGTCCCATGTGTCCCTATTTTTCACCAATTTGTTCTAAACCAGGACTATCACAATTTGTGACTAATCAGATGCTCGCCAACAATAAAGAGGAGCATAAATTATCATTTGTTTGGCCAAAATACAGAAAACCATGTTTGCAAATGATGATAAAGCAAAAAAATTCTGTGTCAGAAGTCCCTCAGATCTCCAGGCTGGTGCCACCTAGTGCTTCCACTCAATTTCGTTTCTCTCCAACGATTAGGTCAGGAATCAGAATACACTAGACGGTTTGCAAGAACCCCCGTAAGTGCGAGTCCGGCCACCAGCCAATCAGTGAAGAGCCATACATTCTGTTTTGGCAACAATTACCAAGATTGAGGATTTTAAGCCGGAACAAAGAGAATGTTTGGTGAATATTATCAAGGGGAAATTTGCCCTTCTTCCTATGGGATTTGAGAAAAGCTTAATATACCAGTTAGCCCCGTTAGCAGCGCATTAAATACGTCACGACCAAATAGCCGCGATTGGTTAAATAAAAAAGTATCTGCCTACCGTCAAGCAAACAAATTCTAATGCTGCAAGGTCAGACGGTTTCCATGAAGTGAAACCGGCTGATGAATCAGTTTACCTCAGAGCATGACTGACGCGAGAATCCACAATGTTACATGCTCTTTTCACAGTTTTATTTAAACCAACCATCCCAACCTGGGTGTGACCCAGTTTTGAATTTTGAAAATCTGGTCACTCTATGTTGGAAGCTTAGAAATTGCTCAAATTAGACTACAATCTGAGCTTTGTTTTAACACAAAGAGCCAGAGTTGGTTGGAAATACAACAGGTGAACTGATTTGTGAGCTTAAACGAGTCGCTTAAAAATAAACATAAGTCTCTTACACAACATTTCAGTTAGTCGCTCTCAACTTTTTGTTGAAAATCAAACACCCAAACAGGACCATGAACGTTTGTATTGATCACAGGCTCCTGAAAATGTGCTGTTTAAATCCATTTTGTATTTTTTGTGAACATTCCGCCAACAGAACCCCCCCAGCGTGATGTCAACGCAGTCAAAGTATCAATAGTCAGCCCTTCATGTTCGCTGTGTACTGCTTGAGTCCGTACCTCCTCCTCAGGTCCTCTGCCACAGCCGCTCTGCAGTTGAACAGATAGGCCCTGAGAGACTGCAGCTGCTGCCGGAGCCTCAGCACTGAGCTCAGGGCCTCCGAGTGATCGTACAAACACGGGTTCAACCTCTGCACGTCCAGAAGGGGCTCCTCGTACACGAACTCCAGGAACTCCTTCGCCTGTTTAGACACCTGCAGAGGAAACATACTTTTTTAATACTACTACTACTATTAGAACTTCTACTACAACAACTAAAACTCTGAATTCCAGGTACTCCTTCACCTGTTTAGACACCTGCATAATTTACTTATATATACTTTTTTAATACTACAACTACTATTACAACTATTACTCCTACAACTGCTATGGATTCCAGGAACTCCTTCGCCTGTCTAGACACCTGCAGAGAAAATACACAGTTTAATACTACTACTACAACAACTAAAATTATAAACTCCAGGAACTCCTTCGCCTGTCTAGACACCTGCAGAGGAAATGCACAGTTTAATACTACTACTACTTTACTACTACCATTATGAACTTCAAGAACTCCTTTAACTGTTTGGACACCTGCAGAGGAAATACATTGTTTAATACTACAACTACTATTACTACTACGAACTCCAGAGGAACTTGCAGAGGGAATACACGGTTTAATATTACTACTACTATTACTCTTTCTACTATTACTATTATTACTAATATTATTACTACTACTACTACTATTACTACAATTACTATTACTATTACTATTACTACTACTACTACTACTAAAATGACAAACTCCAGGAACTCTTTCGCCTGTCCAAACTCCTGCAAAACCAAAATATATTGTTTAATATTACTAATGCTATTCTTACTACTACTACTACTACTACTACTACTACTACAACAACTACTACAACAACTACTACAACAACTACTACAACTACTACACTACAACTACTACTACTACTACTACTACAACTACTACAACTACTACAACAACTACTACTACTACTACAACAACAACTACTACTACTACTACAACAACTACTGCTACAACAACAACTACTACTACTACAACAACTACTACTACAACAACTACAACAACTACAACTACACCTACAACTACTACTACTACAACTACAACTACACCTACAACTATACCTACAACTACAGCTACTACGAACTCCAGCCTGTTTAGAGACCTGAGGAGGAAATACACTGTTTAATATTACTAATACTACTCTTACTACTACTACTACTACTACTACTACTACTACAACTACTACAACAACAACTACTACTACTACTACTACAACAACAACAACTACAACTACAACTACAACTACTACTACTACAAACAACAACTACTACTACTACTACTACAACAACAACAAACTACAACTACAACTACAACTACTACTACTACAACAACAACTACTACTACTACTACTACTACTACTACTACAACTACAACTACAACTACAACTACAACTACAACTACTACTACTACTACTACTACTACTACTACTACTACGAACTCCAGCCTGTTTAGAGACTTGAGGAGGAAATACACTGTTTAATATTACAACTACTCCTACTCCTACTCATACTACTACTCTCCAGATTTTGAGCTTAGTAAAGATTTAGCTGGAGGCTTTAACAGCCCAACATTCATCATATAAAAGTTCTGATGTTTTGTCATTGCAAGTAAACAGTACAGTATATTCAATGAAATAGTTGATTGCTATGACAACAGGCCAAAATTCCATGGATTGTGCATGTTTTGGGTTGCAGCGGGAGACCCACCTTGTGCCGGGTGGTGTGTCCCAGTTGTGGAGCAGTCTGGCTGGGATGAGGAAGGTGTGGTCCTGGTGGCAGCTGGAGCAGTAGTACCAACCGCTGTACAAACACACTTTAGCCTTTCCCCGAGACAGACCCACAGGGCGCTGGCATCCTACAACACAACAAATATGTAACGTGTTTATGTGGAAGAGACTAAAAGGACTGATGATAATATTTACATCCACTGTGCATAGTGTTGTCACGATACTAACATTTCAAACTTCATTTTGATACTAAAGAATGGACTCAATACTTAATTCTGATACCACAATGATAATAAAAAACATCTTTATTTAAACAGTAGAATATGATTTCCAACATGAAATTATAGTACTGCATTTTTCGGACTATAAGGCACACTTAACATCCTTTAATTTTCTCAAAAATCGACAGTGCGCCTTATGTATTAATTCTGGTCGTGCTTACTGACCTCAAACCAATTTTATGTGGTACACGGCGGCGGTGCTCAAAAATCTGTCAAAATGTTTTAGTACAACTTTGATAAGCTACAAAGCCGCACCGCTTAATGAAGTTGGAGCATTACAGCTACCGTAATCAGGAGCCTCGCGGAGTAATACACATTCACCGAGACGGAGAGGCAACGCTGGGTCAGTTACACCGTGACCTGCCAGTGGATCATGGATGTCTGGGCTAAGGGATCAGTCTCAAGTGTCGTCCGAGCTTTCACAAAGGCCCGAATCATCACTGAACAGATAAGTATCAGCAACTCGGATAATGACGAGAGATATTCGGACATGCTTGATGACGAAATCGCCCAGCTGTTAAACTCAGAAGTGGAAAAATTTTATGGAATCGTGGAAAAGGAATGAACTGAAAAATTGAGTGTACTGTTTAGTATTTTAAGTGTTACAACTGAACAATGGTGAGAGTTATTGTGAATGAGCTGAATAAAGTTTGATCTGTTTTATCTGACTGTTTTGTTTCGCTTAATGCACCTTATAATCCGCCTTATGGATGAATATAGACAACAGAATTCAACATTATTGATATTGAGCCTTATAATCCGGTGTGCCTGATAGTCCGAAAAATATGGTGCTCTCTCATATATTCCCATGTGGTCTGTGTAATCCCTTAGTTGTCCAGGCAGCCCTGACCAAGCCTAGCAACAAGATCACCAAGATGGGTCCCCAGGCGCAGGACTGTGCACCTACTGCTGCTGCTGAGGAGATGCCCCAGCAGCACTGAAGGATGGGTCAAATACAGAGGACAAATTTACTTAACCTTAACGGACAACTACTAGCCTATGGGGTGGCATAGTTCTAAATTATGTTGTTTATACCATTCTCAGTGACCCTCCTCCAGGCCAAATAACAGTCAGGTTTGTGGAGATGCAAGCCCACTCAGGGTAAGGACACATGTTTTTCAATGCAATCAACACATTCATATTCTATTCTATATTTAGTAAGTGATACTGGGGCAGTTTCTCCCATGACTGATACTGCATATTTGGATTATTATACATGCCCATAATCAAGTCATAGAAACAAATAAAAGCTGCAGCACGGAGCAAGCGATTGACTTTTATTGTGATCTTTGTGTCGGTTGTGAATGACTCCGAACGTGTTGCTCAACTGAGGCAGGTGTAGAGTCTGGAGATAAGATGCTGTTTACGATGTGTCACTAAATACCAAAGGAATCACAGAGACTGATAAAGACTGTAAAATCTGAGGTTAACACAAACTTTGACCCCAATAATGAAACACATGCTTCGTTTGTGTGGGACAATAAAGGTATAAAGGACATATTTTCTTCAGTATTAACTGTTCTTTCAGACCAGGCGCAGTAGTAAACAACAGCATATGTTCTAAACTGTCCATTGCCTTTCACTCATAATGACCTATACAGACTCTGAAAGCCCTCAAAGCCATTGTCAATATTCATTCACTCCGCACTCGCTGATTCTAAGTTACTTCTGTAGCATAAACTGTACAAAGAAGTGGACTAGGGGAGTGCGACATCACCCATAGTTTTCGGCGCCAGTCAAAAGAGCTATGGGGCGAATTTGGGGCCAGGTTCCATATTAGGAATAGGAATTTATTAACAGACAAAATAGCAAAATAAAAACACCAGGATCATGTAGAGCGGGTTAGTATGAACATTTTACCACAATTTTTGACTAATCAGATCCTTGCCAACACTAAAATGAGCATAAATGATCATTTGTTTGGCCAAAATATAGAAAACCGTGTTTGCAAATGACGATAAAGCAAAAAAATGCAGTGTCAGAAGTCCCTTAGATCATGACTGACACAGGAATCCATGATGTTAGAGGGGCGAATTTGGAGCCAGGTTCCATATTAGGAATAGGAATTTACTAATGGACAAAACAGCAAAATAAAAACACCAGGATCATGTACAGCGGGTTATTATGAACGTTTTATCATAATTTTTGACTAATCAGATCCTTGCCAACAGTAAAAAGGAGCATAAATGATCATTTCTTTGGCCAAAATACAGAAAACTGTGTTTGCAAATGATGATAAAGCAAAAATGCAACGTCAGAAGTCCCTTAGATCATGACTGAAGCAAGAATCCACAACGTTATAGGGGAGAATTTGGAGCCAGGTTCCATATTAGGAATAGGAATTTATTAAAGCAAAATAAAAACACCAGGATCATGTAGAGCGAGTTAATACAAACATTTTATCACCATTTTAGACTAATCAGATCCTCGTCAGAAGTAAAGAGGAGCATAAATGTTCATTTGCCGAAAATATAGAAAACCATGTTTGCAAATGATTATAAAATAAAAAAATGCAGTGTCAGAAGTCCCTCAGATCAGAAATAACGTGAGCATCCACAGTGTTTAATTTGGAGCCAGGTTCCATATTAAGAATAGGAATTTATTAACGGACAAAAAAGCAAAATAAAAACACCAGTGTAGAGCGGGTTATTATGAACATCTTAGGACCAAAATGACGAGGCTCCCAGCGGCAGTTACAGAGAGAGAGGGGTGACAATATTCTAATGAGAGTCAATAGGAGCTGGAGTCAGAAGGAGCCGGAAGTGCGCCCATGCTCACTTCCTGTTTGGAAAATGGCAGTTAAAGCATTAACTCTGTCCATTTATATGTATACAATCTATGTTCTGTAGCCAGAGCTGCCCTGGGACAGAATTGAGGCTGCCAATCTGCACCGTCGGCCCCTCCGACCACCATACGAGGCAATGTGGGTGAGCCACTGTAGCCTAGTTTAAAATTGTGGTGTAGGATGGTTCAGAAGTTTGTGGTGGAATTTACCTTAAGCTATCAAAACGCAGATGTTTGAATGTGGTTTATGGTTAATATTTGGGTAATGACTGCGCCCATCCACATGAAACAAAAACTGGCACAATATCAAACTGGCAAACCTGGCATTATTCATCCCCATGGAGACAAACACTGAAACATTACAAACCAAACAATAACATCTTTATGGAGATAAGCAGGTGGCAGACCCCCCACCAGAAACATTACACAGTATTAGACTGCGACAATTACACAGAATAATCAGGACCAGTCAACTCTTGAAATAATCATAATTATAATGTTATTGTTAACTACAAAATACACACAATAACACACACATGCACACAATACAGACTTTAACACACACACGTCAAAGTGGGGAAGCACTGGTCCAGCTTTTTCAATTTCGATACTATAACTTTGAGTATCTACCAATACCTGATATAATGAATGCCAATCCCAGAACCAGACTCAAAACAGCATTTTATTTCCTTTCAACACAAATAAAAAAGACAAAACAGATCCAAATGTATTCTGTATGTATACAGAATACTGAATACCTGCATTCTAATGTATTTTGTAACATATTCTGATACATGGTCCAATCAGAGTACTGCATTCTCAATACATAGAATGAGAATACTTTAAAATTGAGTCACATTTGTATTATAGTGTAAAAACACAAACATAGGATTAAAAACAGCTTCATGTTTGTCTCACTGTTTGCTCTGTATTTTATGTCACTACATGGAGAAGAAAAAAAATCAGACTTGTCCTCAGCACAGCAGTGGTGTTTTCTATTTTTTCAGTGGTTCTGTGCAGGGACATAACTGTAGTGTGAACAATTTGGGTAACTGTACAGAATACAGTTACCCAAATTGTGTATTTGGAACACGAACTTTCAGTACATGTATTCAGTTACTTCCCAACACTGTATGTAGCTGTTATTTGTCAAGCACTAGTGACAGCAGAACAGCTTTGTAAACAAACAAAACATACAGAAATTCAAACATAATGAGACTTTCAGATGTGTTTTTCAGTATGGGTGTCGATAGCCGATAGTAGTGTCAGATCAGTGCACTTTAAAGTCAAAAGACCTACTGTAATTTTTCTGACTATTGAGTGCACCTGAATATAAGCAAAAAAATGTGTACATATATAGGTGGCACTTGTCCACGTTGGTGTCCAGGTTGTAACTTGAGATATTTAGATGATGATAAGATGATACATAGAAAGTTTTTTTTGTTTCTTAAATTAAAATACCGGTACATGCTTTTTCCGAACAGTGCCTGTAACAAGGCAGTAAAACTACAAGATTATCAGACTACGTTACTTGGTGCTGTCCTGCAGAAAGAGCCGCTGTCCTGTCTGTATCATGTCAGTGTCTTGTAGGATTTCAACAGATTTCAGACTCTCTCGGGGGCGAGGCTAGTTGTATCGATCAGGTATGAGTGGATGTCCGACTACTGAAATTTGAGACATTTCTTCTCACCTGCATTTAACGCATTCGGGTTATTAAGGCTTATAGTATGGAAATTACAATATATATGGAATAATAATATGAAAATGTTTTAAAAGTATAAAAAAGTGAACATGTTTGCCAATAAATCTCTATCTAAAAGCCTTCAGTCGCCATATTTCAACCTTTCTTCCCTTAAGAATGTACTCAGCATCAAAAACCTCAACATAAAAATACGACTAGTAAAATAATGGTTGGTGTACCTCTCTTTGGAAAATACAAAAGTGGTATCTGTGTATTGCTGTAGCCAAAATATGGACTTCAAATAGATGCTGTCTGTGCATACAAAAGATCAGCTCCATTCAGATGTACGTTCTATTGTCCCGTCTCTCTTTAAACTTACATA